TAAGATTGAGGAACTCATTTTTTGCTAAGTCTGTTATTTATGGCAAATATCAGAATGTGGGTAATTCCCATCTGCTGAGCAGCTGCAATTCAGATCATAAAGTGCAAAGTACATTAAGCATTTTACAGTTCACTAGATTCACTATTACTCATTAAAACTGAGCTGGGAGCCTTAAAGGAACAGGCGCCCTAGGCTCCCCTCTGCACCTTTCCCCTCTACCTATCACCCTCGTGTTAAGCCTCTTGCTGGAAAGCATTCTTCCAGGAGCCATAATGAATAATTCTGGGAGTCTGTCCATCAGTGTCTATCAGGACCCTCTTTCTGCACTGCCAGTGCACAGTGCCAGCTTCTGTCCTGGAGAAGGTGATGATGCTGTGTTCATGTAGTTAGCAGTCTGCTTTATATGGAAGTTTGCCGTTCCTTAGTTTTGTAAAAATACTATCCAGATTATATACTGTGTGATGATGTTTTCTTAAAAATCCTGCTCTTAGAAAATCAATTTCTTATGTATTACACATAAAATGAACAAGCTGTTTCAGCCTTGTTTCTACTTCATGGGTACCCCTGCAGCTTCTAGACATTACAGATTTGTAAATTGAGAATATTAGGTATGGAATCCATTTCTTATCTCCCAATTTATAGCTTTGTCAGGGCAATTGAACAGTTGCTAAGCAGTCTTGGCTGGGTGAGAAACTCTTTGGCTGAGAGACAAGAGTGTGCTGATGCTCTTTTCCCCTTTTTTTGGGGGGGGGCAGGTGGAGAGGTCCACGTGTAACATTTAAATGTACCCAAAAACCCTGTTACAATTATTGACAAGTCAGTGTATATTAAATTAGCGTTCTTTTTTCTGACTAGGGACAACCCAAATAACACTTTAGTGATTACATTTGGATCTCCTAAACCATATAATCCCTATGCTTATTTTAGATCCCTTCTAGATGTTAGATCCTTCAATATATGTGGGACATTTGATCACCTCTCCATGGAATATAGCTTGCTCCTACTACTCTACTCTAGTACCGTTGCAACAGTCCCACTCATCTTGCTATACCTTGCTCTGTCCTGAAATCTGTTTTCTATAAACTCCCTAGTGGCCCTCACTATCATCATGTCTTTCTCTTTTTTTGTTTAATTAAGTTTATTGGGTGACAATGGTTAGTAAAGTTACATAGGTTTCAAGTGTACAATTCTATAATACATTATCTATATATCACATTGTGTGCTCACCACCCAGAGTCAGTTCTCCTTCCATCACCATATATTTGACCCCCTTTACCCTCGTCTACCATTCATTATGTCTTTCTCTTGCCTAGAACCTTCAGTAACTGCCCCTTGCCTGCAGGGTGAATTCTAAACTTCTCAAAATGGTTCACGAGGTTCCTGTCTGCTTTTTCAGCTCATTGCTCTCCCCTCTCCATTTTACATGTTGTATTTTTAGAATCCCAACTCTTTGGCCTCCACAAAAAGTATAGAAAGACCTACATGTCCTGTGAATGTTGTGAATGCTGGTAAGCATCTCACATTCTTCAGCTTTAATGCTTACCATCCAAAGTTTGCTATAGGATGCATCTACTAAAAGCTCTCACACACCCTCATAATATGACTGAGGCCTCTTAATTATGCTCACACAGCAAATGTAAGAATGAATGACTATTAGTAAAGGTCATCTGTTAGAGGACATAATTTGAATCAGTTAGCAGATGTTCAATTTGACAATAAATCTTCAGCTCCTTGTGCAGCTAATACCAGTAATTCAAGTTAGAATGTTACAGGCTACATTTTATTCCCAAAGTTGTTTCATCAGGTGCATAAACAAATCATCTTCAAAAGTTCCTCTGGTAAGATAGATACAATTAAAATGTGATGACGTTTTAATATTTGGAATGCATTCACCATTGCTATAGTTGTTTACCTAACTTCTTTTGTTTGGTTGGTATTTTTGTTGTTTAAATTTTTTTAATTATTTTTTTTACTTACATTTGACATACAATACTATATTACTTTCCAGCATACAACATAATGCTAAAACATTTACATAACTTACAAAGTGATCACCCAACTAGTGCAGTACCCACCTGACACTATGCATAGTTATTACCATATTATTGACTATATTCCCTGTGCTATACTTTACATCCCCATGACTATTTTGTAATTGCCAATTTGTTGTTCACCTAACTTCTGAATTTTCTTTATTAATTCTCACTTTATTGCACTATTAGCTTACCTAATTTTATCTCAATGCTACTTTAATGAGCTCTACTCTTCTTCCATACTACAGTATCCTTTAAAGTACCATTAATAGTCAGAAAGATCCTGCCTGTGGTGGAAAAAAAAAATGGAAGCCCTCTGTGGTATTCAGTTACCATGTGTTATGCATGGTTGATATGTTGGCCGACTTTCTCTATAAAGGACCAGATAATACATATTTTAGGCTTTGTGAGCCATATGGCTTTTGTCACAGCTACTCAGTTCTGCAGCTATAGCAGGAAAGCAGGCATGGACAATAAGCAAACAAATTAGTGTGGCTATATTCCAATAAAACTTTATTTACAAAAAACAGATGGTCTGGGACCAGAGTTTGCCAACTCCATTGGTCGTTTGGAGGCTTATTTCTGTGGAGGAAAATTTAGTCAAGTTTTGTTCAGTTACAGAAACATTTTTCAAGTAGCTTGTTCCCAAGGAATAATCTTTCTAATTATATATGGTCCTGAGGTATATACTTTGAAGGATACTTGTACCATACCTTATTGTGCAGTTTTAGCAGAAACAGAAGCTGAGGGAATACGATTATGTAAAACTTCATTCGCTTTAATAACAACTCTCGCAGATCAGCATATCAGGAGCTGTATCCCAAGTGAACCAGAAATTTCAGTAGCTGTCCTGGCATTCAATAATGAGAGCAATAAAAGTGTTTATGCTCTTTACAGATACTATAATTTTAAAGACATATCCCATAGCAATGATACTGAGAATGGAAATATTCATTAACACTAAAATTCTAACATAACTCAGTTGCGAAATGGAACAACGGCATGCAGGAATTCCGTAGCATTTTTTTATGTGGTGATTATGCAGAGTGTATTGATCCTTGAAAATGTACATGTGAAAAGTCACAAGTGAGAAAAGTCAAATGGAAAAAATATGTTTACAGGGTCTCAAATATGTAAAAATTAGTATACATTAATTCTGCCATTCAGTATTCAATAAGTATTTAACTATGACCAAGTCTCTGCTCTAAGCACTGGAAAGAAGACAGCAATGAATAAAATAGATCAAAATTCCTGCCCTCATGGAGCCAGTACTCTTATGGGAGGGAGCCAGAAATTGAGGACTAAAGAGATTTGGTAATTTAATATCATGAGATTTCTCCCCCATAAAACTGCATACACACACACACACACACACACACACACAGGATGCCCAAAAATAATACTCAATATATATTTATAACAAAAGATGAATACAAGTCATTTGACTTCTGCAGTTATAAGAGGTGCTCAAAGTGGTTACCATCAGCATAATTTTAATACAGTTTTTCCTTTTAAAAATGTGTATACATTTTTTTGGCACCCTCTGTGTGTGTGTGTGTGTGTGCATGTGCACACATGTGTGTATATAATATGTACTATACCATATATTTAGATAAAGATATCGATATAGAATAGATATATACAAAAGTTTTTCCCTCGTTCAATATGTTTTGTTTTGTTAGAAATAAAAATTCCTTTGATCACTTCACTCAACCACTATTTGTTGAGTTCTTCCTATGTGTCATGTCCTCTTCTAGGCACATGGAATATAGTGTGAACGCAACAAACACACCTATTCTCATGGCACTACTGTCTAGTGGGAGAGACAGATTATAAGATAATATAAAACTATATATTCTTAAGAATATATATTACAACACATAAGAAGATATAATATATTTTTTAAGAATATTAGTAAAATATATATATAAGGTTAGATGGTGACTAAGGGGCAGATGTAATAATGAAAATGAGATATGAATGCTGAGAGAAGGCCAACTTCCAGATTGGGAGGTCAAGAAAGACTCCTTGAGAAGATGACTTTTGAGTAAATATTTTTAAAAAAACGAATGTGCTAATAGTGTGATGGTATGGGGGGAGAAACATTCTGGGCAGAGGGATCAGCAAGTATAAAGACCCTGAGGTGAGAATGTGCCTGGATTGTCCAAGGTACATCAAGGTAGCCAGTGGTTGGAGGACAGTGAATGAAGGAGAGAGAAGTAGGAAATGAGATTAAAGGTGTAACAGCAGACCACATCACATCCAGCCTTTGAAATCTTTGAAAGGATATTAACATTCATTCTAATAATGAAACGATATTGGAGGGTTTTTAACAAAAGAGAACTGTGATCAGGTATGCATTAAAATACTCCTGCTGTTAAGAATAGACAGTAGATACAGGGAGGCTTTTAGGAGACTGTTGCAGTAATCCAGGTTGAGACAATAGCTTAGACAAACAAAGTAAGATAAGCATTTTGAACTGTGGCATCCAGAGGAAAGGATGGAGGTATATCAGGAGACAGTGTTCCCCCTGCCAGAGCCCACCTGCCAAAGAGGAGGGGATATTCAGGAATCTCTCCCTAAACCCTTGCTCTGTTTCCAGTGGTAAGGACAATGTAGGACACATTCTAAGTGCTTGACTTAGGTTGCTTAAATATCGCAGAACAAAAAAAGAATATGTAAGCAAATTTCTATCTCCTGGCTGCCTCTTGCTACAGAACACTCTTCTCACTTTTGTCCTCATTTTCGCTTCTTTGGTTATTTACTTATGAATTAGCATGTTTAATGTTCATTGATGTCTGAAGAAAGCTTCAGTTTTCAATGACCTACCTGAAGTTAAAATGACAGAACAGTAAAGATTCCATTGAATCATTTTTTCTATCTCATATTTTTATAAACTGAAAGCACTATTATTGCCTTTATCATTAAAGAGCCTAAGACTGATTGTAACTGTAATTTTTTTTTTAGGGAACAACTTAATTCTTTATTGAAGACCTATAACATTTCTTATGGGAACCAGGAAAATCTGCATATTGTATATGGACAGGTAAGTCCATCAAAGAAATGCAATATAGTTAATTCACAGAAAAAATTCCATGAAGTACACAGGAGTCAGGATGAGTTAGGGGTTCATAAGCCAGCAACATAAATGGTCTCAGAGAAACAGGCAAATCTTTACACTTGAGCATCATCTTTTTAAAAAGTATAACACAAAATCTCAGTCCTGGAACACCTGTGACTTTCTAAGCATTTTGGGGAGGATAAAAAAGCATTTAAAAATAATATACTTCAATAATATACTTGCTTTCTACTTTAAAGACAGTGTATTAGTATCTTTTAAACAGCAATTCCACTAGAAATCTATCCTGATATTTTCTTATAAATGCACCAGGTTGCATTTAGAAGGAGATTCACATTGATACCATTTGTAATGGCAAACATCTGAAGATATCTTCAGTCTCTGCCAATGGAGATTGCTTGAATAAATCATGACATATCTGTAACATAGTTTGATTTGCTTGTTAAATTAACAAATGTTAAAGTGAATGTGGACTATGTCATAGTAACAACATATTTTAAAATGTTAAATGCAACTGGCAGGCTACTATACACACTGGCCTCAGATCGATCTTCCTTCCTTCCTTCCTTCCTTCCTTCCTTCCTCCCTCCCTCCTTCCCTCCCTTCCTTCCTTCCTTCATCCCTTCATCCCTTCATCCCTTCCTTCCTTTTTCTTTCTTTTCTTTCTTTCATTTGAATGCCTCATTCTCCATAGGTCTCTCCATTCAGTCTTGTATTCTAATAGAGCTCACTTCCCATCTTTACAGTATCTTTCTGGTCCCAAGGAACATCATAATTTTCTAATTTTCTGTTTTAAATCTGCAAATTTGATGGTACAGCATTGACTTTAGGCCACCATGATTTGGCTTAAACCTGCAGTTGGGACAAAAGGAAATTTACAAACTGCTCTGGCCTTTACTAGTGAGCTTAAATGATTTAGTTCAATTGAATATTTCAATTACTGTCCCAAATGTTATACAGCAGAATAACTAATCTCTTTATGAAAAATGGGTCAAATTTTAAATTATTTTCATATTATCCTATATCTTAGATCTCTAATATATGTAATTGTAAAAGTATAAAATTTAGGAAAAGATCAACACTTTAAGGAAATGATGATTCAATAGTTTCCATAAAATTCATGATGTTGAGAAATTTATTTTACTTAGGAAACTGTTTGAATTTTGATGTTATAAACACATAAGTTGAGGCACGTCCTTTCCAAATCTGTGAATCAGTACTCAATTTACAACACAAAAGTCATTTAATTGTTTAAATAAAGTCTCATCTTATATAATTTTTAAAAATTATATGAAGTAAAGTATACAGTGAGAATATCAAATAGCTTCGTCTTTCCATCTTTACTCACTGGTCAATAAAATAGAATTCGGTATTATCCAAATCTTCTGACTTAGTGACAATGATGGACACTGTAAAAGGGGGCATCCCATGGAGGATAACATGCAGCTTTCTTAACCTCTGATTAATTAAATAAGCAAATATTTATTGTCTACTATGTGCCACTCACTGTTCTAAAAACTGGAGATAAAGCAATGAAAAAACTAGACAGAATGCTCTGTCTTCATGTCGCTTACATTCTAGTAGTTGGGCAAGAAACAGAAGTAAAACGTATAGTATGTCAGAGGGTAATCAGCAAAGTGAGGAAGCAGCCTCAGGAACCTAAGTGAGATGGAAGAAGCAGAACATTTGACCAAAGACTCTGATATAAGGGAGCAAACTGCAGAAGTCTATGGGACCCGCCTTCTGGCAGAGACGGCAACCTGAATGAGGCTGGCTAGTGTAATGAGGTACAGTTCGAAGCCAGTGTGGCAGGAGCCTCATGAGAATGGGAGTTAGGGGACAGGAAAGCTACAGAGATAACTGGGAAGGGGAAGGCACCTTTCTCAGTGCATAGCGTCTTGCAAATCATTGTAAGGACTTTAGCTTGTACTTGGAATGAGATGGGTAGCCACTGGGGAGTTTTGACTGGAACAGTGACATTATCTAAAAGGACTCATTTTAAAAAGTATCTCTCTAACTACTGGGAATATATGAAGGGGCAAGAGAAGAATGAGATAGACCAGAAAGAAACTATTAGAATAACCTAGGCTAACAATGACGGTGACGAGGACCAGAATCATAGTAGTGGATGTGGCAAATGTGGCCACATTAAGGATATATTTTTAATGTGGAGCTAATAGAATTTGCTAATGCGTTGGATGTTGAATATGAAAGAAAGACTAACAGTGACTATAAAATTCTTGGCCTGAGCAACTGGAAGGATGGTGGTGCTATTTACCAAGATGGCGAAGACTGAGAAAGGAAAATATTTATGGAAGAATTATCAAGAGTTAGTTAGGAACAGATTAAGTTTGATGTCAAGTAAGAGTTCGACAACTGAAGTTCAGGGGGGAGGTTTGGGCTGGAGATATAAATTTGGGAGCTTTTCATTTATGGATGGTATCTAAGAATCCTTAAGATCATCAAGGATATTGGTGTAAATCCAGAAGAGAAGAGGCCTAAGGATCAGGACAATAAAATTAAATAAGTGTAAATAAGCCTTCCGGGATAATTAGTTAATCTCTAAAGAGATGTTTTCTGAAATTAGAAAATATTCTGATATTCCTTACATGACAAAACATAGCATTGTGTGATAATAGTTGGAATATTTCTTATTGAAGGCAAGAATTAGATATCCTCAGAAGAGCAGTTATTCTTTGAATTTTTGATATAAGGGATTAATTAAAGTATAACTAGTCAATTGAAGGATGCTATACATCAATAATTGAAAGATAGTATCTGCATCATGTACTGATATTTCAAAGAACAAATTATTTTTGGCTGTTTAAAACAACTGATTGGTAACCTGACTTCTCAGTCATCTGAAACGTGAACTCAAAAGTGGGAAAAAGAGCAAACTTTGTTTTGGAGTGGCTCCAAAGTAGGATAAACATCTGCCGAAGAAATAATAAGCAATAATACTTATTGAGCATGTATTAAATACCAGGTCCTATGAATTAGGGACTATTATGATGTTCATTCTTTAGAAGAAGCAGCCCAGGTTTAAATGGGTTCAGTCACTTGTCCAAGGTCACACAGTAGCAGAGCCAGGGTTCAAACACAGGTCTCTCTGATTCCAGAGTCTGTAATATTTATTACACTCTCAAATTAGAATTGAGTCATTTATGTTTTTTAATAATTTATTTTTCATAATAACAGCAGTTATTAGATGATTGGAATAGGACTCTTTTTAGTTTCTATACTTTCCAAATTGTCTATAATGATAACACATTGCTTTAATAACAAAAAGTTTTATATATATGAGAGAAAAATACATTAGAAAATAAGTTATATGGGAATGTGCTTTGGTATTAATATTCACATTCACTGAATAAATGTTCAATTGATGTTTGCTAATTTTTCTTTGTTTGCATGGAGTTTCCTTCTTTTGTTATAATATTCCCAGTTTAAAAGAAAGTATTCAAATGTTACTGATTTTTTTCAAGACTATAATTTCTGTTTTACACTTTACACTAGTTTTACATACATTATTTCACTTGTTCTGCATAATAACTTTGTGAGTTAATTTTTTGCTGTGCAGAAATGTGGGAAGAGCCACTAAATCTCTCAACAGCTGTTCTTCTGATTTCTAACTTAGTAGTTTTTAATTCTACTTTAATTTTAAGTTAAAGTGAATTAGAAAATTAAACTTCCACTTAAGAATTATAGAGTTCAGAAAGCATTTTTAACATATTGTGTGTTTTGATGAGCTTGTCATTACCATTATGACTTACTTCACTGGTTGTAGCTGTTGTCAAAACTAAAAGAAAGTTTCAAAAATAGAATGAAAATATAGGTAAATTGAAAAGCCAAATAATTCTACCTGGGAATTTATTTTTTTATCTATTAAGATGTCTTACATACTTAATTTCTACACCTTCAGTTAAAATATTTACCTTCTGTAAATAAGACAAAACCAATGTTTGAGGTGATTGCTTTCTTCTCTAGACTGAAGATGGGAAACCAATTGTTGAAGGAATGCTGGACATTTTCTGGGGAGTAAAACGGCCTATACAGCTGAAAATACAAGATGAGAAGCAAATCCCTTCTTTTACTGTACTGAAGTCACCAGATGTCTTTTCCAAAGGGTAATTAAGGTCTTTTGTGTTTTCAGTTCTTTACAAGATGATCTTCATATTTACATTTATTTGTATGCACTCTTAAAGATGGGAGCTCTATTAAATGCTTATATACAATCTCAATGAATCCCTCAGCAACTATATGAAGTAGGTATTCAGAAACCAGGGCTCTGAAAGGTTAGGTAATTTATGTAAGAACCCCAATTACCATATAGTGGAACTGGACCAAACCTCATATCTACAAGGTCCAGAGCCCATGCTCTTGACTTTTCTGCTGTATTGCTTCTCTCCTGGAAGACTGCATTTCTTCATTGGAAAAGACAAAATGTAAAGGCAAAATTTCAATAGCCCTGGCCTTGTCATCAAAAAAAGGAGATAAAATTTGAATTTCTCTTCTTGGAACAAAGGGCTCTTCCTGCTTTCTGAACACTTAATTATGTTCCACTTGATTGTCGTAATCCTGTTCAGCAGGGTACAGCAAAGTGTATTTGAACCTCAATAAATGTACAAAACAGTTCTCTGTGTGGGTGTTTGCAACTGTACCTTGAATATATAAGTTGGCTGATTTTTCAGTACCCTTTACAATTTTTAGAAAAACTAATAAATATTCCCAGAAGCAGTCATATGCATATTTTTTTTCTGTTTTCATCCTCCCTCTCTCCCTTCCTCTCTTCCTTGTTTAATCCTTGAGTTTCCAACTCATGTCCCTTTTATGTATGCATAAAGGTTACCAAGCCTTCTCTTCACCCATCCTCCCATCCAAACTATAATAGATGGGCTGGAATTCTAGCAGAGGAGAGGATGGAGAGAGGGCTGCCAGGACCGTTTCCATAATCTGATCTTTGGCCATAACCCAGAAATCGCTTTGGGGGAAGCTCTGCTTTTCTTTTGGAGAAAACACGGAACCCTTGCTATGATTGTCACCTTGCCAATCTTTCTCAGACATGATGCTCCAACAATTCTGAACAGGTTGTAATTCCTTATGCATCCTGTGCAGCTTAGCTTATTACTTTCCTGACCCTCTGCCTGGAAGTCTACCTGCTTCTCAACACCCATTTACCTGACTCTCTTCTACCAAAACTTTAAGATTCAAACCAGGTAACACGCCCTCCAGAAAGCCTTTTCTGACCCCTCAGTCTGTACTAGATGCACTGACAGCTTTTCTACATCACTTTCAGAGCATGCCATTAATTGCATGTTTAGGCACTTATCTCCTCTTCTAGCCTGCAAGCTCCCCAAGGGTAAGGAGCATGCCTTCTTCATCTTTGCTATCCCAGTGCCCAGCAGTGTGCTTGGCACAAGAAGAGGCACAGAATATAGTATCTAATGAAGCCCCTAGAAGCCTGGTAGTTAAATTACCTCTGCTCTTTTGTGAGAACTGTCTCTCCATCTACCACTTCTGACTAATCTCCCACCCGAGCTAAGGAATGCAAATTGGCCAAGGGTCCAGGACTTCTGGAAGAGTGGAAGTGAGACCACAGGCTTAGGCAGCTTGATGAAGCCTTGCATCCCTCACCTTCAGGTACTAGAGATTCTAAACGAGAAGGAGCATCATTTAAAAGGAGAAATTGCTCATGGGCCCAGCTTTTGGAAAACTGTATAAGATATGATTTGGTAAAATTATCTGTCACTTTTCATATTACCTAAGAACTCATTTCAAAGTTCTCTGAGCCGCCACCTCCTTTTGATGCATTTTAATTATTTGATTTATGAAAACTTGATAAGTGTGGAACATAATGGGAAGATGTCAAGGAGATATAGTAAAGTGTGTGTATTCTAACAATAAGCCATTGTTATTTTGAATGGCTACCCCAAGATTTTTTTATATTTTTATTTCTCAAATTAAAATTTAAGACACTTGTTCCTAGAAATCCCGAACAAGGCAATAATGATGCCTCTTCACATACTATGGCCGAATAATATCCTCACGAAGTACCTCCCATGGACTCTATTTGCATTTTTCATTGTTTCTCAGAATATTTCTGTGAATCAAATAGGAATTACCTCCTTTAGTTTATAGTTGAGAAAGAATTCCCTAGAAAATGGTGCTTGCCATTTACCATAGAAACAAGACTTAGGGGAGAATGTCTGAGGGCACTGTTGCAGTGCATCAGATCTTTCTGGTGGGAAGAATTGTCAGAAAAAAGATCCCACTCCCCTAAATTGTGTATAGAAATGGACTATTCCCTCACTCTGTCAAATGTCTCTCATATTCCCTTTCTCCTACTGGGTTTCTATGGGCAGAACTTAACATTTGCTCTCACAGGATCATAGATTTGATATATCAGAGGATGGACGTGGAGTAAAAGAAGTGGAATTTTTTATTCAGCTGCAAGAAGGGCTGCTATCTTGTGTCTCTCACGTCATCCTTTGAGAGAATCATCAGTTTGTAAGGCTAGCTTGTCTTAATTATCTTTGAAGTGAGTCACACTAAGTCAGCTTAATGGGAGTGGTAGAAGTTTAAAAATAAATCAGTTTGTTTGAGCTGTGATCACTTGTTATCCTTTATGGATTCAATTCTATGGGCAGTACATTGATCTCTCATATCTGGTCCAACTATTTTCTTTTGAAAATTTTTCATTTTAAAAAAACAGCTTTATTGAGGTTATTTATTTATTTATTTATTTATTTTTGCCCCAGTTTTCATTTCTGTTTTTAATGTCTTTCCAAAGTCAGCTTTGGCACATTTTTGACAAGTCATGGAAGAATGAAATAAAGAGCAGAAACTGGACAGGTGTACATTTAAATAATACCAATAGTGTTTCTTCTTTCTTACAATATGGGTAGAGAAATGTTCTCACTCCATTTGTTTATCAAATTTCTACCTCCTTTTTCTTTTGCAACTCATTAGAAAACCTCCCCATGGTTTAAATTTGCTAATGATATACATCCTGAAGCTTGGTCAGAGTAATGCAAATAGTTTTGTGCTAGGACAAGTTGAACAATTTGATATTATATAAAGCTCTAACCAGTTTTCTTTGGAACACTCTGGGTAACTGCCCTCAAGTTTAGTCATGTGCACAGCTGTATGCAGTGATATTTCAAATGATGCAAAATTGGTGTAGTCTCCTAAGATAGTAGAGAGGAAAAGGGGCTAAACACTTCATATATTGAGCCATGTTGGTCTCTCTATCTTTGCATGACACCACTAAGCTGTAAGAAAGTGAGGACAGTGTCAAGTCTGCCGGAGTTTCTAATAATTTATAGTACATCACTGGTCTGGCCTTCTTGGGCATTCTCGTCTCCCCCGTACCAAATAGCATCAGGTTGCTTTGCCTTTTCAGTTTCTGCTTTTCTTTGGTATTCTGTCTTTCCCATTGCTAACTCTCTTTCTATGATAATCATATCTGCCTCCTTTTGTTTATTAATCTTCTATACATTGGAGAAAATGCATAATTTCATCTACCATAAAAATAACTAGATCCTGAGTTAGGGCCTAAAACTTCTCCTTTTAGTTAAACTTATTACCTATAGTGTTTGGACATTATGATATTAGTTTTGACTTGCTATATTCCAGATAGTAGAGTTTACTGGGAAATTAGTTAACAATATATTAGGATTGCCTTACCTCTTTCTTAAGGCTATTGTGAGGCTCAAGCAAAGTAAAAGTTTTTAAAAGAATTCAAAAGAATTCAAAGATCAACAGAAAAAAGGACCATGGTTATTCATATTCACCACCATTAGTATTAATAAACATTTTTTTGTTGCCACAGGAGTTAATGCCACAAATTCCCTATGAATATTCTTTTGGTCATAAGGAAACAGACATTATGGAAAAGACTCTTAGCAGGACTAAGACTGTTCCTATCAATAATAGTATCCTTCAACCTAAAGTTATCCAGGAATATCTTAGATCCCTTATGGTTCTTGGCCTATCATGAAGTAGATACAGATGATGGTGACCATGATGAGGATGACAGTGAAGATGAGATCATGATAATTTTTAACACATGTTGAGTGCTTACTATATGTTGGGCACTGTTTTAAGAATTTTACACAAATTAACTCAATCTTCTCAACAACCTTATCCTAACTCATGCTGTTATCTCCATTTTAAATAAGGAATACTAAGGCATAGAGAAGATAAATAACTTGTCTAAGGCCAGATAAACAAAATAAAGTATTGGCACAAGTTGTAAAAACAAGCAGTTGTACAGTTTTATTTATCCTGGGCATTAGAATGCATTGAAAATATTAGTATCCTATATAAACCATAATTTTCTAGAAAAGAAGTTTTCATACACTTTCCTCCTTTGTAAATTGCATTCTTCATAATAGTCAAGAGCCTTAAAGATAGGCATTCTATCTCACTAATTTGGAGCCCACTACCTAATAATGCTTTGAATACAACAGGAACTCAGTGCATGTTGGCAGAATGAACACTTGTATCTGAACTCTCTTAAGAGCATTTTAAGATCTCTGTATAACAATGGATTATGTTGGTTTCTACTAATTCCGCTTACACATATGTTTTACAGGTTCTATATAACCTTGGGTTTCAGTGTGTAACTGAATTATTGTGTCAAGGTACGCTCAAAATAAGGATGTATCCTTATCATAGTATAAATATGATTTTAATAATATAAAATTGTTATAAATTAGAGTGCTATGTCTACCTACAGAGTCCCACAATATTAATATATACACTGTAAATCTGAAAATTATCATAGACCACATTATAAATGGAATTAATGTCACTTACAAGATGTATTATTTTTCAGGGGAATGACACGCTGGGGGGAATTTGATGATCTTTATCATATTAGTGAACTGGAAAGAACCCAGATTCCAGTGTCTGAAGCAAAGAATTCTCAGGAAGGTCAGTGTCAAACTGATATTAATGAGGAGAATTAAGACATGAATCATAAATGTTTCTTGGAAATTAAACATTTTACACACTGCTACGTAATAAACTCTTACTTTACATATTTTTTTAAAAGTCTCTTAGGAGCATGATAACTTAAGTTGCTATAGTTCTGGCATGATGTTTAAAAACCTTACTTTGCTATATAAAAATATGATGACTTCAGGGGGCTGGCTCAGTTGGTTAAGAGCTTGCTCAAGAGTGCAAGCTCTGAGCAACAGGGTCGCCAGTTTGATTCCCATATGGGCTCTAGCTGAACCCCAGCTTAAAAAAAAAAATGATGATTTCTAAAAATGACACCAAGTCACTTACATTTATTAGATTAGGGGGAGCTAATGGTTTGAATAAAGTTTGTGTCTATTAAAATTGTTCAATATTTTCCTCAAGGATAAGTATCATTTATTATACTCAGTAGTTTTTTAGTTAGGCCATGACCCTCAGACTAAACTACACATTTTTAGAAGTTGAACATTTTAGTTAGTCAATATTTACATAATCCTGCTTCTCAGAAAGAAGCAGACATACTGTGTCACTATTTATATGAGTATTTGCTGGAGTTGTTTCAAGTGTTTATTTTAAAAAGAGAGAAATCTACTTGAACATCAAATGAGTTTATATCAAACTTGGCGAACCAATGGAAAATGCCAGTAGTCATAATAATAGTGATGATGTGATCAAAATAATATTAATAGCTGTCATTTACTGAGACTCTACTATTAGACTTGATATCTATTTTCCATGGATTTTGTTTTTCATATAATATATAGATATCCAAGGAGGAGCTGATGACTGAGGCTAGGGACAGGAGGAGTGATATTACCAAGGTGGTCTCAGACAAGGGTGCCTATTGCCATTGCCATCATGAATCTACCAACAATTTCCAATGTTTAGCTACTTATTTTTCAACCCATTCTCAATTCAGCTTCCTCTGCTGTCACTATAACAACTTAGATTCTCTAACAAACATGATGTTCCTTTTAGGAATCCCTTTTCTTTGTCTTAATGTTCTCTTAACATCTTTTATATAAAGATGCTTCCAATTAGCCCCTTGAAAATACTCATCTAAACCCAGGGAAATCCCAACACCTTGACACCAAAAATACCATAAAAATCTATTTGGATTTAAGGACCAGTACTAAAGAAAGATGAAATATCTCATGCCTATTTAATGATACTCTAATTACAATAGAAAATTATTTAGAATCCCCAGGTAAAATGGAACACAAATGCCACCAGAGGGCCCTATTATTACATAAGAATAGTGCTATTTACTCACTGTTTAAAAGCATTAGAGTCCATTGCTTAGCTATATATTTACTTGTTAAATACACATACAAATCCTCCCAGGATGCAAACAGGTGGGCGGCTCAATGATATAGGTTTATCACCTTTATTCTTCCCAGATTATTTATCTTATCACAGCAGCACTCTGAAGCCTCATGGAGATGAAGAGCCAGAATCTCCCTTGCTCTATAGAACCATGAGTGAAGCAACCCTAGTGAGAAAAAAGATGAAGCCTCTAATGATGGACAGAAAAGACAGACGGAACCATAGGGCCTCTATTAATGGACACTTTTATAACCATGAAGTGAGTTACAGTTCCACTGCTGTCATTGAAAAGTGTTGTCTATTACGCTAACAATATCGTTTGATTCAACCTACAATTAAAAATAGTAATAATTACAATAGTAGTAGTATATCTAATATTTATTGGGTACTCTCAATGTGTTAGGTATCAAACTATCTGTTTTAAATGGATTTTTGATGAATTATCTCATTAGTCACTAAAACAATGTGATGAAGTAGGTACCATTATATTCTCTACTTTACATATGAGTAAACAGAGGTTCACAGAGGTTAAGCAATTTGTGTTAGGTCACACTGCTTTTAAGGAGTAACTTCCAACTTGACTTCAGAACCCAAATTCTTAGCCACAGTGATGGGTGAACGCTACCCAAGTGGCAGGCCCTGTACCAAGTACTGGAAATATAAAAATGATTTAGTAGACGACTCTGCCAGCAATAAGCAATGAGCTCAGGACATGAGCAAAGAAAACAACGCACTGATAGATGGCATGAGAATCATGTAAGTGCTACAAGAGAGATTGGTTGTACATTTGAACATTAACATTTAAATAAAAGGAAAAAGTCAGCCACAGTTCTATTTATTCCAATAAATCAAATTTCTCATTTTGCCATGTTCCCTTCCAGTTCTTATACATACAGAGGGTGCCAAAGAAAAGTATACACATTTTAAGAAAGGAAAACTGTATTAAAATTGTAATACTCAATATATACCAATAACAAAAGCTGAATACAAGTCACGTTTGACTTCTGCAATTACAAGAGGTGCTCAAAGTGGTTACCATCAGTGTCCAGACACTTCCGATTACGGTGAACTACTGCTTGAGCAACGTTGACCAAAGTGTCCACTTATATACATTTTTTTGGCACCCCCAGTATATGTAAATGTAAGTATAGTTTTTTATATCAGTACAGTTGTAGTTTAGATATAACTTGCATTTTTATTCTTCACTTAATATGTGTTAAATGTACTTGTGCCTTTCCATAGTATTTTTAAGACATTTCACTTTTCTGAAGGTAGAAAATACATTATTTTTTTAAAACAAATATTTTTCATGTCATGTACTTTAGCAATCATTCATCCATTCATTGAATAAATATTTTTAAAAGTACTTACTCGGTGCCAGGCACCATTCTAGCCCTTTAATACAAAATATGAACTCATTTATCTTAAGGTTTTCCCTGTAGGGCTTTTTTTTTTACCTTCGTCCTTCCTTTTCCACCCTTGTGAGGATATCAATATTGTGTCTTTGGTGACTGGTAGGGACAAACCTCCCTTCTAAATTCTTTGTTCAAATTAAACATTTTTCTGCATCAAGAATTATCCTCCTGGCCATGAAGTAACATTGACAGTCCCCCGCCCACAGATGTGCAACTACCAATTTTCCTGGTTTCTTCTTCTCAGAATTGTTGTGTGTGGTCATCTTGTGGAGTGATTTGTGTTAAGGTAGGCTGTGAAAGCCACATTGCTCCAAATGAGTGGCTTCCAGATGGGATCCCCTGTGCTAAGAAAGAAATTGGCACTAAGTTGGCAGCATAGCAGAGTGGTTAAATGGTTCAATGCTTTGGTGATACAGCTTGATGACCTGATTTCAAATTCTTGCAGAGCAAAGTTAAAAATTTACTCAATTTCTTAGCTTTAGTTCCTTCATCCTTCCTACTTTACAAAGTTATTGATGGGATTGAATGAAATAAAGTGAGTTAAGCACAGTGGCTGACACAAAAGAAGAACTCAATTTACATTAGCTTTATTATTGTTTGAAAAAGATCAAGCTTTGGCTGTAGATATTTCATACAAATGTCACTCACTGCAATTTAATAACTAGCAAAAAAGAAAAGCAAAGAAAACCCCAGACCCAAAGCACTCTATCAATAGGTATGCAATAATGAACATATAGAAACTTAAATTGGTATAGTTTTTAAATGTGTTTTTATATCATGAAATTTCTTGCCAATGCCAATATTGTTAGGCTATGGATAATACCCATATTACAGGCTTAGATTGTTATATTTGTAGAAAAATTATGAATATGACTTGACCTGTGGCATATTTCTATCCATGCATTAAGAAACAGGGTTCTATTATGTGTTCTGGCTAACAAAACAGATATTAAGAATTTTGTTTTAAAATAATATTCTAAAAAACATGATTCCAAATTCATCGTGTGTTGGCACACAAGAAGGCCTCTTGAGATCATCTAGTCCTACTCTGTCATAAGTGAAATTACTGATGCTACTTCAGGTCTTAATATCAAGTTTAAGTTGACAAAGTTGGAGTTAGTAGACACTAGAATCTAGGTCTCCTGAATCCTAATCTAGTGCTATTGCCAAACTCCATGAAGATATCAAACCACATGCTTAACATACCCTCACCTTAGTGCAGGAGGCACATAAGCTTCTGCAGGGTGCCATAGAGCTCATAAGCACTGCTTTTAAGTGTCGCAGTGACTTATTCATCCATGCCTTACAATGTCCACCAACACCGAATTTTCTCATACTAAACAAAAGCTTATTCCAAATATCTTCAATGTCTTTTCTGAAAACTTATTTTCATATCCAGATTTTTACTTACATAAATGCTATGTATATGTTTATATCTATATATAGACAGATATAGATATATACACATATATATATATATATTTTTTAATGTTTATTTACTGATCTCCCAATATAGAGCTTATCTATCTAACATTCCATTAAGCCACCCCAAAACCCACTCATCTCCATGTTTTCTGAACCCACCCCATTTCTACAGTCTTGGAACACCTGGAGATCACACATATAAATGAAATATATGGGAATAAAGCTTTACTTGATGTCCTTTTTTATTTTAAAATACACATTTTGTGCCATTATTCTTACATTCCGCTACCTAATGAGTGAGAATGTTTTTCCTTTTTCATGCTTACATGGAGTCATATTTCCTCTGAGTGTTATAAATTATACATATACCATCAATTACCTACCTTGTGAGTCTCCACTCACTATTTTTTAAACTTTGAATGTATATCATTTGTATCATAGGAAAAAATTAATTGTGTCTACTTATGGTTGTTATAGGATTAAATTAGTATTTATAAAGGGTTTAGAATAGATACTGGCATATACTTAGGACTATGCTAAATTAATAATTATTTGAGAATTCTATGTCATTCTTTGGAATAATACCATTATCTTCAGGAATTACATATTTTGCATAACAACCATTAATTTACTTAAATATTTATTTACCTAAATATATAGATCATCCCTTGCCTAAGCATACACACATCTCAATCCTAGGATTAGATATGTAACCAGGAAACATGTACAAGTTAGGGAAATCCTAGCTGAACAAATATTATTGGCCAGCATTTTCCAAAGTATAGCCAAGGTCTATTAGCTATTAATAGGTATATTTAAAAGAATATTGTTTATTTTATAATAGAAATAATGATCAAATTAAGAGTGAATAATCCATGGTTATATGTTTGTTATGATGTTTTTTTTATGGTATAATATATAACTAACCCCCAAGAGGGATGTCTCAGACTTATCTGACCATGGAAACCTTTTACCAAGTATTATCTGGAAGGCAGACTCTTGATTAGAGCAACTGTGGGAAATATTGTTCTAGAGTTTCAATCAATAGCACTTTTACTCCAACTGTCAGGCTGAATCACATGAAATTGCCAACATTGGACTGTTTTGACCAACCAAAAGAGGAGTTATTTCATATGGTTCAAACTAAAAACAATTTAGAATAATTATTTTCAAGCAGAAGGAAGATGTGGCATGTGAGTTTGAAAAAGCCTGTTCACCTTCCGTTTTATTTACAATAGTTAACTTATTTTGAAATCTTAAGTTATACTGAAAAATGGTGTGATTATCTAGTGAAAACATTTTGAATATCCTCAAATAATGTTTTATCTAACTTACTCTAGAAACAATATAAGGCTGCTTAAAAGGAATACATAATATTCAACAACATCAAAGAAAGCATATACAAGAAAACAAGTTTTTTAAACTGGAACTCTGGGTTTGTTTGTTGTTGTTTTTTTGCCCAAAGAAGGCCAATTTCAAGATATTGGCTGTTATTAGTTTGATGTAATTTTAAGGATTTATAAGACAGTTGTTTTTTTCAGACATCAATTTTCACTCCAGCCTTTGGATCAGAAACTAAGGTCAGAATAAACAGTAACATGAAAACTGAAGAAGTAATAAAGCAACTTCTCCAAAAATTTAAGGTAATCTTTATCACTGAACTGAGCTGTGAATATCTTGTATAGAATTTAACTGTAGACACATAAATGCTCTCTTCCAAAAAAGTCTTATGAATGTGTAAATCTGAATTAAATGTTCAGTTCTAAAGAATTCCTTTCTATGTATGACACCTTTTATTAATTGTGCCCTGAGAAATTACATTCTTCCCAGGGAGTAGAGGTTTTATGCCTGAAAGTGAGGAAATGAATACATAATTTGGACATGGTTGGCTTAGGAAACATCATATGAGAACAAAGAATTCATGTCTGTTCATTTTTTTCCACTGACAGATTGAAAACAGTGCCCAGGATTTTGCACTTTACATTATTTTTGCAACGGGAGGTAAGCAAGCTTGATCACTCTTTTGACATGATTCTAGTGTGTTGTAGCTTTCTGCCCATAGGGAAGGCAGAAGAGCAGTTTCCCTCATTCTGTGGAAGACAGGGAGAGAAGGAAGGAGTAAGTGAGGGGAGGGTGTTTTAGAAGGACCAAAGAATAATGGATCCTAGGAAAGTTTACAATACGATAGTTTGCTTTCTGGCCAAACGTTCAATTATCTGAATGGTGATCAGAACCCTCAAGAATCCATGAAGGTTTCCAGGAATTCTTAAGCATTGTTGATTTCTGTACTCCCTTCCTTTTGGCTTTCCCTTCTCACTCTCAATCTTACTAGAGTCATCCTTGCATACCGTTTTTCTCTGATCTTGTTATTATTATCTCTTTTTTAGTAGAGTGCCTGATAAATGTTTGCGAGTGTTATCTCTTCCTCAGTAGAGAAACATTCAGAAGTTAGTGGTAGGGGTGAAAGGTTACAATCAGGGCATTAGGAAGGCACTATAAGCAGGGAGTGAAAGAAAACCTAAAGTGATACTAAAATTTTTTAAAACCTCAAAATTGAAAAAATTTAAATGTTAAATTGTAGAAATATCCCAGATTACAATTTAAGTGTCAGAATGTTTAAGTCAGAAATAAATAGAAGAAAATAATACACTTTGATGCCAGAATAACTATAAGAACATGAAAGCAGAATCTACAAACATTATACAAAATTAAAGTCTTTATAATTTAAAAGTTTATAAGAAATATATGTAAATATTTGAAAATTCTAAGGATTTATATATATTCATACTCTCATTTACAAAAAAATTGAAAGGTATAAAATAAAAGATAGAAGCATTGAACTGTATAAAATGTAAAAGATATAAACAGTGTATTATGAAGAATATCAGAAAAAAATTAGTACCTGCAATATCAAAGAGTTATTGCAAAATGATAACAAAATGACAACCAATTCAATAAAAATAGAAAGAAGTATGATAATGGAATTCAAAGAATAAAAAATTAAAATGACCAATAAATATTTTTAGGAAAACTCTTAAACTCAAGGAAATATAAGAATTCAAAAAAAAAAAACGCAGTAGTCAAAGAAATGCAAGTTCAACCCCAAATGTAATATTATCTTGTACTTATCATATTGGCAAAATGTTTTTAAGTGGTTCTACATATCATTGATGTAGATAAAGGTAAAGGGTACTTTCATGCAATTTTGGTGAAAATATGACTGTCTTTGCTTTTTCAGAACTCATTCTAGCAGTATTTATTAGAATTTACAGTATGCATATCCTTTATTCTAGAATCCCACTGGTGAGAACTTATTTCACAAAAATAGAAGGGCTAGTACCTAAAGATTTATGTGCAAGGCTGTTTATAATGACAAAGAGATAAAAACAAATTTACCAGCTATAGAGGAATGATTGAATAAATGATTATTATTCAGACATTTAATAGAATGAGTTAGATTTATACCAGCTGAATAGAAGAAATTCTATAATATATATTAAGTGAAAAATGCAAGTTGCCTAAAAATGTATATCTATAACCCATTTTTGTAAAGGAATTATACATCCCTATTTAAATATGTGGTATGTATGATCATATGATCAGGTAGAAAGGTATATAAATACCAAGCCATTAATAACAATAACCTAGTTAGGGTGTTAGGGAGATAGATGCAGGAAAGAGGATGGGAAGGCAGAAGAACACAGAAGCAAAGCAATACACTAAATCATGGTTTTAAAAAAATATGTCTACAATAAAAATAGAGTATGATATTACCATCTTTATGTATTGTGTGTTTGTGTGCACAAAGAGATACACAAAGAGATGGCCACTCAATGGGTAAGGCTGATTGTCTCAGAGTTATAGGATCCTAGGTGATTTTTACTTTTTTCCTCATACTTTTGTCCATAGATTTAATTACAATGGCATGTGTGTGTGTGTGTGTGTGTGTGTGTTTTAAGTTTATTGAGGAATATTTTTGAATAATTTTATATATATTGTACATATGTAATTATGATGTTTTATATATATATATATAATAGTATATAATTAAAATGTATGACATGATTACTTAATACATATATTCATTGTGGAATGATTACCAAGATTAAGATAATAAACACACTCATCACTTCACATAGTTAACTTATTTTCTTGTGGTAAGAATGCTTAAGATTTACTCTCAGTAACTTTCAAGTGCACAATACCATATTATAAACTACAGTCACCATGCTTTAAGTTAAATCCTCAGAACTTATTTTTCTAATAACTGAAAATTTGAACTCTTTGACTTAGATCATCCCATCCCCCCCATAGCATGTGTTATTTTTTATAATCACAAAAAGTCTATCTTCACTTGAAAAGTGCAGTACTTTAAAATTGTATCTGTGAAAATCATGTTTTCTTTTATATTTTGATAAATTTTCACACATAAAATCAAGAACTGAAGATAATCACAACTAGGACCTTTTAGGGACCAGGAACAGAGAAAAGAATGTGGTATATAGTGCCTCTCTGGGTAGTAATGTGGAAAATGAAGATAAGTGCATTTTAAGAACTTATATCCTCTAAGCCCATGATCTCTAACAGTGTTTCTCAAATTGTAGTGTACTTCAGAATTACCTGGAGTGTTCATTTAAAACACAAATTCCCAAGCCTTCCCAGTTCTGGGGACAGTCTAGGAATATGCATTTCTAATAATTATCTGTGACTATGAAACAAAATAATGAAGCAAAAAGCCTTGCTCTATAATATCAAGACTGGAATAAACTGAAGATGCAAAAATAAGCTAACATAAAATGTAGAGGTCAAAAGAGGATTCTTGTGGGGTAATGAAAGGAGCTAAATTACTGGGATTCCCTATTGCTTCAGAAATGATAGAGGAATAGGAGAGGAGATCCAAGATGGCGGAGTAGATAAACATTGTGCCTGCTTCCTTCCATGAACACATTAAAATTACAACTAAATTTTAGAACAATGAATCTGTAACATCATATGAAGTCTGGCTGAACAGAAGTTTTATAACTAAGGATATAAAAAGAAGCCACGGCGAGACGGGGGGTGGGGGTGGGGGGAGGAGCAGAGATGTGAACCGGCTGGCCCCAAACCTCCCTGGGCAATTGAGAACCGGGAGAGATATCTTGGCCATGGAGGTTACCCCCAAAAGGAGCGAGGGACCCTGACTGCATACCAGTCTCCCCAGGCCGGAGTACTGGTGCCGGAAAAAGGAGCCCCCACAACACCTGGCTGTGAAAACCAGTGAGGATTCCAACCATCCGGGTGGGAGGAAGGCTACAGGAAACACAGGCATCCTCTTAAATGGCCCACGCATAGACTCGCTGGCTAGCAGGCACTCACCTTGGGTTCCAGCGGAGGCACAGCAACCTGGGGGTGTCAGAGACATACGCCAGGCCAGCTGAGGTATGTGGCTTCATAACAAGGTCTGGAGGAAAGTCGGCATTTTCCCTGTGTGGGTATCTTTCTCCTGTGCAGCCGGCAGGCAGACGCCATCTTTCCTGTGTTGAGCCCGCCCCCACAGGCCAAATCTGAATCTGATTGGCTCAGTGAGCTTCACTGCTCCACCCTGCTGACTCACTGGGACCCCGCCCCACCCAACTCACCCAACACCAAAGGCACTTTCTCCAAGAGCAACCAGCCCCACCCACATTTCACTCTTTCTTGGAAAACTATCAAAGCCTGTGGGCCCCAGGTGGGCAGCAACTGGCCTTGGTGTGCTCTGAGACTTTTGCTGAGTAACTTCAGGCTCAGCACTGGCACCAAACCAGAATCTACATTAACATGTTGAACACACTCTTCCCACTCTACTGACTCCCTGAGACCCTGCCTCACCAAACTTGCATACTGCACAAGGCTTTATCAGTGGCTAAACCTTAAGGGAGCCATCAGGTGGCAGCAGGCCTCAGAGTATCCTGGCATTTTGCGGAGCTACCCCTGGCCCAGTACTGGTGGCAAACATCCTCAGTTCACAGAGTGGGCTCTCCCATGTGCCTCCAGATTAGCAGGCAGCAAAAAACTGTGGATCACTTTGTAGCTCCTACCAATCCCTGGCCAGTCACAGGCAGTGAGTGACTCAGAGCCCCTCACAAGAAGCCCCAGAGCCAATATACATGGAGGTTGGCTTCAGGCTACAGCAAAGCACAGCCCAATTATCCTGACAAACATCGCACTCAAACGATGATCTCAACAGAGACCACAGCCTGCTGGGCTGAATTCCACTCAGTGGGCTAAGCTCCCAGAACAACTGCCTATAAGCTGTGGTCGTGGCCAAACCCCACAGCCAATCAGCCTGCAGGTCCATCCCACCCACTGACATGGAGTGGCAATCAAAGCTCAACTATAACAGGAGGGCACACACAACCTTCACAAGGGATGCTCCTGAAACACTCAGAGCAGGTGACCAGGGAGACTGTGCCACTGGGCCCCACAGGACACCTACTACATAGGGCCACCCAGCCAAGACTAGGAGACATAGCAGATCTACCTAATACAAAGAAACAAATAGAGAGGCAGCGAAAATGAGGAAACAAAGAAATACATCCTAAATGAAAGAACAAGAGAAAACTCTAGAAAAAGAACTGAATGAAATAGAGACAAGCAACCTATTAAATGCAGAGTTCAAAACAATGGTTATAAGGATGCTCAAGGAACTTAGTGAGAATGTCAACAAAGAGATAGCAAGCATTAAAAAAGACATAGAAACCATAGAAAAGAACTGGGCAGAGTGAAGAATACAATAACTGAATGAAGAATGCACTAGAAGGAATCAGCAGCAGACTAGATGAAGCAGAGGACAAAATAAGCCTTAGATTTAGAAGACAAGGTAGCAGAAAACACCTAATCAGAATAGCAAAAAGAAAATAGAATTTTTTTTTAAAAGTGAGAATAGTTTAAGAGTCCTCTGGGACAACATCAAGTGTAACAACATTCGCATCATAGGGGTACCGGAGAAGAAGAGAAAAAGCAAGAGATTGAAAACCTATTTGAAGAAATAATGACTGAAAACCTTCTTAACATGGCAAAAGAAATAGATATACAAGCCCAGGAAGCGCAGAGAGTGCCAAACAAGATGAACCCAAATAGGGCCACAAGAAGACACATCATAAATAAAATGGCAAAGGTTAAAGACAACGAAAGAAGCCTAAAAGCAACAAGAGAAAGGCAACTAGTAACTTATAAGGGCACTTCCATAAGATTGTCAGCTGATTTCTCAACAGAAACTTTGCAGGCCAGAAAGGATTGGCACAAAACATTCAAAGTGATGAAAACCAAGGACCTACAACCAAGAGTACTCTACCCAGCAAGGCTATCATTGAAAATTGACAAAGAGATTCCCAGACAAAAAAAAAGCTAAAGGAATTCATCCCCACCAAACCAGTATTACAAGCAATGGTAGAGGGACTTTTTTTAAGATTGAAAAAAAAAATCAAAAATATGAATAATAAAATGGCAATAACTATATGTCTATCAACAATGACTTCCAATGTAAGTGGGTTAAATGCCCCAATCAAAAGTCATAGGGTGAATGGATAAGAAACCAAAACCCTTACATCTGCTGCCTACAAGAGACTCACTTCAAATTGAAAGACACACACAGTCTGAAAGTTAAAGGATAGAAAAAGATATTTCATGAAAATGGAATCAAACAAACAAAAAAGCTGGGGAAGCAATACTTATACCCCCAAAAATAGACTTTAAAACAAAGGCTGTAACAAGAACCAAAAAAGGACCCAGTAATCCCACTTCTGGGTATTTATCAGAAGAAACCCAAAGCGCTACATATGCATCCATTTGTTCATTGCAGCATTATTTACAATGGCCGAGATGTGGAAGCAGCCTGGGTGTCTGTTGATGGAAGAATAGATAAAAAGGAGGTAGTACATATATACAATGGACTATTGCTCAACCATGGAAGGGAATGGGTCCCTGCCATCTGTGACAGCATGGATGGACATGGAGGGTATTGTGCTGAGTGGAGTATGTTAGACGGAGAAAGACAGATGCAAATTTGTTTTAACTATACATGGAATCTAAAGGACAAAATAAACAAACAAAACAGAAACAAACTCATGGATACAGAGAATATTTTGATGGTTGCCAAATGGGAGGGATTGGGTGAAAAAGGGGAAGGGATTAAGAAGTACAAATTGGTTGTTACAAAGTAGACATGGGGATGTAGGGTATAGCATAAGGAATACAGTCAATAATATTGTAATAACTATCTATGGTGTCAGATGGGTACTAGATATATTGGGGTGATAGGAGCGGTGTTAAGGTGCAGGGTGAAAAAAGTGAAGGGAGTAAGAAGTACAAATTGGTAGTTACAAAATAGTCATGGGGATGTAAAGCAAAGCATAGAGAATATAGTAAATAATATGGTAATAAACATGTATAGTGCCAGGTGGGTACTAGAATAGTCAGAGGATAACTTCTTAAATTATATAAATGTCTAACCATTATGCTGTACACTTGAAATTAATATATAATAGTATTGAATGTCAACTGTGATTTAAAATTTTAATAAGAGGGGAAGGTAAAGGTGAATAAGAGGTTCAAATTTCCAGGTATAAAACATAAACCATGGGACATAATGTACAGCATAGGGAATACAGTCAATAATAATTTGATAGTGTGGTATGGTGTCAGATGGTTGCTGGACTTATCATGGTGATCATTTCTTTAGGTATATAAATGTTGAATAACTATGGTGTACATCTGAAGCTAATATAATGTGTGTTAGCTATATTTTAGTAAAAATCTTTTAAAAATGGAAAGAAATCTACTTTTAGCTCATTTAAAGGTTTTAATTTTAACTTGATTCTTTTGAGTTGAGTGCTCCTATTGTATGTTCTTCTTTCAAAACAAGCTAAAGAAAGAAAATGAATGGATAAATTATCTTTCTTCTTTTTATTTAGTATGAACTCCTGATGTAGTTTGTTCTTGGTTTCATTTGCAGAGCAGAAACGGCTAAAGAAGACAGACATTCCACTACTGCATAGGCTCCTACAGGGACCATCCAAAAAGAATGCTCGCATTTTCCTCATGGATAAAGATACAGAAGAAATTAGCAGTGATGTATGGATACCATCACCCTGAATCTGTCTTTGCTTACCCCTGACTCAGACCTTCTTAAATAAATGTTCTGCTTTCTTCTGTTTTTTTTTTTTTCAGGTGGCTCAGTACATTAACTTTCATTTTTCTCTCCTGGAATCCATCCTTCAAAGATTAAATGAGGAAGAGAAAAGAGAGATTCAAAGAATAATAACAAAGTAAGTCAAGAGCAAGCACACTGGGTGCTCGCTCCTTTAATAAGTGCAATGCACAAAATGTGTCCAATTTTTAATACTCCTTTTCTCCTTTTCATTTTCAGGTTCAGTACAGAAAAGGCTATTATACTGAAGTGTCTTCAAAGTAAACAAGTAGTAAAAACAGAGACGACCGTTTAATAGTATAGGGCACTATTGCTAAAATGCTTCAACAAAATTAGAGGTGTTACTAACTTGATGAATGCATACATTCTATACTGCATTCATACAAATACATATGAACTTTAATCTGTAGAAAATTGAATGTTGTAAAAGCTTGTCTCTGAAGTGATGAGGTAAACTAGGGTTCACAGTTGGACTGAAATGAGCTTGAATTTAGTTTCAGTAACTAAAATAAACTTGGATACTGTGTATTCCAAATAGGTTTTGTAGTGAAACACTCAATGAACATATTATGCAGTTAAAACTTCTTTTAGCTTGAATTGTCAAGAGAACTGGAATATCATCAAACAACTCTCAAAAATGATACAGAACTAAAAGCTGCCAACTCTTGAAATAAAGCAGAAGCATATTCTCACCCTCCGAGGAACCTGATGGTGAGAGTGTTTTACAGCTCCTTGAAAACTCTAACATTTTCATAACATCTAGGGCTGTCTTTCTATGGGTAGGTGACTTTTGGCTATCTGTAACCTCAGAGCTATCTGTCCTTTGGGAAGGAAAAGATTTTGGACGCTGTTAAGAAATCCAAATTTTCTCAACTTGAGCCTTTCGTTTTGCTCTGTTCTACTGATGACTTTCAAAACTATGCTTAAGCTTTTGTCTTTTAGGTAAGGTGAACTATTTTACTTTATTTTTCCAAACAAATATGCCACAGTGACTTACTATATTTAATGTGCTAAGCCAAGACTTACCCCTCAATAGCCATTGTTGCTGAATGAATACAAAGGAGAATGCAAAGCTATAGTAGCTGAAGCTAGATAGGGAATCCAGAGGGCTGAATTTTTTCTCCAAGACATCTCATTCCATAAAGTAATTCTCAAGGTACTTACAAGTCTGCTAAAGCAATTTGAAAAAAAATTAAAAAAGAAGCACTCAAAGTGCCACAAGTACCATCTATTATTTTATTTATGAACTCTATATCAAAATGGAGTTGTATACTGCTTTCTTCCATCCTCTAAACTACTTCCATTTGCATTTCTCATAATCATTGTATTAAATTGTTGGATTACATTACATGCACTACATGGGATAATGTTGTATGTACAAAGCCCAGTTGGAAGATTAACTATCAAAATATGAAACCTTTTTTAAAAAAAGATATTACCCTTAGTGTCACCAAAATCTAAACTGGATGAAAGGCAAAGTGTGCTGTGACCTTTTCAGTCCTAGGAAATATCTTTTATTGAGTAAAACAGAGGATTGACTTGTTATCCTTTCATCTATAAGTTAATAAGAAAACACTCTCATCTTGCTAAAATAAGACATGCAATAGTTAAAATTCAGTAAATTTATAAAAGATTTATTTTTAATTTATTTTTTTATTGTTAGTTTCTGGTGTACAGAACAATACAATAGTTACCCTTTTTTCACCCTCACCAGGTAACAGATTTAAAGTAGCAGCAAGCACCTGCCATAAACATGACAAAAGATTCCTGTTTAATATATTGAAAGTCTACAAAATACATCAGAAAAATACTGAGTGTTGAATGGGGGGTGGAGGAGAAGGCAAATGGCATGCAAAGTAAAAACAAAGAAGAAGAAATGCAAATGGCTACTATGTGAAAAAAGTGATATCTTAACAGTGATCAACTGTATTAGTCTGTGTCCAATCAAGAGACAAAAACTATACAGTAATTTAAACAGGGGTGTTTAGTATAAAGAAGTATTAAGTATTTAGATAAGAGAGTAACTACTCGTAAAAGGTGGGAAAAGGACTTTAAATGGTAGACTAAGGCTGATAGAGACTGCTCCAAAAAAAAGGAAAAGTTTGGAATGAGGGGTTCAGAATTCACTAGAGAAGGTGTGGCTGCAGCCCACTGGATAGAGAAGTTCACTGGTTGCCCAGGCCAGAGCAGGGCCGCAGTCATAGGTCAAGAAGGAACAATCCTCTAGGGTATGGACCAACCTGGGCAGGTGGGCAGGTGTGCTGAGAGACTTGGGCTTCAATGCAGGTGCAAGGCTCAGATTATATAGGTGTATGTCTAGAGGTCCCCAGAAAACAGTTTGGGGGAACAGGCAAGCCAAGGCTGAAGGGTAAGCACAAAGATAGAATCAGGAGTACTGCTGCAGGCGCTGCTAGGACTGGGAGCTGGCGAGGCCTCCTTTGAAGGAACCTAGTACAACTTTGTGTATGACTTGGGCTGTGGCATCTTCAAGGCTTCATGGGACATAGGTTGGGCATGTGGCTCACTAGATGGCCAGTCCCACAGGGCCCTCTCTGAGAGCACGCACCTAGATGAGGAGAAGATACAGAGAACAATGATGTAAGCTAGGGTATAGGCCTGCACTGGGGCTCCAGGCTGTGCCACTACAAGCCAAATCAAAAGCTGGAAAAGGGGTTGGGGAAATAAAGGCTAAAGAAAGCTGCACCCTACAAACAAATAGCACAGGAGAAACCATGGTGGGCAGAGCAGTGGAGAAAAATGTCACCTTCCCAAGAGGCAGACCAGCCAGCCCTTAGGAATCAGGAAAGACCAACTTCCTCCTACAATGTTTCTCTAGTTCCCTCTGCTGACAAAGCATGACATGCAAGCTACAAAGAAAACATATTTAAAGGGCCCATATCCATTTCACAGAGCATACAGCAAAGAATGAATTTGGGATGGAAGGGCAATGAAAAAACTGGCATGTCAACAAAACACAGAGTAAAGAAAAGTGAAATATCCTTTTGGTCTTTAATTTAGTAAAGATTAAGAAATGATAATGTTATTCAACAAATTACAATGAGATGGGCTTTCAAACTACTGATAGATATACAAATATATATATAATTTCTCTTGAAAACAACTGAGCAGTACATCCTATAATTCTACTTTTAGGATCTTATATTGAAATAATCAGACATAAAAGACATTATGCAAAGATACTTACTATATTCCAACTTATTGTGATAAAAGGAAGTAAATTGCCTACATTGTAAAAAATAGAAAGATTAAAGGAAAGAAGCATTTATCCATACAATGTTATGCAGACATTAGAATTGTTTCCAAATAAATTTTAATTATAGTGATAAATTCTCCTTATGTATCTAAATAAGAATATACACACAAATATTCCCAAATATTTACTATCCATAAAAATATGTGTTCATATGTGTATGAACACTAATATTTATAAATACAACTCACAAACTAGAAACAATATGTTAAATGTGGTTATGTCTGGATTGTAGAATTATGGGTGGTTCACCTTTTTTCCTATGTTTATTAAATATTCTCTAATGAATATGGGTTACTTTTTAAAATCAGGAAATAGAAAAGTTATGATTAAAAAGTTACGAACAAAAAGTAGCAAGTCATGGAAATACAGAGTCCTACTAGATGCAAAAAAGTTCAATTAAATTATTTAAATGAGACATTAGCATCACTTCTGTGGTAGTTTTAAAATTATCCATAAAGTCTTTTTTTTTTTTAAGATTTTTTTGGGGAATCTTGGGAGGGGAACAGCGCTGGGGAATCGGGGAAAGGGGAACAGACAAGTTACTGTCCTTTTGTTCTTCAGTCTAGTTGTGGAGACTGTTCCTTCACTGGCCCATGTTGGTATCATCATTGCGCTCTTCCCGGGTGAGGCAGATTGGTCACCGGCCTCTGGACGGCCGCTCACGGCGCCTCTTGGCAGCTCACACCGGCTGCTGGTTGCTCACCCTGGCTGCTGGCCACTCACGGTAGCTTATAGCAGCCCCACTGCAGCAGGGGCTACAGCCTATGCCGTCGCCGGCAACTCATGGCAGCCCAGCTCCAGGTGGAGCTGTTGTTCACTATCTTAGCTGTAGAGGGCAGTTTCACTGGCCCTCATGTGAGATCCGAACCGGGGCACTGCTGCTCAGAGCCAGCGTTCCAAGCCAGCTCTTAACCAATGCGCCACTCAGCCGGCCCCATAAAGTCTTTCATAGTCCTTCTTTCAAGACGTATAGCCTAATTTTCCTTATCTTGCAAGTGGATTGGACTTAGTGACTAAATTCTAATGAATAGAGGAAAGCAGAACAGGACAGTGTGTAATTTTAAAGACTCGGTCATAAAAGTCACTGAGGAGTCCTCCTTGCTCACTGTCACAGATCTCTGACCCTGGGAGAAGCCAACTGCCATGTCCAGAGCAGCCCTGGGGAAAGGTCTAGATGATCAGAATGGAAGAGACCTTTTGCCAAAAGCCAGTAAGGAATTGAAGCATTCTATCCACAGCTATTTGAGTGGGCCATGGTCTAGCTAGCCCTAGTCAAGCCTTCGGATAACTATAGCCCTATCTAATAACTTGACTACAACCTCGTTAGAGACCCTGAGCCAGAAAACAGCCAAACCACTCCAGATTCCTTGTCCTCAGAAACTATGTAAGATAAAAAAATGTGTGTTGTAGTACCCTGCTAAATTCTAGGATTATTTCCTTCACAATAGATAACTAATACAATTTCTGAGACAAAAACCTGTTCACTTCAGAGTCATCTTTGCATAATAGAAGACTATGAACTTCTGTCACAAAACCACTTTCCTTGTTTTAGATGGTCCAAATATTTCACCACCAGTTACATGGTAGTTCAAATTCAGTTCCAAATAATGTTGTATTTATTAATGGTAGAAGACCTGTCACATTCATCTTTGTATACTTTGCTGTTACTAGTTGTTGTGTCTTGTGTACAGGATGTGCTCTATAAATATCAGTTGAATAAAGAACTGAATGAATTAGTGAATAAAAGAAGGAGTGAATGAAGTATCTCAAACATTTTTGTAAAATACCCTGTACAAATGCCTCCTTTTTCACAAATCTGATCTAGCAACTGAAGAAATATGTACAGAATCTTTTCTACATAGTTTTCCCTAATGTGATGGTATATTATATTATCTCTTGGCTGTATGAAATATTCAATTAGACAGTGTTACTATGAAATTTTATTTAGGGCTGTTCAGATTGGTTTCAGGAACAGAAGGTGAAAGAAGTCCATTTGCAAGGCAGTTGATGACGTAGAAAAGATGGCAGGTGTAACTATGTACTGTGTTGGCATACCTACACGTGAACAAAACAAAGGAATATGATGCAATTCGACAGGACAGAACTCTTCAGCGGCATCCATTTGTCTTCTAAATTAATAATGATAGCTAACACCAAATAAACTGAGCCTTTTGAAATTGTTGATATTTGATCTAAACAGCAGCAGTTTCTTCTTATAGCACTTACCATTTGCCAACCACTATTTTAAGCACTTTACATATATCAACTCATTTAATGTTCATTATAGTACCATGAGGAAATTACTCTTTCAATCCAGTTTTGTAGATGATGAACGTAAGCCATGAAGAGGGTAGGAGATTTGCTAAAGTCTTTAGGAGAAGAGGTAGGTAGGATTTGAACCTGTGCCTCCAGAGTCCACACTTTTAACCATCATAATCTATGGCCTCACCCTAAACTACACTCCCTTAATCTGGCATTCTTATGTGTCCTCATTTTTAAAATGGGAATAATAGTATGTACCTCGTGGGATGGTTGTAGACGTTATAAGCATAATACATATAATAATACAATATGATAATAATACATGGCTGGCACTTTGCACAGACATGTATGATAAATATTAGCTGTTAGAATTAAACTATAATATGTCCCTACCCATTATTGTAGGCCTATCATCCACTAAATTTTATGCCCACAACTACTTAACTCTTGTCTTAAACTAGCCAAACTAGCTCACTTACCATTCCGTGAAACACCTCACACTCTACCACATCTCTCTCTGTTGAAACCATGCCCACTGTCTAGTCCTTGACCAGGGTCACTTCTTCCATGATCTTTCCTGGTCTTTGTGACACTTTGTGATCTCAATCTCCTGTGTACCACATTATCAGCTGGCTCTGCTTATGACACTGGAAATTTGAAATTTGTCCTTTATTATAATCCCTTATGTGTTTATATCTTGTATGAATTCATGAATGATCTGGTTTTAATCATATTCATGTTACTCCCTGCAGCACCTAGCACAGTGTATTGAATGCAATATGTATTTAATATCTGATTATTGGATTTAACTTGCTAATGTATAGGAACATGTTGAAATCACTGGAGTGAGGAATGCTATTTACAATGAAGTAAAGAGCACTATAATGATAATTAATTTTTTTCTCTAATCAAAATAATTCACTTACTTAGGAAGCAGTAAACTATTACTGATTATTTTTTATGACCCCCAACACACCTGGAAAAGTAAAAATAAGTCCAAATAATAAGTTCTTTATGTCATTTATGCCAGGATTTCCAGGGAAAAGACTACTATTAGAAATCATCAGTGAGGGTGGCTGGATGGCTCAGTGGTTAGAGCATGCACTCTTAACAACAAGGTTGCCAGTTCAACTCCTGCATGGGATGGTGGGCTGTGCCCACCCGCAACTAAGATTGAACACAGCACCTTGAGCTGAGCAGCCGTGAGCTGCCAACAGGCAGCCGGATGGTGACTGGACTTGGGAGCTGAGCTAGCTGTTCCCTCCACAACTAAGATTGAAGGACAACAACTTGGCTGTTCCCCTTCTCCAATTCCCCAATAAAAAAAATCATCAGTGAAAGCTCAAATTAATAGAAATATGTTAGGAACCCTTGGTTCTAATGTCAGTATCACATACACAGGGTAAAGATGAAAGGCAAAACAGTTATGAAGATAACTTTATTACAAAGCACATTTCATTGAATTCATCAATAATCACTTTTAAGAAATATAAACAGAAACTCCAGTTGCACTTGGGGTCTTTTTCTTTCTGAAAATTCAACAGCCAATTCCCAGTAGATGTGGCAGCCCATTACATCTATCCGAGGCTTCACAAAGGCCCCTTGATTTCATATTTCTGTTGCTGCTTCTAGGAAGCAGAACGCTTAGGAGGGAAGGGAGAATGAAAGTGGGTTGTATGAAGGTAACAATAAGTAGATTTCTCTGCTGAGTAGGGAAGGAAAGATTTAGTGTAGACTGCTGAGTGTTCTTGAGTAACATTGTGAGTAGCTGAAAAATTATTTTGTTGATTCTTATTTCATTTTGCATATTAGACATGAGAAATAAAATGCAGATCTCAGCAAAGATCCTATGTTGACGTTTTCTGGAATAATTTACTTCCCAAGAGAGACTGGCACTTTTCAATCAGTTTCAACTCCTAATGAAAAAAACAAATAAGCACATCTGTAAGGGAGAGAGGGAAAACACACAAACAAAAACACCTACACAGCTATGATCCCCAAATAAAATATCTTTAAGACTTCTCTGTTGTATGCCTGAGTTGGGTTCTAATGTGCCTGCTTCTCAAGGTCTTAGAATTTCTCACAGGACCAGCCCGTTAGCTTAAGGATTTAATTCACTGCAATGCCTGTCTAACTTTTAGGACCCCAGACTTGGAATAAATAAAAATTTGCTCCCTCGTCACAAAAGTATGGGACTGTTTTGCTGCAGGGTAAAAAAAGAAAAAAACAGAATTGATGCTAAAAAAAAGAAAAGAAAGAAAGAAACACTACCACTAATGTAAGAGATATTGATGAACTTCTGAGGAAAAAAAATGAAAGCCATTGGTATGATAGTAACCAATATATCAAAGTGCAGAAATAGGATCTCAAAATAGTAACATGAATAGATGTATCAGTAGTAAAAAACCAGAAAGTCATTGATTTCTGAGCTTCTTTTGTTCTTGTGTACTTTGTAGCCTGTTTTTTAAGATTTCTGCTTTTCAAAAACTTCCTAAAGATTCCTGAAGGTACCACTATCCTTTCAATAAACTAATTTTTACTTAGGTTAGCCAGAATTGGATCCTATTATTTACAACTGAAGAGCCCCACCTGACATACCAGCAAAAATATTGAGCAAATATTTAGATAAAATAATATTTATAAATACAAGGACCCAGAAAGTTTATATTCCATGTGACCATTCTGAAAAAATACATACATACATACATATGATGCAGCCCAACAAAACTTAATCCAAGAAAAAAAAGGGGGGGGATTTTAGAAATAATTAAATTTACCTAGGATTATACTGAAAAAGAACCCCAGGTGGACAACCATGAATCGGTCCTAGAAATTAATAGATTCAAAGTGAAAGATTAAGTCAGAGGGCTTTTTGAAACATAGCTTTAAGATAGAATACTCTATTACAAAAACTGTATGATGAAGAAGCTGAAATATTTTAGTGGTGTGATTAAAGTAGGCACTTTATTTGCGAACATGGAAAAAGAAAGACAATTAGAAATTCAAAAAATAAGGATATACTAGGAAATCATAATCCAAACATACAAAACTAAATAAATGTGGCATGATTTTCTACAGTTGATAGTAGGTAAGAAAAGATATCTCATTTAATCTTGACACCTTTTAGGGGATACAGGATAAGTCATCAACCAATTGGTCAATTCATTCATGGTACTGTTGTAAATAATTTTCCAAGTAAAAGGGCATGCTATGTTCCAATACAACCTTATTGACAATAATAGGAAGTGGAATCAATTTAGCTTGAGGGTTGTGGTTTGCCTACCCTTGACTAGACTACAGATATATGACTTTTAATATAACATACATATACAGTTTTGCTGAATAGGTAGAAAAGAGTCAGCAAAAGTAATTAAGGCATTTATGAAAATTGCTACCTGTGAAATCATTTTCCTGGGTCATTGCTAAATTTATCCACTGTTCTAACCAGCCCCAGCTTGTTTTGATTATAAAGGCTGCTTTATTTTTTTTTTTTAACTACACACTTGCATTCCTCTACTCAGATACTATTATCCACTGTATCCAAGTTTCTGCTCCTCAAGTCATGTCCCTGGGAGAGCAGTCCATCCCAAGTCCCCTGCATGAATGTACATGAATATTCTATGCCACCATGATATTCTTTGAAATTTAAGTCACACAACTTTATTGTCTCATGAAAAATAACTTACTTTGTTAACTATATGCCATTAGATTACAGAAAACAATCTTCTGGTAGTCAGTTTGGTGTGTATGCACAGAAAGACACTCTTTTCTGCCCGTTGCTCTTTCTTCTTTCTGTTCTCCAACCTCTATTCTAATGATCTGGCTACTGAGAAAATGAAATCCTTCGGTTCCCCAGTTAAGCCCCAAATTATATTTGGTGACTCTTACTGATTGTGCCCTCAGAAATTTCTTGTACAAAACTACAGTTTGATCAGACGGGCGTTTAAGCTGTTATTTCTTATAAATTTTTCTGTATTACCAAGGACACCATTTCTCTACAATTACCAAAGTCTTCAATCTATCCTTCTTTTCCCCACCCCCAATTACAAACACGCCTAGTCCATCTGGTGCCATGACTTTTGTATTCATCTCTATTTATGTCTAACACTCCTAGTTTCCTCAAATAAACGTAACTATTAACATATCCTAAAGCCAAATATAATCAATTACACCATCCATCTAGACTGTGATTTTCTCCTAATCCACTCATGATTGGAATGGAGAATTTTTTTTTTAACTTTAATAAGCCCTAACAATGCAAAGAAAATAGACAAGGGAACAGGGGTACCTCTTCTTGGAAACACATTTCACTTTTTTCTGCTTGGCAGCACTTCCTCACCAGGCGAGTGAAATCCACAATAAATGATTGGAACTGCATCTCTGTTGCATATGGTTTCTGCTTCACAAGGTTGCTGAGAAGCCTGAATCAGAAATGCATAGCAAAAATACAAGCACTTCCTGAATTCTAGAAGGCCAGATTACAAACCAGCCTTACTTATGTAAGGATGCAAACTGCCCATGTCTTCTTATCACTCCCACTTCTAAGTTTAAAGGCCCTCAAAATGACCCGATGGCTTCATAGTTCTCACAATGTTTATCTCCAGCTTCATGTTTTATTCAACATACTTTTCTTCAAGCAAATGTCTTCAATGTAAGTATTATATCAAATTTAATTGTCTTTATGTAATTATTACTAGGGTAAACATTTTTTATTTCTGTTTTCATTGCATGGAATGTTAAATAGGTTATACAGCAAATTAGATAGTTTTTCCTATAAGGTTTGTTATAAACAACATTTATAGACAACCAGCTTCCAAATAAATATCACAACTATACACATCTGGAAGTTGAGGGCCCTTAACACGGTATTAATGATAAAACCAGTAAACTGATTTGAAACTTCAATGGCTTGACAATCATCTCAGATTTCTCCCACAAAATGAATTTTCCTAACAACTATTATAAACAAATGTTTCAACCATTCTGAATATTTAAAATTGTAAAATTGTAACCAGTTTCTATCTATTTAATAAAATAGTATTATAAGCCTTCCAATGTTATCTTTCCCTTTATTTACTGTTTTAGACCAAAAGAAGTTTAATCACAAAGGAAGCAAGGCATGCAGAGTAGAAGAAATGTACATTAATTGGTATTTTACTGCTTACCTAAACGTCCATGGCACCCCAAAATGATTACAATAGTAACATCAAAGATCACTGATCTCAGATCACCATAACAAATATAATAATAACAAAAAAGTTTGAAATATTGTGAGAGTTACCAAAATGTGACAGAGAGATACAAAGTGAGCAAATGCTGTTGGAAAAAAATGGCACCAATAGACTTGCTTGATGCAGGGTTGCACAAACCTTCAATCTATAGAAAAAGAAATATCTGCAAAGCACAATAAAATGAAATATGCCTGGACAAACCCACAGCTAACATCATACTCAATGGTGAAAACCTAAAAGCATTTTCCTTAAGATCAGGAACAAGACAAGAATGTCCATTTCCACCCTTTTATTCAATATAGTACTAGAAGTCCTAGCCACAGCTGTCAGACAAGAAAAAGAAATAAAACGCATCCAAATTGGAAAGGAAGAAGTAAAACTGTCATTATTTGCAGATGACATGACACTATTTATAAAGAACCCCAAAGATTTCACCAAAAAACTTTTAAAACTGATAAATAAATTCAGCAAAGTAGCAGATGCAAAATTGGGGAAGGAAATTTTTGAGGAAATAGTGACAGAAAAATTTTCAAATTTTATGATAAATATTAATCCTCCAAGTATCAAGCTCAAGGGATATCAAGTAAAATAACCAAAAGAAACCCATACCTAGATATATTATAGTCAAAGTACTGAAAACAAATTATTAAAAGAAAACCTTAAAAACAGCCTTAGAAAAAAAGATACATTGTTTTCAGAGGAGCATTAATACATAGTTACATTAATTTATCATAAAATCAATGCAAGGTACAAGACAATAGAAAGGCCATATAAAGTACTAAAATAAAAACAAGTCTGTCATCCTAGACAATGCCTTCAAAAAGGAAGGCAAAGTGTCAGAAATGATAACTCTGAAGGTAAATATTTCTTATTGTATTTATTGTTTTTTATTGTTTCTTAATTTTTAAAAGATAATTGTCTGAAATAAAAACAAAGTATAATGGAATTTATTGTATATGTAGAAACAGACAACAGTATTACCAAAAGTGGGAATGTGAAAGAAAAAAATATAATAAAAAAACAAACACAAGATATGCTTGTACTTGTGAGACTCATCCTGAGACAAGAAGTCAGGCTCACGGACTTCCATTCAGTAGGAAAGGCTTGGTCAGTGGAAGACAGGAGAAATTCTGTGGTTCCCCAGCTGGGCCTCCACTAGACTCCTTTCTGAGTCATTTGAGATTAGAATAACTCTTTGAAAAAGTGTTGTAAAAGTACTTCATTAAAACCCTGCAAACCATTAAGGCACAAGCTGTGCTGCCATGGCACCTGCTAAAAGCATATGATCCTGGGGGTCAGTGGAGGGTATCATTGCCTTCTTACAACAAAACATAAAGCAGCTTTGTCACATCAAGGGACCAGTCTTCAGCTGCACTGGAGACAGTGATACCCAGAAGGTATGACTGTTCCCAGTGGCACCGAAGCCATGCCAGGAGAGCATGCCTGGAGAATTCCTGGGGGGTAGGAGAGGTAAAGGGAGTTTCATAAGCTCTTCCTTGAGGATTCTGGGGATAATTGCTGGAACTGAAATTTTGTATAAGCAGGTAGTAGCAAGAGTGTGCAAAACTTGCATTATTAAATATTAATGGACTGATGGACAGTGGAAGTGTGCACTAATATATTCCTTATTTAGTACATATATTTATAATAGGTATCTCTGTCATGTTGGAATAAATATATTACAATTTTCTTCTCTCTTCTGTATTTCCTTAATATCCTGCAATGATTATAAATTACTTTAATAATAAAATAAATCAATATTTTAAAAGAAATAGAATAGTGCAAGTATTATTTTTTCTACCCAATGTACATATTCAATCTTCTAATCATACCTAAACTTGATTCTACTTGAAAGAAAACACTATACTTGTGTCTCTGTATAACTCAAGTCTGTATGGTTAGATATATAGTCAAATCAGTGTATGCTATCTTTGAAAAATAATTATCAGTTTTTAACAAATTAATTTTGAAAGTGAGAAATATGGGCTATTGCTCATTGGAATTTGGTGGATTTTTGTCTCAGAATATATTTTCCTACAGAAATAATATTGCTCATATGCCAAAATTCACTGACCCACCCATAATAGCCTTGGATAGCATAAGCCCCAGGTTACAGAAACTAACCATCATTGGTACCTACACAGTGAGATTATCCTATTCCCAAACACTCTTTTGGAGCATCTATAGTTTGGGTTAAGGGATTCAGCGCCACAAGGGGCCAAAGCTGGTGTAGGAAGAAGACAGAGTTTGCTGCTAATTCATGCAAAATCTGGAATTCTCTTTTCATCTAATGTCATGAAAAGGGCACAAACTGAAATCAAACTTACTTTGGTTAAGTTAGGTCCTCCACTCGTTTGTGTGATGGTGGGTGAGATACTTAACCTTTCTGACCCTCAGCTAAAGGCAATAATAACAATGAATTATGATAATAATAATAATAGCACAACTTGCTTCCATTTCAAATTATTAATTGCTTCCCAACCATGGTCTCCCTTCTTCCTGACTCCCACAATAAATGGCACCTTATCATAACTTCTCTTCTATTTATTCATTTATTAATTCAGCAAATAACTGATGAGCATCTTTCAATTTCCCTGAGGATCTGAGTTGTAGATTCAACAATTACAGGGAAACCTAATGGGGGAAGTAGGAAGGTTCCCTTATATACACTCTGCTTCTCTTTTCTCACCTACATGCTGTGAGATTCCAAATGCTTCCATGGTTTGGTCCTTGCCAACCCCTCTAGTCTCAACCCTGGAAAGTTCTCTCCCTTCTCTCACCCTCTGCTTCCATCACACTGAACCACTCTGCTTTTCTTTTTGCCTCTGCTAAGTCAACTGGTTTCTGAATGCACTTACACAGAGGAACCAGTAGAGGGAAGATGAGTCTAACTGATGTGTTTCCAGAAGACCAGTCAGCAGCTGCTTATTTAAACAAAGAAAACCACTCCCATTCTGCCGGGGGGGGGGGGGGGGGGGGGGGGGCCGGGAGGAGAAGTCTCCCATTATGAGAAAGCAGGTCTGGGAAGGAGATTCCAGCAGGGGCATCAGGATGTCACGTTAGCTTTCCTTGGCACTCCAGATGTAAAGGCTGAATCTCCACAACTGGGGACTCTGCCACGTGGCAGCTGGGCACCCCCTCCCCAGTAACTATGTCATATGCTTGTCATCTGCTTTCAGTTGATTTACCTCTCCTGTTCCCGCCTCCCTCTCCCACTCTGATCTCTCCCTAGCAACTGAACTGCTTTTATTTAAAAACATTCCCCTTAACCTTTCTATTGCTTCAGTTTTAAATTTTTTAATTTACATTTTTAAATCTACAATTTTATTTTAATTTTCAATGCCATCAACTTGTTTTCAGTTTTTCACTTCTATGGTATTAACTTTTATTGTCATTAAATGTATCCACCATTTTATTTAGAACACATTCTAGTCTTTATATACTGTCTTAAATTTTAACATTTCAAATCAATATTTTTCTATTTTTCTTAACTGGATTTGAAATTCTTTTACTTTGAACGTCTATGTCTTTTTTTACTTTCTCTGTCTTATTCTGTGACATTAACTTCTACCTTCCCTTTACTATCCTGCTGAATTTTTTCTTTCCTCTCCCAAGAATCCCTTCACTTGTTTTTTGTTTATTTGTTTGTTTTATTTGTTTTTGGTTTGTTTTGGTTTATTGTGTGTGTGTGTATTTGTGCTGTGGTGGTCAGCCAGAATTATATAAGGGTGAAAGCCATAGAGAAAGCCTTTGCCACTATCCCAGGAAGTGGGAGGGTTTTTTTCCCACCTGGCCTTTCCCTCTCAATATGGATCCTCTCAGAATATTCCAGAAATCCTCACATTAACTCATCTATGCTACTGTTTTCTCTATACAGAGAACACAATGAATTCACTGGAACAGGGAAGCTTCCTACTATTTCACACTTATTATTATTTAGCCCTTAGATGAAGAGCTCCATGTTTTAGAAATTACAACCAGCATTATAACCCCTTGATTAGGGCACACTAACAGCTAGATATTGGCAGTTAAGTTTATGCTCTTTGGGTGCAAATTCCAGCTCAACAACCTAGCTACCTGTTGCATGATCTCACACCAGGCCTCCTTCCCTTCACAGCCTCAGTTTCCCCATAATTAAAATGGAGTAACAATATTACATACCTCATAAATGTGTGATCAGGATTTGGTGAGATGACATGTAGAAAGTGGTGCCTATATATGCCCAGAAAGCTTCCTCAAGAAAAAGTAAAGCCTGAACTCTAGAAGTAAAACGGATGTCTTTCTTCTAACATCTTTCTCACATCGAGCCTGGGCTAAAAGAAGAATGACTAACTCTTGGGTTGTCAAAAAAGTCATGATGTATTTTGTCTACGTTTTTCAAAGGTCATTTATTTATATAAAGAACAAAGATCAATCAATGATACCCTACCTGTTTTGTTCGATAACCTTTGGCCATCTTTCAGTGAGCTTCATAATTCCTTGTTCATAGAAGGACCTGTCTTTATTTGTGAAAAACTGAACAAGATGCTGATTTACAGCCTCATCTGAATTGAACGTTATACCACGCAAGGAGTTTTGAAGAGAGCAAAACAAGTGGAAGTCTGACGGCACAAGGTCAGATGAGTATGGTGGGTGTGGCAATGCATCTCATCCAAGCTCTAATAATTTTGACGGGTGATCAAGCTTGTGTGTGGTCTCGCATTGTCACGATGAAACACAACTCCTTTACAATTAACAAGCCCTGGACATTTCTGGATGATGGATTCATTCAAATTGTCCAATGGCTGACAGTACACATTTGAATTGATTGCTTGGTTCCTTGGTTTTCCTCAAAAAACACAACAGCTTTAAAATCCCACCACACTGAGAGCATAACCTTCCTCTGATGAATGTCTGCTTTTCATGTCCTTTGAGGCAAATCATCATGTTGGGACCAAGACTGTTTCGCACCACATTGTTGTAAACAATCCACTTCTTACCACCAGTTATCAGTCGCTTCAAAAAAGGATCGTTTTCCTCAAGTTTAATGAGCATATTGTATATGTTTACATGCGCCGTCAAATGAACTTCTTTGAGTTCACGCAGAACCCAAATATCGAGCTTGCTTACCTATCCCAGCTTCTTCAGGTGGTCATGAACACTTGAATGATGGATGTTCAATGTTTCTGCAATCTCTCATGTCATGTAATGTGGGTTTGACTCAATCAATGCCTTTATTTTGTCATCAACCTCAGTGGGCCTCCCTGACCAAGGAGCGTCGTTGAGATCAAAATCATCAGCACGGAATTTCGTGAACCATCGTTGGCACTGACGTTTTTGTAGAGCATTGTCAACGTAAACTTTGTGCAACTTTTCACAAGCTTGATGCGCTTTCTTCCCTTTACGGAAGTAAAACAGTAAAATATGGCAAAAAATGCACAGTTTGGTCTTCCATTTTCAACTTGTTGTAAAATCTCCAAAATTCAACCAAATCACTCAGTTTTTTTTTAGAATGAAGCTAGAACTGTCAGCTGTCAAATGACATAGCAATAACATAGATGCGAATGATTCTAGTACTTCCCAAAATGAACTAGTTCCATCTGTTGCAAACATGCGTCATGACTTTTCCGACAACCCAATAAATGTTGGGTTTGACAGTGTTCTTCAGGCGCTTACTGGAAAGTTTTGAAGTCTAGTTTATGATCAGTTCACCTCACCTGGGGAAATGAAGAAAGGCTATCCAGGGTCAGCTGGCTTGTAAAATGCAGGTGCTGTGATAAAGCAGAACTAGTAACAACCACGAGAATGTGTTTATCCCCAAGGCAACAAATACTTTGTCTCACTTGGAAAGGTGATATTGTTAGACTAATAATATTTAAACTCTGCAAGAGCAAGTCATAGAGTAAATATGTTAATTAGAAATGAAGTACCACTTCTAGTGCTCTTGGGGGAAAAGGACCATGGAGGACCAGGGCCTGCTTTTCCTGAGGGCAGGATCAGGGGCGTGTGAGGAGGGCAGGAAGCGTGGTGGGCACTGTAGGGGAACTGCCCCACTGTCAGAGGCTGAAGTGCTTCCAATGCACCCTGCTGATTCAGAGACACTGGAATTCTACCCTTTGGCTTTTCGTGAAACAGTCACCGTATGTTGACTCCAAATGGGGCCTCGAACATCACGTCCATCAGCAGCAGGATTCATTCCCAGGGAGAATGCCTGAGCCATGGGGATAACTGGGCTCCAGGCTGAGTGGGGTGGGGGTGAAATAGAAAGATGATTGATGGCACTAAGAAGGGCACTTCTTTGCAGCAGCAAACAAGTAGCTTCTTTTCTTAGACCCGATAATAAGGGTTCCATTCGATCCACCTATGTGGTGTGGGATAGGGAGAATTGGGGAAAATGCCAGCCACTTGTCAGAGAGCATAATTACCTTATGCTCTCAGCAGCGAAGGGCAGGGCCAGCTGCCCTAAGGTTGTGTGTGCTGCAAGTGCCAAAATACTTCCAAGGCCAAGCTCGTCATGCCTCAGTCACCTCAGTCACATCAGAAAGCTAAATCTCCCAGATCACCTGTCATCAGACTGATGTCTCTACATCCCTAAGCTGACCCATCTCCTGCCTCTTTGTCCTCCCTGACTTATCCCCTGTCTCCTTTGTTTCAAGGCTTTCTCATCAAAAAATTTCCCTATATCCACAGCTTCTTTTTGTAACTTCTCTTTCTTGCTCTCTATGAAAACAAGAGGCTCCCCAGAGGTCACAGCTTCCTCTAAGACCTCTCAAGAGGAGACTAATTTTGCTTGAACTCCACTTACCTGAGCACCTAGTTCTCTTACTGCTTCCAACATATTTCTCTTTTACCCTCTTTTAGAAATCATAACTCCTTTGAAATATGTCACCGAACTCTAATATCCCCTGTCCCTGTTTATTCCTGCTATGCATAGAAAGCTTTGTCATGCCCCTCATTTTTTATGACTTCAAAACTAGTTAATTGCCATACTTTTCATTATTATCTTCACTTTCATCATTTTCTGTAGTTTCAATAAACTACATTAATGATCCACATGTGACAGATGGATCTTTTTTTAAATGGGCCCAATTGTACCTTTCTCTGTATTCATGTCCTTTACAATGTGACTTTCCAACTCTTCCTATTAAGAAGTGAAGTCCATTCCCACACCCCTTTAATATAGCCTGGCCCTATGACCTGCCTTCCAGCAGAACCGGCATTGCGTGGTTCCAAACCTGGGCCCCGTGAGGCTTTTATACATCCCCTTTTCCCAGCTACTGTATGAAGAGGCCTGGGTTAGCTTGCTGGAGGACAGAAGGCCACGTGCATCAGAGACAGGCCATCCTAGCCCACGTCAGCCTGCTGCCAGCTGTCTTAGCAGCTGACTTAGCAGCTGACCAGAGACTCCTGAGCAAGCCCCACGGAGAATGGCTGAGGCTGGCCCAGGTCAACACACTCATCCAATCAACCCACAGATACTTGAGCAATAATAGCTGATGCTGTGTTCAACCACTACTTTTCGGTGTGATTTGTCATGCAGCAAAAAACTAAATAAAATACCATTTGAGGAAAGGATGAGGGAAGAGATTTAACAATGGGCTGCCATGGCACAAAGGCAAGAGAGGGATAGCATAGCAGAATGACTAAATATTCTAATTGATGCTGTGAAAACAGGGGTGGAAAAGACAACTAGGCTGAATTCTATTGCTGACTTTATCCAGAAACCCTTTTTACATAGAATACACACTGGGAAACCCTGACCAAATGTAAAGAGATTATGTTCTTCTGGCAACATTTCTGATCAATAGGCTTCAGCATCGGTAAGAGCAACGAAATTGGACTAGCACTTTGTAAAGTAATAACATGTTGGGTTTTTTTAATTTACAAATGTTTTCGTATGCATTATGTATCACATATATGACGTACACACGCACGCATTTCCCTTGGGGATCCACCTGCAAATTAAGAGTATAACAGCCCCACATCATTCTCAGTTAGCAGTGAAATAATAGGGACTACCCTTAATCAGCAACACAGACTATTGGTAAATAAATTATCTCTCTCTGTAGCTCCAGAAGTAGAAATTTGGTTGGAAGTGACAAAGAAACAGTTTTCTACTTAATAAAAAAAACATAAGCTTTTTAGTTAAGTGTATCTAGAGATAAATAGGCTGCTTTAAGCAAATGGTCCTCCCATTACTGGAACTATTCATGGAGGAGCTGTACAATGTGTTTTAGAAGGATTTCCTCAACTTCGGGGTGGGGATGATTGATTAATATCTAAGCTTCCTTCCATGTTCAATATTATTTGCTATTATGTATTCATAGAAAAGATACAAATAGCATTTAAATATTTGTTTCCAGTACTGTAACTTTTTAGTGATATCCTGTTTTTCTATATTCTGAGAAGTTACTATGAAGCCTCATCTGGTGCAAGACACTGCGTTACAGGAGGCTGGCGACTGGAAGGAGAAGGAAATCAAGGATTCAAGGAGTTACATTTACAGGCATTACATTATCACCCAGCTCCCACCCACTACTAATCACCCCAAAACCATTCTAAACAGACCAAAAACAGTCACTCCTAGTAACAGCAGCAGAAGTGGTAGCAAAAGTAATGACATACTTGACGTGATACACATCACTCCAATGGAATGTTCCAAAGCACTTCCCCAGAACATTGGTCCTGCATAATCTTAGTAGTTTCTGTGGCCCAAATGATGCTAAGTTAGAACAAGCTAAACAGATTAGTGCAAGACTTGTCTGACTTCTATTATTAATGGAAGTTATGAATTTCTTAGAGGAGGGAGGAAATACAATATTCCCAAACTTATTTAATCATGGAATCCTATTTGTATGAGACCCCCTTATAAAACCAATGTCCCAAAGTTCACATTTTAGGGAAACTACATTAATGTACTACTCTGTCAATATTTTCCATGAGAGCCAAAATCACAAAATTGCATAATATTCTCAATTCTATTTGACCTCCAACATAACATTTCACCACTCCGTTCATTATACAGCACATATATCTGCACCCACTTTACAGTCCTCTACACCTGCTACTTTGTTAGCATCTAAAGAACAAATTAAGAAAAGATCCTTACTTTTGCTTTTCAGTTTGGAATTCCTCCTCCTGAGCTTTGCACAAGACCTCTTTAAGGCTGATAATTTGGTCACAGGGTAAAGGTGGGGAAATGTAAGTTCCATTGACTTGCAGATCCTCAAAGCATGGTTTCCTGAAGGCATAGGAGTCATCACAGCAGTGACCCACGTTAACATTGATAGGCTCTGCCTCATGTCGTCTGCATAAAGCTCCAAGGATTAGCTTAGCCTTTCCCAGGAGAAAATTAAAATAAGAGTCATAAGGTTTGTGGTCGATATTTTCCTACCCATAGCAAATAAGATTATATTTAAGTATTCTCAAATTCCAGTTTCTGCTAGTTCAGCCTGGATTTCACTGTTTAGGGAAAAGCAAGAATGTTAGGTGCAGCCTGGTTCTGAGACTTGTTCTCTCTCTCTCTTCCTGTCATCCTCAAGTTGAGTTTACTTGGGTCCCATATCCAGATTCCTACCCAGACCAACTTATAGACTACTATTGACTTGAGACAGGAGTTTCCTGTACTCAATTAAAATCAAGCCTCAAGTCAATAGGGCTGTTAATTTGACTCAAATGTAAGAAAGATGATTGGAGTGCTGAGTGAATAAAAAATGAATAAATGAGGGGCCAGCTGAGTGGCTCAGTTGGTTAAGAGCTCGTTCAAGGGTGCGAGCTCTGAGCAACTAGCAGTTCCATTTCCAGCCCGAGTTGAGCTGCCATTAAGTTGCCAACAGGTGGCAGGATGACTCAGCTAAAAAAAAAAAAATGAATGCTGAAAAACATTCTTAGATCCTATTTCAGCTAACTCCTTTATTTTCTTGTCCTCTTCTAGAACTGTCACCTTGTCTTTCTCCCAGTGTTTCTGATACTTATCCTAATGCTGCCTACAAGCCAGCCTGTATGACTCTCTGAGTATAATTGACACCCACATTTGCCATCATTTACGTATTTGTGAATGAAGTAATTAAAACCAGTAGACATCTACATTTACTGTATGAGTTAATCCATTTTGAAGGTAACCAAAGGGTCACTTAAAAATAAGGCTTTAGGAAAATATAAGTCTAATTGAAAGAGTTCTCCAAGGAAAGCATGACTAGATAATAAAATTTTATAATAAAATAAAAGGAAGGCAGGGCTAGATAATAATTTTTTTTTAATCTGCAACCCAAATGATTATATTTTACCAGAAGAAAGAGTAACTTTGCATACAGGAGATGCTCTACCAAGGACATAAGGTGGAGAAAGATGTCACCAAGCAAGAATTAAGTGGTGTTAAAATAATACCACTTGAGACCTAGAGACCTGAGCATCCAGATTCCAGAGAGATGTTCTCCATGTGAGGAAGGAATCATTTATCATTTTTCACTAAAGCCTGAAAGAAATATCACTCAAGACCATCCTTACCCTTCCTCTGATTCCATTTACACATATATCTATATTCTAATACAACTTCCCAAGTATTTTGATTCAGGAATAAGTGTCGCTTAATTAGGCCCAATTATTCCTGCCATTAGAAAGACATTGTTCACTGTAAATGAACATACTGGTGTTCTGTCTAACAAATTTAATACTTGTGAGTTTGATGTGAGATGACTGAAAATAGTTGGCCTTAGACCCCAGTTCTCAACAAAGGGCTCCTGAAACCCCTATAAATTTTATAAGAGCAGTAGGAGCATCTTTTTTTTTAATAGGATGACTCTGGGTGGGCTCCTGGATTGGGGCTGGTCACCAGAAAACCAACCAGAAGTTCGGAATTTTTAGCCTTATCCCTCAATGTTCCAGAGAGGGAAGAGTGACTGGAAATGGAGTTAAAAACTCATCATGTCTACGTAAGGAAGCCTCCCTAAAATCCCAATACTATGGGATTTGGAGAGCTTTCAGTTTTGGTGAACACATCTGCATACTGGGGGCGGGGTGGGGGTGATGCCCTCCAAATCCACAGGAACAGAACCTCTTGCAACTCAGAAGCCTCTCAGACCTCGCTCTATGTATCTCTTCATCTGGCTGTTCACCTGTATCCTCTATCATATCCTTTAATAAACTGGTACACATAAGTAAGTGTTCCTCTGAATTCTGTGAGTCAGTCTAGCAAATTAATCAAATCCTAGAAGGGGGTTGTGGGAACCTCTGATGCATAGCCAATTGGTCAGAAGCACAGGTAACAACCTGGACTTGCAATTGGCATCTGAAGGGGGTGGATGCAGTCTTGTAGAACTGGGTCCTTAACCTCTGGGATCTGATGATATCTCCAGGAAGATAGTGTCATGACTGAGTATAATTGTAGGACACTCAGCTGGTGTTGCAGAGAATCGCTTGGTGTGGAGAAAACCCGCACACATCTGGTGTTAGGAGTGTGAGTGTGGTAGTACTATGAGAGTAAAGGAGAAGCACAGAAGGAAGACTGGGTGTTTTCCCTATACATTTGATTAGAATGGGCTAGTCTAAAGCCAGCATTATCTTTAAATTGCTGGCAAAATCACTTTTGTTGACTTGAAAATCCAAGAAATAGACTCTGAGGCATGATCCAGGAAAAGGCCTGTGGCATCTGATGTCCCCAGAGTTAGGTCAGACGCTTCCTTCCCCTGTTGCTAATCAAAGACAGTTGGCATGAGCTGACTTGAAAGAATCTCTCCTAAGGACAAAATGATGAGGCTCCACTGACAGTTCAGAGATGTGTCCACTGACAAGAGACTGATTGCTGGGGATTGGAAATTAGAACTGCAAGAACAGGCAAACATGAAGTCACAGTTGTGCTTACCGCATCTTCCATGCAGACAAACTGTTGGTCATCACTCAGAGGGCAACATCTTGTGGCAGCAGCTGCCATGCTCTTCGTGAACATAATCAACTCTTGAGCAGATAGCTGTGGGGCTTTCTTAGTATAAAGGACCATGAGCCTGAAAGAATAATTTCCTCTTACTCCTGGAAATGATTATGTGCCTAAAATGAAGACTTCGACAAAGTTTTCCTCAAAGTCTGACATTATCTGGGATTTAGGATGAACAAGGCATTAAACTGAGTTTAATTCTAGTCCTTCAGTCCTTCACCAATGGCCTTGTTCAATATACCTGGCATTCTCTTCCAACCTCACACATTGCAATGTTAACTATGCTGCCTAGAGAAGGGTTCTTCAAAGAAACACAAACAATGAAACTTTGGGTGTTTTCTCTCTTGTTTTCATGTGACCTTGTTAATGTGGAAGATTAATACTGTGCCCCTAATCACACTAGTATTTAGTAAAATCCTATTACTTTTTCTGTTTCTGCTTACTGGGAAGATTCAGCTGTATAAATTCCTTTTGCTTTCAATTGGGGACATTTGGAAAAGTGTCAACCTCTTTCCTATTCAGTATAAAGACATGTGAATATTCATAACAGTTTTTAACTTGTTCATGCTAATACTTTAGAAATACAGTTTTATGGATGTAAGAGAAATAAGTCAGACAGAAAAAGTAGAGAATCATATGATTTCACTGATATGTGTGCTATAAAATTGAAAACAACAAAAGAACAAGAAAAACAAATGAAGAAACAAAACTCATAGATACAGACAATAGTTTAGTGGTTACCAGAGGGCAAGGGAGTAGGGGGATGGTAGATTAGGGTAAATGGGGTCAAATATATGGTGATGGAAAGACACCTGACTCTGGGTAGTGAACACACAATGTGATACATAGATGATGTATTACAGAATTGTTCACCTGAAATCTATGTAAGTTTGCTAACAATTGTCACCCCAATAAACTTTAATTTAATAAAAGGAAAAACAATTGTAATAACTTAGTCTTGTCAGACTCTGAAGACTTTAGAAATTATTGTCTTTAGGGAAAAATAACCTATAAAAAATTTACCTCACCTAATCCATTTTTTTTTCTACTTATCAAGTTTAACTGTGATAGCTGATTGGGATGGCTACAAAATCATACTCAAGAAAACCGCTTCCGAAATAAATATATGCATAAGCCATTAAAGCTTTTATGTGTAGGATTTGGGTTTACAACAATGATCAGGAAACAGTCCCTACTGTCATGGGGCTCACACCCTAGTGGAGGAGATAGACAAGTACCCTTGGAAAAGTAAGAGGAATACAAAAGTGCCTTAGGTGCACATACAAAGACATCAAATCCCATCCCAGGGAAATCAGGCAGGCCTCCTAGAGGAAACTACATGTGAGCTGAGAGCTGTCAATAACTAAAAATGACCCAGTTAGAGGCGGGGGGAATGTGGGAAGGGAGCATTTGGGAAGTCACTAAATGTGATTTTGTTTTCTTGGTTGGGGGAGATTGGGGATTGGAGAGTGGAAAAGGACAGATGTTTAGTCACAGAATCAAATTTACATTGTTTTAAACCTAATTATGATTGATATATAAAGAATGGATTGGTGGTGGGCAAGAGGCAATGTGAGGGAAGAAACAGTTTGAAAGCTATTCCAGTAATCCAGGTGAGAGATGGTGAACTAGGAGAATAGTGGTGTTAATTGAGGGATATGGAGAGAGATTTTAAAGAGAAAGACTACAGATCTGGATTTGAGGACAACAAAAAGAAAAACCAGAATCAATTCTTGCATTTATATTATAATGGAGTTGGGGGAAGAATTTAGCTATAGCATCCAATGAAACAGTCAATCTAATCCAGTGGTTCTCAAATTGTGATTCCTGGACCAGCAGTATCAGCACCCCTGGGAACTTGTTAGAAGTGTGAATTCTCAGGCTCCATCTGAGAAACTCTAGGGGTGGGTCCATATTTTAACAAATCCTCCAGGTAATTCTGAAGTCCAAGAACCACAGATCTAATATTTAAACTAGACCTTAGCAGCTGAACACAGCATTAAAAAAAAGTAATAAGTCAAATGTTCTCTCTGAAGCAAGAATTCTTTTTCTGGTTCCATCAATCTGGACATGTAATTTAAGCTCAATAATACGGGACATTATAACAAACTAAACTTTTCCTCAATGTCTGCTTCTAAATAGACGATTGCAGAATGATTCTAAAGATTCCTAAAAATTGGCTTTTGTTTTTTGATATATTAATTTTTGAAATACATTGGGATTTGCCAGTCTCTCTGCACACAGGAGTTGTGCGTGTTTCCTCTGACAAATGACTAAGGTAACTGAGTTAAGGTATCTACCTCTATTCTCAGTGGTGAAAATACTAAATTTACTATGTGGACCTGATTTGAAACAGACAAAGGGACCCTACATTAGATCTCGGTTGCAGCTCTGACTTAAACTTGCAGGCAAAGCCCCAAACTAAATGCCCAGGTGTGAGGGAGTGTGCCCCTGTGAAACAGCAGTAAGGCAGCCAGAGCTAGCTGCCTCTCTAACCTCTGGGCATTAACTGAAACCTGGAAAATGGCCTGGAAAGCAGTGTAAACACACCTATAGTCATGTGGACACTATCTTATCAAGACCAAGATACTAGGTTAATTCAGAACTGGCTTTCACCTTGACCTCTGAGACTTTTAAGATTAGATGGAGACTCAGCAACTCTCAGCATCAGGAGTTAACAAAAACTCACTAAACAAGTATAAATCTGGACAGTATCTTACCAGCATACCTGTCATGGAAGTTATTATCTCCTAATTTTTCATGCAAATCACAGTGATTTTTAACACGCTCATGGCTTTCAAGAACCACTCTTTGAAACATCTCTCTCTGGAAAATAAAGATAATTAGTGTTTATCATTGCAACAGTATATCTTGAGTAAGATTGCAAAACCATCTTCTGCAATCATTAAATGTAAATGTTTTCCTAAACCCAGGGCTTTATTTACTTAGTGAGTTAACAAATCTTGAAAAAACACATTTTGTTAAAACAGGAATGGCTATGTACTTTGTGGAGAAACAAATGGGACAGCGACATTGATTCAGTTTCCCGTGATAAAAACTCATTTGTGGTTAAATGGTATATTTTATAAGCCTAAGGCAAATCACTCATCAAGCCAAAAAAAAGATCATTAAAGGTAGTTTATGGCCTAAGTTTGATTGGTCAGTGTGTGTGTGTGTGTGTGTGTGTGTGTGTGTGTGTGTGTGTGTGTGTGTGTTTATTGGTTATTTTAAATAATATAGCCTTTTTACAGAAACTGCAAATATAGAGATAAAGAAATAGGTATAGGAATATAGATTAGGAATATGTATTAGGAAGTCATGGTTTAATAAAAACATGTACCAGTTTTGAATATAGTAAAGCTCCACAAACACACATTAAAGTGAATCAAATGGAATTCTCAGATCTAACTGCAAATTCAGAGTTCTTGTACCATGCAAATAAATTCAAGTGGAAAGGCACAAGTAGCCTTGCAGGCTGAGCTCTTCAGTGGGATCACCAAATCCAGTCCACCCAATCCTAATAAGCAATATTTGTTATAGTAAAAATTTTACCAGACTTGCAAACTATTTGCCTGGATTTAACCCTTACTCTTGTCTTTTCTGCCTGTGTGACATTGGGCAAGTTATTTGAACCTTCTGAAATCATTACTCTCACCTATAAAATGTTGTTAGTAATTCTGGCATTACCTATGTTACTAGACTGTTATGAGAATCAAATGGGACACTGGTTGCAAAGTTGCTTTGTTGAGTGCAAACACCCATGCTCCTGGAAGTTACTATAATATTAACATAATGATTATTGCGGAGGTCTGCTGGTGATGCTATTAAAGGGTGCTAGCCTGCAGGAGACTGAATCACCTTCATTTATCCTTCTCTTGGGAACACCAAGATGCTGGAGCCCAGACAGGACAAGAGATGCCTTCATGCTCCATTCCCAACCCCTCCCCCATCCCCTCCGGCCTGTAAATATGTAAACCATTGCTTAGAATAACAAAAGCCAGAACTGCCTGTCTCCTGGTAATCCCTGAATTACTGATGATCTGGTCACTTTTGTAAGGTTTCCTGCTTTTTTCATGTCAAATGCATAACAGGAGCTGCTGCCTGGGAACAATACTATTTCTGGCCTGAAACAGGGAGAGTTTCCAGGACTGCTTGGTGGAAATAGTTGACCTTTCCATACCCTAATAAGCTGTGCTTTCATGCTACCTGCTATTATGCCAAGCCGACTTTCCCTTTAAAGGGGAGATGCACAGAGAATTTTCCAAGAAGCATAGAATCTATAAGACAGTGACTTGCAGAAAGAGTTGCTACAGTAGGATGCTGTGGCCTTTGTTTTAGATAGAAATTATATTTTTTGTGCAGAGCTTGCAATTAGCAAGAACGTGCATAATCATCTCACTAAAGTATGGCACTAATAGCACTGTGATTTTTCCTGTGTTTGTAATCACTTATGTATAAAAGGTTAAAAACTAAAAAGACATTTACCCCATGGCTATAGCATTCCAGAGGGTCTTCTAATTTACAGCATTTTCCCAATAAATTTTGATATACTGTAACCACTCTTAAAATTACTGGAAGTGCCAGCTCTGGATGTCTTCTTGAATATTCATAAAGGAACCTGTAGCCATATGAAACATATTAGAAAGTAAACAGTAAAATTTAAAGGCCATGAGGTTTTCAAAAGCCAATTATAATTATGACATTAATTCAATATTTGTACTGATCTTAAGACATTTGGAAACCTTGGGGGGCTGGCAAGGAGGTTTTATTGACTCCATTTTGACATAAGGAACCAAAATCAATAAAATTCCGTGATGTTTCCAAAGTCACACAGTAGTGAGTGGCAGATCCAAAACTTGAACCTAAAATATCTAGATTAGCTGATAGTTCCTCGCTCAGGATCTCTACTTACTTTCGCTAGAAATTAATTTCAAGTGTTTGGGTGAAATTACATTTTTCTCAATGATATTTGAGGCTAGATTTTATAAGTATTACAATTCTTTTGAAAGCAAGTGCTGGCTAGGTATTAAATCACCATCTTCCCCTCTTTTCCATGAATAGTCCATGCACAACCCGCAATTCTTCTGAGTTACAAGAATGAAAAACCTGGACTCTAGAATATTTTCAAAGGAACCATAGAATCACAGGAGGCACTTTAAGAGTGATCCTGTCCAACCACCTCAGTTTACAGTTGAAACACAAAAGCCTGGGGAAATTAAGTGGCATGACCCGCATTCCAAAGCTTATGCATGACAAAGCTAGACTGGAACTCAGCTCTCCTAATTCAGTCCAATGCAGTTTTCACTAGCAAGTTGTGCCTATCAATTTTTTCAGTATCAAATGCAAGTTTAGGAATAAGTGGGGACAGGAAGTGACATGTACTTTTATAAGCCAGTATCAAATGAAATTTCAGAAATATAGCTACAGTCATTCTATAAAGAACTTTAAAAAAAAACCCTCAAATCATACGCTTTGTTGGAATGTAGTTGCTCCAAATAATGTTTCACAAAGTGACTTTGGAAATATTTCAATCACACAGCAATATTGTCTGAGCATTACCTGTTAAAATCAGTTTGTCTTATGCACAAATTAATACGCACTTCTGAATGGACTACAGAGATATTAATACTCTGTCTCTCTAATCTTTAAATGCCACCCCATGGCTTTGGTAGTAGGTATTAAATTAATTAGAAAGAAGAGCTGACCGGGTATACTAATCTGAAGCTCTTACTTAGAGATGACTCTACGTCCCTTAGAGCAAAGCTTGCAAACATTTGACCTCAATTGCATTTTTTAAAATCCCTGTGTTAGTTATCAACATTTAAAACTCCAAACACTTCCAGCTTCTCTCAAAATGCAGTAGACCTACTGTCCCAATATGGCAACAAGTGGCAGGAGCTACATAGTAGCTGCCAATAATGGACTCCACAAAACATCTCCTCTTGGTCACAGCTCCCATTCAGTCACTCATTTGCATCATTGGCTAACCTCTGTCATCATTTAAGTTTACAACTTGATACAATATTCCAATAATCCATAAACATAACATTCCATTATTAAGGTTTTACAAAAATCTATATTACTCTTGGAGGAAATCATCTTGCTTGTCAGTGAATTGTTTGCATACAAATCGGTCTTCTGTAAACCTGCTCAGTGGCAGGGATGAAAGGTCAGGTTTATCATCATTTTCTGAATTAATAATGCATTCCCCTCGGAATGGCACTGGCAGTGCACAGCATGGAATGATCTTGCTGGATAGGATAGTCTGTTTAGAGCAGATATCGTTCATAAGCTGACTCTATAAAACATAAAAGGGAACAGTTATTTTGATGACTTCATCCTGAACTTATTTATTTGTATTGTTATTAGTAGAAGACCAGAAAAAACTTGGCTTCTTATATTGCTTTATCCTTGGCAAACTGAGAGACAAGAAACGTCATTTCTAATGATTCATTCTAATATAAAAACCTTCTCCTTTTGACCTTACTTACTCAAAAGTCACAAGCACTTTTAACATCTCTTAAAAAACTTTAAAGGGAGACAGACCATATTATTGTTTCCATGTTTAGCCCAACAAAATACAAATAGTTTTATTGTCTTGCTATTGCTATTATTGTTTTAGAATCTCAGTTATGAAACATTTGTTTCTGTCATTTACTATATACATTACTATTTTATTACTATAGTATTACATTATACTTACATGTTTAACATATTTACTTATACATAAATACGCATACATGCACACAAATAATTGTGTGTGTGTATGAATAAGTTAGTCTCTATACTTAAGGAACTCACAGTCTAGTTGGAGAGTCAAATAATTAAACAATAATACTAATGCATTGTAATAGAAGTTGTAAGAGAAGTGCATGATGCTTTGGAAGAAAAAAGAGTGATTTGCAATCCAGGCCAGATGAAGATCAAAGATCTTGAAAATTTTGAGTCTTGAAGGACAAATAGAAGTTAATTGGAAACAAATGAAGAGGAAGAACATTCTAGAATTATTCATCTTTATATGTAAAGAATCTTAGAGGTGAGAGAACATGACATATTTATGGAATAATGTATAAGATATTTGGAGGTTATTGAGAAAATGTAGTTGCGAAATGATGAGGCTTGAACCAAATGAGTGACTGAGCATACTTAAGAGCTACTGAAAGACAGAACGGACAAGATTTTTAAATAACTGTAATTATATTGGAGGCAGGCAGTGAGATGAGGATGAAGAATCTAGAATGATATATGGCAGTGGGTTGATGGTAGCACAATTTACTGAAATCGATATTCAAGAGAAAAGAGCACGTTTGAAGAGGATGGCTAACAAGGGAAACCCATGAATTCAATGTGGGGATATAGAGTGAAGATGATTTAAGGTGTCTATTAGACATCTCCATGGAGATTTCCTCTAAGCAGTTGGTATTGTAGATTAAGGACTCGTGAGAGAAGAATAGGCAGAAGATATAGATCTGAGTGGTAAGTTGAAGCTACATTACCGGGTTAGGTTGAGACTGGTAAGAGTGTGTGCATTAGTTAACTAGCATGCACTCAGTGGCTTAATAGAACCAGGGTTGTTTCTTTCTCAATAAAGTCCTACTGAGAGGGGAGGAGTAGTGCCTCTAGGCAGTAGTTCTAGGAACCAGGCTCACAGAGCCTCTATCATCCTCAACCGGTAGCTTCTAACATTGCCTTCAGATTGGGCATTTTTGAACCAGGAGATTTTTATGGACCAGGCTTAAAAATGGCATAAATCACTTCTGATCAGAATTCAGTCAGGTGGCCCCACCTAGTTGCGAGACAAACGGAAAATGTAGTTCATGGCCCAGCAACTAATCTAGACTATGGAAGAGGGGAGTGAATCCTTGCTGGATGGCTATCCAGTTCTGATTTTATGTGTAAAATAAAAAAGGAAAAGGCCAAGATCAGATCTATGGGGAATACCGATTTTCAAAGAGTAGTAGAAGAGGGGCAGAAAACTGATGAAAGAAACTGCAAGAAAACTTGCATTCCAGTAGAAGAAACACGTCTCCTACCATCTACTGTCCTCCATACAGCACCTTTGCAGGCATCATTGGAAAAAGAAACTACTACAGCAGTTGACAGCTGTAGCTCTGTACTCAGACTTTCTGAGTTCTAATCCTGACTTTGGTACTTCCTCGTTATGTGACCTAAGCAAGCTACTTTACCTCTTTGTGCCTTGATTTCTTAATCTTTAAAATGAGGATAAAATAACACTTACTTCCTAAGGTTGTAGGAATTAATGAGTTAATATTTGTTGAGAACAAAGAAAGGAGCCTGGCTCAGTACTAAAATAATGTTTGTTAAATAAATGTAAAATGCTTAGAATTAGTGCCTGACACACAGAAAACATTTTTTAAAAGCTAGTACTATAGCAGTTATTATACAACCCTAAATTAGTCCAATAAGGCCATAAAGTCAGAGAAAGAGAGAATCTTACATGTAAAATTGGATTATACTGATACAATAGACTGCTTATATTACTTTATATCACTTAATATCAAAAATCAAAATCTGGGGCAGGCCGAGTGGCGCAATGGTTAAGAACTGGCTTGGGACGCCAGAGGGCCCCGGTTCAGATCCCACATATGAGGGCCAGTGACACTGCCGCCCCTGTGGCAGTGGGTTGCCATGGGCTACCGTGTGTAGCCAGCAGCCAGCGTGAGCGGCCAGCAGCCGCAGTGCGCGGCCGTCCAGAAGCTGGCGACTGAACTGCCTTGTCCGGGAAGAGCGCAATGATGGTGCCAACTTGGGCCAGTGAAGCAACGTCCTCGACAACTAGACTGAAGACCAAAAGGAGAGCAACGTGTCTGTTCCCCTTCCCCCAATTCCCAGCACTGTTCCCATCCCCCAATTCCCCAATAAAAATCTTTNTGAAGCAACGTCCTCCACAACTAGACTGAAGAACAAAAAACGACAGCAACTTGTCTGTTCCCCCTCCCCAATTCCCCAGCTCTGTTCCCATCCCCCCAATTCCCCAATAAAAATCTTTAAAAAAAAAATCAAAATCTGTTAGAAGCATATTTGCTTTATGAGTTGGTGTGATGTTTTGTAGCATTATGCTATGATATAATGAGCACTATAAAAATAGAAGACTTTCTAGGACACACAATTCAAATGTATACAATCCATACCCCATTCCTGAAAGCATTAGGAGAAATACTCTAATCAAAACTGAATATACAATGTGATACATACATGATGTATTACAGAATTGTACACCTGAAATCTATGTAACTTTACTAACAATTGTCACCCCAATAAACTCGCATTTAAAAAAAGAGAATTAAATCAATATAAAAATAAACAGTGGAATATAGTATATAAGAGAAATGATAGTCCAAATGAAATAAATATTAACAGTTATTTTATGTAAAAAGAATGAGTATAAAGAAACTAAGAAGTCCACCAAAACTAAGAAGTCCATCAAACAACTGAGATCAAAGCAACTAAATAAACTTGAGAGAATTAATGAAGTTAAAAGCAGAAACAGACTAAAACTGATAAACAAGTCCAAGAACTTTGTGTTGGAAAAGACCAAGAAATTAAATAGTCCCTTCATAAGGCTAATTAATTAAAGGAGAAAATACAAACACATGGAAAAAAGAGGTGTAATTACATAACTGATGTTTTTAATTATAAAATAATTATCATGTAGATCCCTATATTCCTAAATGAGAAAATGCTGATGAAGAAGACTTTAATGGAAAATGCATATTTAAACCCTTGACAAAAAATAGGTACATTCTCATTATTCACAGTAGTTACATAAACACTGAATCCATGAATACTGAAGCATCAACCCTAGGGGAGATACAGGGTTAGGTTCTTGCAAGCCTCTGGCCACATTTTCATGAATAACAAATCAAAATATAACCGTGTTTTATGTATCTTTCTGTTTAATGACCCCTTATTTAATATACATTGGTGATTCATTCATATTGAACTCACAGCCTCCAGCACCATTACTCATGCATGAACAAAGCTTATCTAACACACGTATTTTCTCCGTAACGCACATCATGGTCTTGTGCTTAGAACGCTAGACAGCACTTCAGCACCACCCTTGGGGCCATTTTGAGCAGCTCAATCACCAACAAAAAGCACAAAAATGAGGAAAACATGTCACTAACTAGACTGCAATAAGAACACTTATCTACGATATGAAAACTAAAAGAAGGCAGAGTATCAAACTGGTTCCATCTCAGCTGAAACTACACGTATCAAGAGACACATTTTCCAGAGCTTTGCACATGCACAATGACCACGAAAGTTCTGTGAGTATAGATTTTGGAGTTATAAATAAATTTTGGTGAATTCACAAGTACAGAATTCATGAATAATGAGGACAGATTGAAAAATGTGAAAATAAATCCATAGCAAAAGAAATGGAAAAGCTGTCAAACCAGTTTCTAATCAATCCCTGCTTGCTTCACAGACAAGTTCTTTCAAACCTTCTCAAAACAGGTTAAGTCTTAATAATATTTATTTCAGAAAATTCAAAAAGGAAAAAATTCTAATTCATTTTTTAGAAGTTAGCCTAACTGCATACCAAAGCCTGATAAATGATAATGGCTTTTTTAGATTCATTCTATACCACTGCCACCTTTTTATTATTATTATTATTATTATTAGTAGTAGTAGTAGTAGTTTCAGGTGTACAAAACAATGCAATAGTTATCCTTTTCACCCCTCACAAAGTAACAACCCCCTCCCTCCATCCACTGCCCCCCCGCCCGATATCATACGTATTATTTAAAAATTGTTTTAAAGGCTGAACTGAGTTTTCAGAAGAGAGGATCTTACCCGGCCAAACACACATGCTACTGCATTTCCTTCACAACAAGTCTGATGCAGGTTTTTGGTATCAACAGCCAATTGGGCAATTTCAGAAAAGTTAGCTTTAAGTTGTTTTTTAGTCAACAGAACCAATTCCCTGAAATAAAAAAATAAGAACATTTCAAACAGTGTTTTGAATTTGATCCGTTATAAAACTAGTTCTAGTTCACTGAGTAACCAAAAGAATAGCAACATACATGCAAATGGAGGGTGAAGAGAGAATTATAAACGCTTTCTATTTCTTCAGTGTTAGCACCCAGGGCCATCTATGATCTAAGTCACAACAAACACGATTCAAGTCACAATTGTGGAAAACGTAGTCAATTTAATCATTTAAATTTTTGCTTAAAGAAGCTCAGTTGCTTAGAGAGGTAATTTGAACATTTATCTGACTTGACTTTCCAAGTAAAGTTCATTATAAAGACAATAATTCTAGGAGTCTTGGGTCTCCCTTTCCTGTATTGACAACTGAGCAACATCCTGAAATTTCTCTGGAAATAGGGGAAATGGGCATGCCTTATAAGGAGAACTGAACTTTCAGGCAGCCCAGTGTTGTCCTAAATTGGGGAAGTCATACAAGAAAGATGCATGACTTCTGGGGTCAAGTTGGACAGAAACACAACCTGGGCCAGGAAAGAGGTACATTGAGTAACATCAGATTCTCCTCCCATCCTGCACTCCTCCATCCCCAAAAAACACGAGTGTTTTTTTGTGTGTTCTGAATAACATTGCAGCCAAAATCTTTCCTATCTTCCAAAAGAAAAGAATACCTTTGGTCCTCCAGCCTCTACCATGCAGAACAATGAAGTGTCTGCTTCTGAATGTATAGAATCTTTTGTGCACTGAGGAAGAGACTAAGGAACTTGAGCAGATGGAAGAAATTGAGGCAGGAGTTAATGGGTGGAGATGAGGATTGTGCGATGTCATGTGCGGCCCTCTGTGCCCTATTGAACAGGCAAGTAGCATATGTGTCGAGAAAGGAACCAAGTTTGTACTGAGAGATTATTAAACGAGAAGATAAATGATTTTTCAAATGGTTTTAATCAAAAGGGGTGGTGATCCAACAGCAACTAAGTCCACAAATGTAAATAGGCAACTTACACTGATTTTGCTACTTTGTGGTTGAATTTAATTCCAATTTCACATAAATGATGATGCCTCAAAGATATTTCTCTAATGTATTTTCTGATGGGTTCTAGCTGTAATTAGAAAAACAATGCATCAAAGAAATATGATAGCAACAGAAAAAGTTAATTTCATCACTAGTAAAGATGAGAGAAAAGTAAAAAAATGTGTCTCTCCTCAAAATTAGAAAGTTTTTAGTGTCTTATTTAAAAGAGGCCAAATGCAAAAGCATAATGTAGTTTGTTTGGTTTTGTTTTGTTATATAGTAACTTTTCACTTCCCTAGAGATCACTTTTCCAGTGGTCAAACATTTGGAACATAAATGAGAACAAGAAAGTGAGAAAACAAAGGTCCAAAGGGCCACTAAAATACATTTAATATGTATTACAATTGAATTTTTGTTTTATTCAAGTTTCTAACTATCACCTTGGACATGTCTTCTACTGCTTTTATATAATATATGCTCCAGTTTTGCAGTATATGTCAGTGAATTACCCCTGCCAAAAATATGATCATATTCTTTAACTCAGGATTTTTACCTTTGAACCTATTACAACTAAACTTTTCTGAATAAATAAAACCATAATTATGAAAAAAGCAAAACATACATGTTTTGTTATGATAGCAAAACTTTGGAGACAAATAAAATGACTCAACAGCAGAATGATGGTTAAATAAATTATGGCACATTATCTTTGAAAAGATGTACACTTCTCATAAAAAATAGGTATGTTTAAATTTCTAATTAAAACTCTGTATTCAGTGTGATCACAACAACGTACAAAACAAAATCTGTAAATGGAAAAATAAATGAAAGGAAATATACTAAAATTAGCATCTCTGTGTGGTAGAAATATAAGTAATATTTTAGAATTTTAGAAGAGTTCTATATTTTCACTTAAAACATTATATTAACTATATAGTATTTTTACTTTAGGTAACTATACCTTACAATGCTATTTTTAAGAACAATGTATTTAAAGGAAATATTCGAACCACAAAACTGACATAATAGTCATAATTATATTTTATAATTAATTATAAATATATGTATTTCTATCCTTATTTTGTTGTATTATACTCATTTGTAATCAAATACAGGCAAGCTTATTTACTTCATAAAGTAGTATCTGAGGACTTAACTGATAAAATGGTGTCTGGTCATAACCATAATTTTTGCTTAATTGGTTATGTAATTTTTTCTGAGGATGGAGCCAAAACTACTAGGAACAGACATCCTAGAAGCGGCAAGACTAAACATCACAAAGTGAAGTAGAAGAGGAAAGAACTCTTAGCTAAGTTAAAAGCATCTGCTTACGCTTAACAGCATAGGGGTATGTTATACGTTAAGGAAAAATTTCCACTAAAGAGGGTTAAGGTTAAGAAAACTTTGTAACTTAAATTAGTAAATACCAAGTTACCTACAAAACTCATCTTAATGAAAAGCTCATTCTTCAGAAATTTTAGGTAATGAAACATAAGTCTGCATGATCACTTGTTTTTGGTTTTTAATTAATGTGAAACCAAAAAAAAAAATGACTATACTGCTTAAGAGTTCAGAATTGGCTTCAGAAGAAATTGGAGTTCACCAAGGGAAGAATAGAGAGGGAGGTAAGATGATAGATAGATAGATAGATAGATAGATAGATAGATGATAGATAGATAGATAGATAGAAAGAATAATAGCTACAGTTATTGAGTACTTGCATATGCCAGGAACTCTTTAGATACATTATTTAATTTCTTACACAAGGAAAATAGATGATGAGGAGCTCAATAGGAGAAATAGGTTTAGGGTAAAAGAGAAATAGGGGGTTAGAAGAATATGAGATAAATTATCACTGAGAAGAGCAAAGTAAACAGCAAGGAAGAAGTGTACATTGCATTTAGCTTTCAGGGATTCATCCAAATGATGATCAAACTACTACTCATTTCAACACCACCTTTGGAAAATCCATCTGGTGCTCCACTCCAGTAAAGATATTATTTTATGTTGATATTTAGAAACTTAAGTGAGCATGCATAAAAGTAGTTTTATCATGGAACTAATCACTGATTTACTTCTATTCAATGAAGGAGAAAAGGCCACATAGTTAAAATTAAGCGTGGCAGACTATATTTTTCAAAGATGGCTACAACATCTTATATCCCATGCTCTTCTTACAATGGGACTTTGACAATCTCCCCAATCAATATATAAATATATATATTGATAAATATATATATGCACACACACACACATGCATACATATATATTCCCCTTCAAAATGGTAAGGCTTTATGCTGATTCAACCAATGGAGTATGGCAGAAGTAACTTCTGAGGCTGTGTCATAAAAGGCCATACAACTTCTGTTCATCCATTAGAATACTTATTCTTGAAGACTTTGACCATATGTAAGCAGTCCAACTGCTCTGAGGCTGTCATGCTGTGAGGAAGCCCAAACTAGTCAAGGCAGTGTGACCACATGGAGAGGCCCTGAGTTAAGCCCCCAAGTGCTTCAGCCCCCCAGTTTCAGATTCAAGCACTGTCTGACTATAACCACCTGAAAGACCATAAGCCAGAACTGCCCGAATGAGCTCTTCCTAAATTCCTGACCCACACAAAACATGAGAGATAATAAAATAATTATTGTCTTGAGTCATTAAATTTGGGGGTGTTTTGCTGTGTAGCAATAGTAACTGAAATATTAAGTATTTATAATGAAGTCATATCTATGCTAGCTCATGCTTCTATAATTCTAATGACTACACATTGCCTGGGTATCTTGTTTATGAGCTTTGTTCAGTAGGTCTGGAGAAGAGCTTAGATTCTGCATTTCTAACAAGTTACCAAGCGATGCACATGTTTCTGGTCCACCGTCCACACTTCGCCTAGCAAGGCTCTACGTAACGCGTGACAAATGAGTATTTTACCTTTATCTGGAGGCATTCAGTGTTATTTTCTTGCTGGCAACATGACTGAATAGCTGTTTCATAGCAAGCAGACATGGTCAAAATAGTGGGTCCATACAAGAATGGATGCTTTCTCGAAGTTTCATAAATGTACCTGTAATTTGACAAATACAAAGTTGTATAATTCAAAATTCAAGAACATGTGCTGATACTGTTTCTTAAAAACTTAGGATTCATTTAGTTTTGTTGACCCGAAACTTCTAGAATATCATGTTGAAAGAGATGAGACATCACTATACTTAAATGCATCAAATGTTCATGCTGGCTAGGTCACTGTGAGGTGAGTCAGACATTCGCTGCGTGCCCATGAAGTGACCAACTATAGCTTCTGGGTCAGTGGGGAAATAAAGTCAGTAATCAAAACTTTTCATTTTTCTATAAGTAGTAGAAGGTAGAAAGTTCAATAATCTAAACTGAGTTTTTGTAAATGCAGAATTGCACAGCAGGTTTTGGGGAACTAAATGTAAAAGCCATTGGTGGGCAAAGAGAAATCTCTCAAGATCATCACAAAGTTCTTTCTAGACAATGTCAATGATGATGTTATCTTTTGATTAAGTCCAAAATAGCTGACTTTTTCTCTAGCTGTGTTATAAGTTACTGTTTCCTTACTTGAGAATTATTAAAGTTCTTGGCTTATAAACTATGTGGCAAGTAGGTAGAAATTTATTTTCCTCTTAAATATTTATGGTTGTATGCACATAAGTTAAAATTAGTGTGTAAAATAATTCCTTAATTACTGACTTCATTGTAAATGTTCAAGAAGAGATTAGATTCACTGCCTGAGTTTTGGTTAGACTTTTTAATCTCTGTTCAGCCCAAATCTGATTCTATAATTCTCATCTACAGTGGATAGCACTACAGTAAATATGCAGCTAAGCTCATATTTTGGTTCTCATTTGGTTGCCCCTAATGTCAGACAAGTTGGAACTTGCCCAATCCCCCATCCCTTAGTCCTTTCTCCCTAAGTGGCTGGGACCACTTAATTGTTTCTTGAAGGTTTGGTAATCTCTGGGGCAATTCTGGCCTTCTGTGGGTGAATTAAAGGAATTTACGTTATTCAGCATCAAGTAACCCTGGTCTACAGTTTTGTGTCTAAAATCTGAGATCAAATCTCTACCATGCTCCTTACACTCTAGATACAACAATCAAATATTCACCTTATTCTGCATCTGAGCCTGTGTTGACAAGACGGCCAGAACTGCATTCCTTAAGAATTGAAGCCTTGTATTTCTCTTATCATTTCTACTTTTCTAGGTATTGATGTCCTGCTTCTAAACCCCAGCCTTTTGCTAGCACCTCACTCTCAAAAGGTAGACTTGTCCTATGCTAAGTAGGAAACCAAAATATAAGCCTGCCTACCCATTGGCCATACTGCTATTCACTCCAGGTGGGAATCGTAGAATCAGAGCTCTTCAGTAGAAAACTCACCTCTGCCCAATCTACAATTTTTACTTATCTCTAGGTTCCCAATGACAGATTATTTCCATGCCTATCCTATACCCTCCTTACTATCCCTTAATGACTATCCCAAATGCCAGCTCCCTGTCTGAGCTATTTCCTGCTCTCTCTCCCCCGTCATCGCTGCTTATTATGCTTTGCCAACTTGACTATACCTTTCAATATCATTTGATCCTGGTCTGACCAATGTAATCCTTAAGGAGATGGGTCCTTTACAGGTCCTAGTCATTTATAATGTTTCGTGGCACAAACATAATCGTGCCCTATTCAATTCACTAAGACCAAAATTATAATTCTGAAGGAGAAAAATATACTGTAGCTTAATTTTCAATTTAATTCCATATAATAAAGCATTGTGTTCTTAGAGGCTCTTATGTTAAAAAAAGACCTGACTTCAAAATTGGAAAACACTTTTCTTCAAAGACAATGGTAAGGAGAAATGACTTACCTCTCTTTCACTGATGCTTGATTCTCTTTGTCTGTCTCACAGATCTGCTCAGGATTTGGAATTTGAAATATATCGCTGTGACCTGCATCATCTTTTTTGTATAATAGGAAGCACTTGTGTCTTGCAGTGTTATTTATATTGCAACAGTCAGAAAACACATGTTTGTCAACCATTCCTTGGTTATTACAAATATGCTCTAGGAAGGTAGTCATCTGTAGGAGGAAATAATAATTTCAAGGGAACACCTGTGTGGTCTACATTCCTAACCACAGGAAAGGTAAAGAATTATTATTTTTAGAAAGACACCTGAGTACATGATGCTACACCTTGTAACCAATAATCCCCAGACATAGCCCTTTTGAGCAAAAGCCTTTAAGGTTTTTAAGTCTAAATTCCCACATGCTGGGCATTGACCAAATAGAATTTATCATTCTCTCCTTTCCTATATAATTGTTTCATTTTCATACATTTGATAGGTATTAATACAAACATAAGCCAGAATATCCAGGGCCTAAAGAAATCAAGGCATTTTTAATGAGAACTATCTACCAAGAAGTAGATGGTGCTGTACTCACCTTGATTCCTAATTGTTTTTAGTTTGGTCTCCATGGAAACTTATTTTAAAAACTAAACTCTGAAGCAATGTGTACTTAGTACCAAATACTCAAATGGAAATGTAATAATTCAGTCAGTTTTCAACTAACTGTGGGTGGCAGCAAATGTATGGGATGCTGTAAACCTTAAATAACGTATTTTCAGATTTGGGGGATAAGGGCATAAAACCTTCATCTTTTGAAATGAAAATAGGAAGAAATCACTATAAAATTAAGTGAGACTAGCCCCTGGCAGAAGTGCTTCATTTAAAATGTGTTTCTAATAAGACTGATAATTCTTCTATGTCTATTTAGAGTCTAGAGTTTAACAAAAGATAAATAGGTTTTAGCCCCAAGAAGATTAAAAAAAAATCTATAAATAAAGAAGAAAACTACTCATTTGTATTTTAAATTGTTTGGCATGAGAATAATTTATATAGGTTTACAAGCCTACAAAGATTATATTTTATATATCTATACACACACACACACACACACACACACACACACACACACGCACACATGCATGCAGAGGGTGCCAAAAAAAGTATAAACATTAAACATTTTAAGAAAGAAAAAACTGTATTAAAATTGTAATACTCAATATATACCAAAAACAAAAGATGAATACAAGTCATATTTGACTTCTGCAGTTACAAGAGGTGCTCAAAGTGGTTACCATCAGCGTGATTTTAATACAGTTTTCCTTTCTTAAAATGCATGTACATTTTTTGGCACCCCCAGGAGAGAGAGAGAGAGAGAGAGAGAGAGAGAGAGAGAGAGAGAGAGAGAGAGAGAGAGATGGTAAGAATATGTTAGTGTTTATCAAGAATTTGCTAATCACAAGATAGATGTACTTTATAAGAGACGATAGTAATGCCCAAGATTATCTACTAACTGGGAAAAAGAGCCTATAATAATATGCACTTCTTTTTTCTTTTTCATATCCTTTAAGAAACTTTTTAAAATTATTTTAATTTCCCAGGAACGTTTATATGAGGATTCAGACAATAGTACTTTAGTGACAGAGGCAGGGAAATCAACTTAAGTTAACAAATTGACATTCTAGGTTCTGATTCATTCTTTTGAGTGTTTGGTTCCCAGAGTCTGATCTCCCAGAGATGAACTGATAAACTGTAGGTTTACAAGCCTACAAAGATTCTGTCTTGAGTGTGAACCAAGTACGTATTGTTGCTTTACAATCCCCTACCTAATTATTCAACTAGCCGCCCTCATAACAACATCTTTTGATGGTAATTTAGGGGAGAGAGAGAGAGAGAAAGGCAGAACTTGATTCACTTACCAACTGGTAAGAGCATTCTGAAGGTGACTCATGTAGGTTGAGGCTCTTGCACTTCTCTGCAAAATCTAACAACTCATTAACTGTGGTTTGTACTTCTTCATAAGTCAATTTCTGAAGAAACTGAGCAACCATAGTGCTAATGCTAAATCAACAAAACACTATCTCACTGTTAAAGATAGAATCAAATTATTTTCCTTCATCTTTCTTTGTTATATTACTGCCCCACTCCCCTTCCCCCTAAATGATTAATATGATTTCAAATTTCAGACCAGAAAAAAAAATGTTGATAATAAAACTCACATGCTTCTTAAATTCTCCTCCAGATAATTCTGGCTACTAGTGTGTTGCATGGCTGGGGGGAAAAATGAGATTTTTATATGCATAAGAAGAAATTTTCCAAATTGAAATCCCCCTTTACAATTCTGAATCTATATTTATTCACTCATAAATTTCAAGATCTATTTTTGGTTATCATAGTAAATTAGAGCAAAGTACCAGAATATATCTTCGCTGGTATTTAAAATGTATTCTGTGAATGACGCATTTCTATTTAAAAATATTGTATAGTTGAAATCTATCATTGGCATACAAATAAGTTACATGTACTTGTGCTGACACTTCTGAACTAATTAAACTTCATGATTTTGTTATTTACCTTTTTACATTAGAATTATAGCACACCCAAGAAATAGTAAGAAAATTAGAGTTTAGCTTTGGGAACCAAAGTGTAAACATTAACATTTTGACAGACTTATTTTGGCAAAAGCAGTATCTCACATATCTTGGGTTTACTCATCATCTTCATCTTCTTCATCACTTCCACCAGGACACACACATACATATGTTCTCTGTTGAAAACAATGTTTTCCTTCTTATACTAATAACTTCTAAAGAACTTAGCACCTACTTATTAAAATAAAGAAACCATTATTACTTGCTGTATTAACACAAGGAAAGGCTTTGGAGACAGTTATTCTGAGTTCAATTTCTAGCTCTGATACTTAATGTAGTTCTTGGGAAAATAACTTAAGCTCTGAGCATTTCTGTTTCTATATCTATAAAAATGTTCTACTACAATGAGTTGTTGTTAGAATTAAATGAAATCATATGTGTGAAGCACGGAGCACAATACCTGGCTCATAATAATAAATACTGAATAATGTAGCTTTAATATTATTCCTGCTACTATAAACACTGTTACTTTTATCTAAAATCATTTATCCAATTTCAAATACAAGTTTGAAATGTTTCATTCTCTCACTTAGAGTGGAAGTAACGCTAAAATGAGGTCTTCCTGGGTGTTACCTCAATATATTAGCTCTCTTTTTACATTCATCCTATAAGTTAATTTCCAGCAATTTTCAATGATCTACTGAGAATGAGAGCACTAAGATAAGTCTCCCCATATGCATTTTAGTAGTTGTGCCTTACTCCTGGGTGTATAGATTATAAATGGGATTCCCTACCTGTATCTAGTAAAGTTCTCTGAAGAGTTTGACATTTAATGTAGCTGAAGAAAAGAAAAGATATGAGTCTGACAGTCTTCATTATTTCAAATGAACCTTTATAGAAGGTGGCCTATCATTTGAGAGAATTAAAGAATCCTTTTATAATTTTTTCAAGTGATTACTATTAATAATTAAGCTTTTTCTGCTGAATATTTTTTCCAGGACACTAAGAGCCTGATCAAATTGAAGAAATTCATGACAATGAAGAAATATTGCTGATGCATAGCCTTTCATTAAAGAATAACTGGATTTTAAAATGAGTGAATGTACTTGTTTTTTCAAGATTACACCATTTAGGCTTTGTGATTAAGCAATCAATAAACACTTTTGGTAACTATCTCATTTCCAGGAAAAGTTCTTTCTGGGAAAATTTCATTTACAAAGTTCTAACGTGGCAGGGGAGAAGGTAAATATGTACTACCCCACATTCAAATAAATGGCTAAGGCCCCAGCTCCAGCACTAGTCACATTTTCAAGGCCCTAAAGAGAGTGGGGAGCATAGGCCTCTGGAACAAACCCAAGGGAATAGGATCTAATTTACTGAGTGCTTACTGTGACTTTGGCACTTTATATAACTATATAATAACAATATTTTTACTTTTTGAATAGGGAATTAAGACTCAGGGTCATATAATTTACTCATGAACTCACAGGTAGAAATTCAGGTTTGTCTGACTTCAGTGCCCACACCATCCAAGAGCTAGTATTAAAAGCTGAGGACAGGGCCGGCCAAGTGGTGCGTTGGTTAAGAACTGGCTTGGGATGCCAGAGGGCCCCGGTTCGGATCCCACATATAAGGGCCAGTGACACTGCCCTCTACAGCTAAGATGCTGAACAACTGCTCGACCTGGAGCTGGGCTGCCGTGGGTCGCTGGCGACGGCGTAGGCTGCAGTCCCCTGCTGCAGTGGGCTGCCACAAGCTACCGTATGTAGCCAGCAGCCAGCTTGAGCGGGCCAGCAGCCAGCTTGAGCGGCCAGCAGCCGCAGTGAGTGGCCGTCCAGAAGCCGGAGACTGATCTGCCTCGCCCGGGAAGAGCGCAATGATGGTGCCAACTTGGGCCAGTGAAGCAACATCCTCCACAACTACACTGAAGAACAAAAGGACAGCAACTTGTCTGTTCCCCTTCCCCCGATTCCCCAGCGCTGTTCCCCACCCCCAACTCCCCAATAAAATCTTTGAAAAAAAAAAGCTGAGGACACTGGGTGGTGAACACACAATGTGATGTATAGATGATGTATTACAGAACTGTACACTTGAAACCTATGTAACTTTACTAACCATTGTCACTCCAATAAACTTTAATTAAACCAAAACAAAACAAAAAGCTGAGGTCCCAACATGCCTCAGCTATCGTCATCTAGTTCTTGGGTCTAGGACAGGAAAGGGATAATTACTGATTAAACAAAAATTCTGAGACAAATGTAAATTCCAACGTTTTTTTGGAAATGGGACATCACTGGGTTCTGCTTTAACCATTCCTGTCATCAGTTGCTACATTTATTGGTGGCGAGTTTGGACCAGATAATCTCTAAGGCTGGTAGTCCATTGTTTGATTCATATTCTCATTTCTGGTCTCTTAGGCAAAGAAATAACACAAGTGAGAAAGAGATATTTGCCTAAAAAATAGCAACAAAAGTCTTTTATTATTTAGATTTGGAACACATTGGTTTACGGTAAAGAATATTGATGGCCCTGTGTGATAGAAAGCCAACTGGATCAACGATTATCTTTGGCAGGTTTTATTATCCTTTTCAGGGTCCTCTAAACAGTCCTAATGTTTAATATCTCTTCAGAGTCATTCTCTTGAGATCTTACTCTAAGCCTCTGGAAACTATCAGCAATGGACTTATTACTCTAGGGATGGCAAATCTTTTGGATGAATGCTGCCAGACTGTCACCCATTGCAGACATTATTAATTGCTTACTGCACTCGTTCTGTCCGAACCAATGCTCAGCCTTAGAATCATTCACAGCACAGTGCCACAGGACAGCCACTATTAATTGATTGGAGTTGGCATTTAAGGAAAAACAAAAACTGTTGTATGTGTGCTAAACTAATTCCTTTATTTTTTAAAAAAATGGACAAAATTAACTTCCCATGGGAACCGTCCTCTCAGAGTAAGAGACTCTTGAAAATGTAAACAGATGTTAAGTCCTCTAATAGTGACTAATGGTGGAATTTTAAATACAAGGAAAGACAAGTACTGGGGATTATTCAAGTTAAAGCAAGGGAATGGTTTTGTGATAAGATTCAAAAGACAGCACAGAATTTGTTCTCTAAGAGAATAGTATTTTCACACCGAACTTTAAGAAAAAAAAAAAGGATGGTATACAAGTATAAGACACACTGATGATTTTTTATAAATATTATTTGTCCAACAAACCTAATTCTTGTCCAAGTCATAGAAACAGAGTTCAAAGGAACCTTAGAAAACCCAGGACTGGATCCTTAGAACCCACCTAAAACCTGGATAGTGACTTGCTCATGTACGTGCAGTCTTCGCACTCATTAGAGCGCCTTGATCATCACATTTACAAGCATCTCTAGTACTAGAAAAATCTTCCCGCATCAAGTCTAGGTATGTTCTATTCATTGGTGTGAGCTTTGTCTGAGCAATACAGAGTATGTGTGACTTGCCTTCATTTTAAATTCTGTCTTCTCCATGCAAAATATGTGTTTTGAATAAACCATTTCTCTTCTCGTTCATATTGCAGTGGTTATCTGCTTTTTATTAGTGTATTCTCTGGCACATCAGTAGAGAATTGTATGTCAGTTTCCCCTGTTATAATAGTCTTGTGATGGCAACAGGTTCCTGGGGCTCTAGTTTCATATCTGATGCTCTTAGCACAGCATTGAACACATAGCAGAATCCACTATTAGGTACCAAATAGGATTAGCTAAATGTGCGCTATTTCACTTCTGTTTGCTGAACTTATTATCCGCTATTTGAGAAAAACTGTCTTCCTTGTTACTCTCATTAGTAAACGAGAGTGTTTGGAAAAATGGTAAAAGGACAAAGTAGCTTCATGAATTCAATATCTATTTTCTGTTAGCCTTTGTATTGGGTACTTTATCGTATAGTTATTTAATACAGTTCTCTAAAGACTTTGTGATATGGAGATCATTTTTCCACCCTAAACAAAGAAGGATTTAGACTGTAGGGAACATACAGCAAGTTAATGGCAGAAGGAGTTTGAAGTGCCCCACTGCCTTCTCACCCTGCACCTTTAGCTTACACTAAGTGCCTGTGCAATGTGCACTCACAGCAGGAGCCTCTTTCCATTTCTGCACCTATGACATTGTACATGATTACTGGCTTATTGTTCTTGTCCCCTGCTCAGACACAAGAGCCGTGTCTAATTGGCTCACAATTGTATCCACAATGTCTGACACACACAGTAGGAATCTAATATGTGTTTGTTGAATAAATGAATGAGAATCCCAAAGACTGTGCTCTGAGTGCTAGACCAAAAGAACTCTATGAACAGTCTCATGTATTATCTATTAAATAGTCATTTTCAATTTCAGACATTGAAACATTAAAAACCTCAGTTTAGAGAATGGTGGTGATGGTCAGCCATGAGCCCATGACCAACCTCCCTTTCCTGGCCTCCCAGTTCCTACCATTCCCTCTCCTCAGACATCACTGCCAACCACTTACAGCTCCAACATAACAGCAATTTTTTACTTGAATGGAGGGAGAGAGACTCACTGTTGCTCTTCTCCCTCTCTAAATTACAGATTTCATAAGACATACAACATGGCCATACCTGAGAGGTAGTATGTACAGGGGCTGAGAATATTGTAATGGAATTAGAGGACTCAAACCTTGCTTCTGCCAATTACTAGTCATATGACATTGAACACATTAGTTTATCTCCCCTAGCCTCAGAATCCCTGTTTGCAAAGTAGGAATAGAAGTGATGTCAACTTTAGAGTTGTTAGGGTTAAAAGAGATAATGCATGAAAAGTATCTAGTACATTGAAAACATTCAGTGCCAACTAGTCATAGTGATAGTAGTAGCATGCCCTTAATGCCCCATTTCCTTCCCAGTAGCAGCAAGAATGAGATCTGTGAGGATTCTGCCCCCACAATTGCTATTTCAAGTCCTGCCTTCCACGGAGTTGGATTTATTTAGTCAGTGAGCTGAAATGCTGATGGAATGAAAGAATCTTGATTGTTTAATTTTGTTATCAAGTTGACACATGACACGAGTCTTTGAGAAATAGCTTTATAATGTTGTTGTTTATTGCTTGTTGCAATAACATGATTTTGTGTAAAGGCTCCAGAAGAATCTTTTTACTGTGATCTTCGCAGGAAATGAAATTCACCACAAGACAGATGAAAGCAGGGAAGTTGGTCTTCCTCTCTTTTCTCCACAATCTGGGAAGAAAAAATAGTATCCTCTGCAGCAAAGGAATATGAAATATTATAACTTGGGCAATGGAAAGTCATGTATATGAAAAATTGTTCATGGTAACTAGGTTTTGCCTGTAGATCCAAACTCTTGCCAGACATTGAATGTCATTGCTATATCTAGGCAGCATTTTGTTCCTAAATTGTGTGCATGCATCTTACATAAACTGTAGAGGAGAGGGCATTCTGTATATGTCTTTTTGAAATCACAAACATATCACTCTTTGTTTATGTAAATGCTGCAGCAAGACTCTTGGAACAGGTTGACTGAGGCCTGTCTGCCATCCTAACCCTTCCTCTGTCAACCCTCAGATATTCGATTGCCTCCCCTTTCTCGTCCAGAGAGCTGAGTGCATTGGGCTGAAAGGCAGAGGAGTGGGTGCCTTTGGCTACTTAGAAAACTGCTTGAACAGAAAGAAAAAATGCCGGCACAAATGTAGCAGTGCTACTCCATAAGGGGTGGTAGATACATTACAGGACCAGGCATGTAGGGTGAACCAGAAATAGACATTGAAACACGAGAGGGGAAATGCTAGGGCAACCAAATAAGCTTTGGCATTTGATTGAGATAGAAAGTATTACCTTTGGTAGTTTTTATTTTATGTTCCTCAAGCAGCCTGGCTTTTGGCTGCCAATTTTGGGCCCTGAGAGGGGAAAATAAAATTAAATAAAAATAAAATTAAATACATACATATAGAAAAAAAAATTAAGACATTATTTAAATTTAGAGAAGCATGATGCCTTGAATTTTGGAAAGAAAAATTAAACCACTCACATATTATACAGGGAACAGTGAACAACACTTTTTCTTCAAGTGAACTTGAATTCAGACACCCAACCCTTTACGAACTGCCCATAAATTCATCCCTTCCTTTACAATGGGCTCAACATACACACTCACCCAGGTAAATGCTAGATATAAATACCCTCTAATTACATTAAACCTATTAAAAAGAAACAAATAATATGTACCAAAAAATAATAATAATTCTCACAGACTAAGCATTCACTTGGAAAAAGTAGAGGGATCTCAACCAGAATGAAAATCCATGTGTGAGCATGTGTGCCTGTGAGTGTGCATGAAGTATGCAAGTGTGCACAAAGTAGGTGTGTGCACATGAATCGTGAATGAGTCTGGAGTGGAGTGGGTGTTGCTAGGAAAGAAACTGAGAAAGACAGTTGGAAAATAGTGCAGAAGTACTTCCAAGGAGCCATCCATTGGGGCTGACATTCACAGGTACCTGAGAATCCTGGAACACGAGGGCGAGTCAGTCACAGACTTCTGTCACTGGAGTGAGAATAAGGAGGAACACATCTCCTTTCTCCTCCTCCTCTACCCTTATCTCCCACTTCCTCACTTCACACACATGTATTCTCAACTGAGGGATGTTGGGACAAGGCCCAGGAAGGCGGGACCCCCAAAAGACTTCACATAGTAGTACCCTCCTTTTTCCTCTCCCTTTGGAGCTGATTAATTCCCTTTGCAAGTGAGTTTGACTGTTTGTTTTATTAAGATTATGATTGATTCAGACCAGAAGGGTAAGGACCAATGGAATAATGGAAGGATAATGATCACCACCCTCCTTTACAGATGGTGAACTGCAGTTCAGTTGAAGTTATATGGCCAAGACTGGTGGCATCAGAACCTGAATTTGTCTGGTATCTTTTCTTACACCACACTGTCACCAAGGAGACAGTGACAGAATCTTATCGGAGACAGCTGCATATTATCTGTGTAGCAACTGTGCTCTCAAATGTAGGCCTCAGAGACGTTGTTGGGCAGAAGCAGTGTCCTATGGGGAGTACTGTTTTGTTTTATTTTTTTTTAACCAGAAATACCAGTTGAATTTCAGTAGAAAATAAATATAGCTACCTCTTCATTAAAGCAGGCTTCCGGCCCCTCTGCTTTGCAGCACTTGTCCACCATGTTAGTATAATCTGTGAGTGACGACCGCAGCTCCTCATCAGTAAGTTCAGGCTTTAGCTTCACTAAGTTGACAAGAAATCTGTGACCCAAAGATATCCAATAGAATGAATTAAAATTTTCTTTCTTAAGCTCTTCTTTCCCAAAATTCTTGTTACAGTATCACATGTCTTGGGGGGGGGTCTCAATTTGGGTGAGTACAAAAAGTGAAAAGTCTACTTTTGAAAGAGTCTCCTGAAACTTTCCTGTTAAACTTATGGGATGAATTTTCGCAGTAACATTCTTTGTAGGGTTATGTAACTAGACAAAATGGTATAAAAATGTGAACATATATTAGGTCTTTGTTATACAAAGCATTTTAGAATATGTGACTACATTTGATCTTTCTAGAAAATTTATTTCCAAAACAACCTCCATTCCCTCTTCTTCAGAGGCTGAATTCTGTTTCCACTCCACTTGATACAGACATTGCCTAGATCTAAAAAATAGGTCTTATTCCTTGGTATTTATAGCATTGCCTAAAAAAAGTAAAATAAAATTTCATTCTCTTGTGGGCCTTCTTTTTATAAACTTCTCTTGAGGTTCTCAGGGAAACCATCTAGGACATTCCCTCAAAAAAATCTCATTCATTAAAAACCTACCTACGAGCCTTTCTGCTGGCTAACCTAACTCACCTTTGCAAATTATAGTCTACTAGACACTCCATAGCTCTACCAAAGGAAAAGACTAGCTAGCTAGGTTTTAACATATAAACAATGGCATTTAATATGCTCTGGCATTTTTCTGAATTGGAAAAACAGGATAGTTTCATGGAAGGAACAAGGCTATAATTCAAAAATCACATATTCATTACAATAAGCCTTCTCATTAATGCACAGTGTGTCTTTGGGCTGAAGAAAATGATGAATGGAAGAGAATGTTAGTACCTGTCTTTCTTTCTCTGGAGCTCCTCATTATGAGCCTGACACAAGTCTGTGTGAAAGGTAAATAAACCTTGAGAGGCAGCAGATGGAGGTACATATGTTTTATCAGCTCCCAAGCCCTCAAAGCAGGGCCTTCTGAAGGCAACGCTGGTTTTACAACAGTTGTCCACAGCAGGGTTGATGGTTCGATTTTCATTTACTCCACACATTTCTCCAAGAACTAAATCCATCTGTACCAATGAAAGTTGGAACTCAGGTATGACTTTAAAACTTGAATGGAGCTTTGTAATATGGTTAGATGAATAGTTAGATTGTTTTAAGATCACTGTTAACTTTACTCAGAATAAACCCACGTACTCATAACATGACACTATGTACAAACTAAAGTAGAGGATGGGGTCCTAAGTGGCATTATGTATAACAAAATTTCAAGCCATAACAATGTAAATGCCCACAGAGTAATTTCTTTTTAGCATATATACAAATTTGTAATTCAGCTGCAACCATCCAACTGACAACGGCAGCCAAACACTGTGGCCCTTAGATTTATTACCCTCCTGGGATGTCTCCCAGGGTACTGTCTATTCTGGCTCTAAAGAAATCCATCCAACGTGTGATTGGGCAGGAAGCAGGAATTCTCTTACTGACCTGGAGGGGCAGGAGAGGAGGATTTGTAACACTGCTTAAAATTATACAGTTTCCTGTATCATCCTGAAATGTTACTGTGGTTCCTAAAGCATTTGCCCTGAAAAATTACTTCTAATGTAAATAAGTAAGAAAGTTGATTTGGAGGACCCTTGGAAAATATTTGAGATACTCTCTTTCGCTTCTTAGGATCTTGATACACTGAGCCAGAAAGGAAACTTGACATTCCTTGCTTAACAATGTTGACAACAATGATGAGGGAAAGACAGATAATCATTATAAATCACTGAGGGCAGATATCTTTTTTTTTTTTTTAAAGAACATGGGCCATGCTCACCAAATTATCAACGCAGGCAAACTCTTCACTCAGTGTGCAGCAGGTGATCAAAGCTGTCACCATATCCTCGCCAAGAAAGGTCAGTTCTTCAGTGGAGAGCTGAGGGGCTATCTTTGTGAGTTTGATAAGGTAGCTGAAAGGACATTTGTCTGTTGGTTCTGAATGAAGCAGATACCCATTTTTCTTTGTCTAGCTACTTGAAAACCTGGCCCTTCAAGGTGAAGGACAGCCAACATAAGGGCAATGTGGACCTCAGTTCTCTCCTGTAAAAAGGTAGAGAACTGTCTCTTCACTTCCTGTTTTCCTTCACCTTGCCTCCTACATCTCTGTATTTTGGCTTCCTTTTAATTTCACGGTAATCTCAAAAACTCTCAGATTTGGCCATCCTGTTTGACCTGTGAGATTAGGAGCTCCTTGGCTAGTATATAAAATCCTGCTTGAAGTCCCTTGCATACTTAATAAATATATTTAAAGGGAGAATTTAATAAATACATGCTGGAAAAAGATAACCTGAAATGAAGAAAACTAAGATCTTTAATGAGCTGAGTTTGATTTCTCAGCTAACAGCCAGGTTGCAAAAATAGTGAAATCATATTTTTTAAAACATGTTTTGGTTTGATTTGGAGATGTTTGGTTTCAACACATACTACATTAGCATGGTAATTAATTAAGGAAATCCAGAATAAACTGTGTATTATTCACGAATGCTCACAAGAGCACTAAAAAATAAATATTAAAGAGTTAAGCAAATCCAGCATTATTTCTAGAAACTTGGTATAATGGACTTAAATCCTGGGCCAAGCATGTTTTCTTTGGGAAATTATAACAACCTGAAGTTTTCCCCATTCTACCCTTCTCCCCCACTCCCCAAATGGGACAGAATCCAGAGATTCTGGGTTGGGAGTGAGAAAGGCAAGTCCAAACAAAACTAAAGCATTAGAGAGTTAATTTGTCCAGAATCCTGTATTTCTTTAATTTCTAGCTTCATTCCTGGTAAAGACTTCATATGAGAGCTCAGTGGGCGTTCTTGACTTTTGTGGTTTCATTCTTTCACAGAGTTTATGAATTCGCCATAACTGAAAGACAGAGCTAAAATGTTGACACCTTGTGGCTCTCTTTACTTTATTCTGGTCACAAGTGTTCACCTCCTTTGCAAACCACTTACTGGTATTTCAAGTCATCCTTCCCCAAATTCTGGAAATGTTCACATTCTCTTTGTACCATCTTAAGGCTTTTCTCAGTTGTTTCATTGAATTTGTTTTCCTGAAAATAAAAACAATCATGTTTATGAACACTTTATCTAAAATTTAATCATAAGCTTTATGTTGACTTGTCAAGTAGTTTTTTTGAATTTATATAATACTTTGAAACTATCATCACCGTACATTACTCACTAAATTAAGGGTAGTTTTTTACATATGTGTATAAGAATTTGAATCTTATCATTATAGTTGTAGATAGATATGTTTTCGGCCTAAGTTTGAAAGTCCAAATTTCTCATCATCATGATCTTGTACTTTTTTTTAGAGATTTCCAGTTTACAAAGTATAATTCAAATCTTATGTTGGCAATGATCATATTCTATTCTAATTTGAAGTGGCCAAAGTAGTTGTTATCTCCACTTTTACATAAAGAAAATTGACCTGGTGAAGTCAAGTAATTTGCCTAGAATGACCCAGCTAGTTATGTATCACTACAAAATATTTTTAATCCTATTGACCTTTATTTTATAGCTTTTTTTCATCATTTAGAATCAGAACTTAAAACCTCCAATAGTTATCTTCAAATATTTGACAAACTCTCTTGTGGCATAAAATTAGGCACCTACTGAGTGGCCACCAGAGAGAAAACTACATACTAGTAAATGGATGCTGTGGGACAAATTGTGTCTCTATGTAAAAAAATACATATATATTTCTAGAATATGATTCATTTAAGGATAAGAAACAGACCTCCTTGTTAAGGGCAGTTGGCAGAGCTATACTGAAACTCAAGTATTCTTATTTCATTGCTCAAATATAAATAGGTATAAAGTGGCTTTTATGGCAAGTAGATGAACATTTTTAAATCAATCAACAGTAGTACCTACCAAATGAATGAGAAACAAATCAGAAAGTTCAAATAATTTTTATATACATAAGAAGTGCATGTGAATTGATATTAGGAACATACTAATTTCAATAAGAAAATGGGTAACAGACATGAACAAATTGTTCATAAGAAATTTTTAACTACTATAGCTAAAATCATATGGGAAAAGCTTAATTTCATTTAAAAATCAAATAAAAGTTTGCTTAAAACACAGTCACTATTTTTTTACATAGAAAGCTAGCAAAGTTTATCTCCATATGCAATGTTGGTGAAGGTGAGGGTGAAATGAGCATTTTCAAACATTGCTGTTGGACTATAAAGCAAAAGCTTTCTAGAAAGTAAGTTGGCCATTTGCATCAAATGTTTTTTTTTTAAAGCCTATATATTTTGACATAATAATTTCCCTTTTGAAAATCTCTCTTAAGAAAATAATCATTAATATTAATAATGATGAATGGAAAGAGATGCTCACTTCAGGGTCACTTGTAAAATTTAAAAAAACCTAACTAAACATCCAAAATGCCCAACACACAGTAGAAAAGCAGCTAAATAAATTCTTATGATGGTATGTCACCACTTAAAATAAAGTACATTTTGAAGTCTATTTAATGACATAGAAAGTCTTCTGATACTAAATAAAAAACAGATCCAAAAATCCCTTAAGAAGTATTATTCCAATCTTACTTTTAAACACACAAATATATATATATGCATATTTGCATTAAAAAAGATGAAATAAAATGTTAATTGTAGCTATTTCTTGGTGACAGAATCAGAAAGTTTTTACTTTTTTCTTTGCAACTTTATGTACTTTTCTAATCATATTAATAATCATTTACTATTAATGATAATAAAAATTATCATTAATTTTTACAATCATAAAAATTCCAAAATGGCCCAATAAAATACAGAGTACATCAATAAAAATATAAATGTAAAACGTGTAATGGGAAGAGTTTTTGGCATCAACACATAGATTAGTAGTTCAAAACAATTGCATAGCCCAAATGGATAATGTTGGTCTTCCCAATGATGATTTCTCAGTGAATTTAAAGTAGGCTCAGATTGGTCAATCATATTTTCTACCCCCTAGACTAAAGTAAAACATTGACATCAATTTTTAAGTGTTTGTTGTTTAGTTTTGTTTCAGTTATGTCTCTGAGTCTACATGATGGAACCTACCGCATTCCTGTAACAGGCTGGAGGATTTTCTGCATTGCAACACTCTTTCAGGAGATCATCATACACTCTAGCAATTCTTAGTAGCTCTGGTATAGACAGTTCTGGATGTCTCCTTGAGTATTCATAAAGAAACCTGTGATGTAAAACATTTTCTATATTAGAACTTAGAGAGAGAGCAAAACACCAAATCCTGCTATCTTTCAGTCTAGCCTGATGTAATATTGTGTCTGCTCTCGGATGCTGAGGTCTTCCTCTGCTTTGGTCAGGAAGTGATTTAAGCAGGCATTTTGACTACAGGAGATCATTTTAAGAAGATTCCCTTTTATATTGTGTTTTAAGTTAACTATGCTTTTACTGGACAGGATAGAATTGTTAGAGTTATTTAGAGTTAATTATTAAAATGATTACTATATCAAGTATAATTCTATTGGAAAATGTATTCGGACTTTCAACTTGAGATGGTAAAAATATGGCTTTCTCCCCACTCTCAGTGCCACCTTGGTGAGAGACTGTGGAGCAGCCCTCTTTATCCATTACTTCATCCTGTCACTTGTCAAATCTGGGAGTAATCACTCCTGTAGCTGTAAATCATTGTCAGTGGCTTCCAAGGCCTCAGTGAGAGGCTCCAAGGGTATAGGTGGGTGTGATTTGGGGAGAAAGTGGGAAAGGGAGAGCAAAGAGGCCAACACTCATTAAGCCCTTAGTAGGTGCTAGGCATTGGATCAAGCTTTGGACATAATAGATAAAGATATGCTTTCTGGCCTTTATAAACATTTTCTTATTTAACTTCACTTAGTCCTCAAGATAGCGCTATTCTACAGCTGAGGAAACTCAGACTCTGACCGGTTAAGCACCTTGCTATTAATGGGAGTATAAAATTTAAACCTAGATTCCCTGTGATGCCTACTTCATCCTTTTTAAACCAAGCTGACTCTCTTTTCAAGATAGGAGCATTTTCTCTAAGTGCCTCAGCTGTGCTAATCACAGTCTTCTCCATAAAAGAATCCTTTCCATTCAAAATAAATTTAAGTGGTCTTCACGTTTTGTAAAACAATACCTCACAAGAACTTTTCAAATCCAGGGAACTCTTTTCAACTCCTTTCGTTTTGCAGCCTTTGAATATCTTGATTAATCTTGGTTTTTCTAACATCATCTCCCCTGCTTCTCATCTGCCTTCTCAGTCCCATTTGTAGGCTATATTCCCATACTCTGAAGCAGTGGTGTTTAACCTTCAGAAAATCAAGGGCTCCCCTTAATACCTGACATAAGTCATAGACTTTTCCCCAAGAATAAAATTACACCTAAATATACACCACCAAAACGCTGCAAACAAAAACCCCTGGAAGCCTACTCTAGCTTGACAGATCCATTGAGGTCTTCGTCAAACGTTCACATCCAAAAAGACTGCACCTTAAAACTCTGTTTCTGACTTAGCATGCTCATCATTGTTTATCATTTCTCCCCACACTTCAAACATGGTCTATATTGTAGTAGTGGTGATGATGGAGATGATGGTGATGATAAAAATTGCTCTCATTTAGTGAGCACATGTGTCAGGTACAAGTGAAATGTACTTGATTACATTTAAATTGACTGAATACCATGATTTGTGAAAACCAACAGAACACAGTGGCTGTAAGAACAAGAATCTGGAGTGAGACTACTTGTGTTTGAATCCTGGTTCTACCACATATTAGCTGTGTGCGGTCGGAGCAAGTTACTTAACTTCTGTGCTTCAGGTTCCTTGCCTATACAATGAGGATAATAAAAATATTCCAACCTCAGAGGGTGGTTTTGAAAATTAAATTGCTTAGTAAATGAGATGCACTTAGCAAGTGTTCAATAACCTGTATCTTCAATCCAGACCTGCTTCCAGAGTTCCAAGTTCACATATAAAATTGTCCCATGACAATCCCAATTAGCTTTTCCACAGGCACCTCAAAGTCAATGTGGTCAGATCCAGAAATATTCTCTTACCCCCAAAATCTGTTTCTTCACCCATATTCCCCAACTTACTGGATGTGAAAACAATTTACCCAACCACCTAAGCCCAAATTGGGATTCATTCCAGATGAAGTTTCTAAAAAACGAAAGTGACTTTGTCCTTCCTTATTCTTCAGTGAAAATCCTTCAGTGGCATCTCGTTACTTAGGAATTCTGCATGATCTGACCCCATTGACCTCTCACTACCCTGTCTTCCATTGCAGATACCCTACTCACAGCCACACATACACCAAGTAGTGTTATATTTCGACCCATGCTCTACCTCCTCTGCCTAGATTACCAAAATTTCTTCAAGAACCTCCTCCTGATCAAGCTTTTCCAGGGTCTCTAAGTAGAACAGATCACTTCCTCCTCCATCCTCGCATGTAGCACATGGTGCCATCAGAAATAAAAGAATATTTCTGCACTCATTTATGCATGCCTGTCTCTTCCCACGTCATACTCCCTAGTGATGGAAGCTTACTAGGGGTACAAACACTGTCTAACCTAGTAAAGTCCCTGGATTAAATTTAATTACCAATAAACTTTGAATAGATGAATATTGCATGAATTTTATATATATTGAACTAAAGCACAAGGAGGTTAACCAGTGATTCAACCATGACTGAAACCTTGGCCCTTCGGCTCAAGTCCACCAGTCCCCCTGAACAGCCTAGCTTGGCAGTTAAATCTGCAACTTCTTAGACCAGACCTTCTGGGGTCAAATCCTAACTCTTCTATTTTTTAGCTGTGAAACTTGAACAAGTTATTTAATTTCTCTGTACCACATTTTGCCAATCTGAAAAATTGGGAGAAATCATATTTATTCTACATGCATTGTGAGAATTAAAATATATAATCTATATAAAATACTTAGCCCATTGTCTAGCACATATCAAGTTCTCAATAATTGTTAGCCATCACTATAACATTATGGTTGCATTTTCTTAAAATCATGGGAAAACACAATAATCTATAACCATGATTTTTTAAAATTCTGTAGTACCCAATGACTTGAATGGCTCCCATTCCTTCTACCCAAATTAGCCAAAATAGGTCAAATCATATGTTTCCGTCTGCCTTATAAATTTCAATATAAAGTTTTGTTACTCATCCATGAAGCTGTCTTGGTCAGCATTTCGTTCTTCACACACATTTTCATTTTCAGTGAATTTTGCTTCTCTTAGAGGTAAATCCTTTGGTCTATCATCTTTAATTGTGGAAATTATGCACTCGCCACGTGCTGGTATTTTCATGTCACAGCACTCTTTGATTTTGCTGGAGATGGATTCTTGTTTTGAACAAATATGGCTCATAACTGTGCTCTGGATCAAGTAAGAATGATAAATGATTTTATTTTTACAATTTCTTCAGGACTGGATTTCTCTTTTTAAGGGAATGCAAAACCAACGATGAGTATAACATCTGAAATTGCTTCATCAGCTAATTTGATAGATTAAATTCATTTAAATTTTGTATACATTTAATACTCATGAAGCTTTATATTAAGACAAGCTATATTTCCCAGGATTTTAGATGATATAACTATGAAAAATAGACTGTATTATAAATGCACATTTATTGTTAAATATTTATCTATTAAATACCTTACCCCTACTCCCCTGGTATATTGACATTTTTAATTCTAAATGTTTCTTTCCAATAAGAGTTTACCTGTGCTTCAATGAGGGCCATCAAAGACATGTTACTTAATATCTATAATCATAGATTTCTTCTTTTGCGGACTGAAAACTATATTGCCAATCACATAGTAAAAACTCAATAAATATTTGATAAGTAAATGAAAGAATGGTAAACAAATGAATGACTACAGTAATTACCAGAAGAAGACTTCTGTAACATAAGAAACTATTATACTCATTGTTGTCATTTTCCTATGGGTATTATTAATTTGAAGCTGCTCAAATTATCAAATAATATACAAAAAAAGAAAACCTTGCCTTGTTGCCTCTCCCTACCCCTCATTCCAATTCTGACTCTACATAAACTTGTGAGAATAAGGGAGAGGATGATGTTATCTTATTTACACATTAGTTGCATAATTTTTTAAATTTATTTTTTATTTAAGTTTCGTTGGTATACAATCTAATATTGGTTATATTACTTTCAGGTGTACAATATAGTAATATACCCACTAATTCTAGTAATCATCTCTCAACATGTAAACTTATCACAATATTATTGACTATATTCCCCTTCCTCTTTTCACTCATCCACTCACCCCCCTCTTCTGGTAAACACCTCTTTGGTCTCTGTTTCAAGTCTATTTTTTTTGTTTGTTTTGTTTTGTTTTTAGATCCCACATATAAGGAAACCATATGGCATTTGTCTTTCTTTGCCTGACTTATTTCACTTAGCATAGTACCCTCTAGATCCATCCAAATTGTCGCAAATGGCAAGATTTCATTCTTTTTTATTGCTGAATAATATTCCATTGTATGTATATACCACATCTTCTTTGGACACCTAGGTTGCTTCCATATTTTGGCTATTGTAAATAATGCTGCAATGAACATAGGGGTGCATATACCTTTTTCAATTGGTGTTCTCATTTTCTTTGGATAAATACCCAGAAGTGCAATTGCTGAGTCATATAGTATATCTCTTTGTAGTTTTTTGAGGAACCTCTATACTGCTTTCCATAGTGGCTGCACTAGTTTTCAGTCCCACCAACAGTGCATAAGGGTTCTCTTTTCTCCACATCCTTGCCAACACGTTATATGTTGACTTTTTGACAATAGCCATTCTGACTTGTGTGAGGTAGTATCTCATTTTGGTTTTGATTTGCATTTAGTTGAATAACTTTTTTTAAAAGCTGATCTGGCCCCCTAGTCCCTTCTCCGGACTTTCCAGAATGAGTCTGCACATTTTTTCCTACTCTCTGTTCCAACTTCACATGAACTACATTGAGTTTCATCAAAACACCAGGCTATTACAGGACTCTTAACTTTGTTCAAGCTGTTCCTCCTGCCTGGAATCTTTTTCTGGTGAACATTAAGGGTGAGGAATAGAATGAAGCTCAGGGTTGAGGTGTGAAATGGAATGGTCATTGGCACCATGTTTCAATAAATCACATAGAACCATAGAGCCATTCTTTGCAAACATATACACATCTCACCTAAGGCTATCATTCTAGGCAACACACCTCTTATTGTCTGGAATTCACTTCTATTTTGAATGAACTACAATTCAATTCCTCTTATTTTTCCATATAGTTGTCAAACAGGAAATTAAGGGTATTATATGATCCTTTAGTCTTAGCTCCAAACTTCACAGAAAAATTCTCAATTATATTCTAATTCAGTACATTGTATCTAATATTATTAAACCCACATCTCTATAAACAATCAAACAGTACAAAAAATAAATAGAGAGTGAGACAGTTTTTAACTGGAGCACGGTTAGGAACCAAATAATTCTTGGGGACATCTGTTGTCCACTGCTTGAAATAAATGTGCATATCTTCATATTTTAAAATTCAGGTTGCTTAATTAACAGACTATTTCACTGTGAATTTAAAACAGTAAAACTAATTAAAAATCATTAAGAAATGTCTAATTTCAACCAAGAAGTCAGGATAATTTAAATGAAATTGTGTTACCTTTGTGTGCATGAACAACTCAAACTATGTCAATGTATTGACCAATTTATGCCCTTGGAGAACCACTTTAAAGAATAAATGTACTTTAAATTTACATATCCACTTATTTGCAAAGACTGTTCCTAAATACACTGAGGAAACTCAAAGAAAACAGCTCTTAAAAATATAATGGTAACAAATCATTCTCTGAGCTTTACTACTATTTTCTAATATCACTAACAGAGGATTTGCAATATTAAAGAGAGCTTTACTCTGGCCAAAATGAATATTCACAAATTCTAAATTCCTGAAGTTTTATACCAAGAACATTTAGCCATATAAAACAGACTTTACTGAGTATTCTAAAGACAATCTTGTGTATATTGGGAGAGAAACAATATTTACCCTGGTACGGATGCAATGCACGGTATCCCCTTCACAGCATTCGTCATGATTGGAAACAACATCTTCTAAGAGAGAGGTAAGTTCCTTAAATTCAATCCTGGGAAATTTTTGACTAAGTATAGCAATGTTTCTAGAAAGAGAATTGATCAATCACTAAAACAAGTGAGTAAGACAAGAGGGAGCTCTTGGATGACACAGTAGAACTGCAATAAGCATTGGTACCCTTGTTCTTTCACAGATATCTTTACCAAATACCTGTTTATACATTGCACAGCTCACATGATCACTTTGAAAATCCTAAGATGATATTTTGAGTCCTGGATCAAGGCTGGGAAAAGAAGGCCTGAGATATATGCTCTCATCCATGGCTTTTACAGCAAAGCACATTTTGTAAGAACTACCACTTTCTGTGGCAAGTATAGATAATTTATCATAGAGCTCTTTCCTGCTGATTTGTTTGAAATCTCAGTATTTTTCTCAAGACATTGCACTAGCACCATTACTAGTTGGTAAGGATGAGCAGTTGAGATAAAATTTATCCTTATAAGGTTGTCTCCTAGTCATTGAGGTAAAAAATGGATGGATAAGTCACTGTAAAGCATTGGGAGGTTTTAAAACTCTGGTTGGGAACTCCCAGGCCAATTCAGATTCCCAAGTAATAAAACAAAAAAAATCTGAGAAGCAGCCCTCTTTCTCTCTGAGGTCTCCCTACCTCCTGGGTCTTTTCTAATTCCCACCTAATGTCCTGGCTCTGAGCTATCCACATAGACTGAGACCCACCTTAAAACCTCTGGGGACAAGTGTCCATCAGATATGCTACAAAATCTTTACAACATTATTGATTATATTCCCCAAACTGTCTTTCGTATCCCCGTGACAGTCTTGTGGGAGTCCACTTCATGGACAGTATAGAGGCTTGACCACTGCAGTGTACACCTGAAGCTGAAGCTGAAGCTGAATAATAATGAAAGTCAACTATAATTTAATATATATATAGTCACAGGATATGGAGTACAGCATAGGGAATAGAGTCAATGGAACTGTAACAGCTATATATGATGTCAGAGGGGTAGTAGATTGGGGGAGGAGTGTTATCATATTGTGAGGGGTGTAAATGCCTAACTATTACATTGTTTTGTACACCTGAAACTAATAAAAAAATGTAAAAACAAAAAACGCTAAAATTAAAAAAACAAAAAGCTTCTGGGAAACTAAAAATAGTATAAATAAAAAGTAATAAACAATTAAACAAAAATGGAACACAGATAAGTAAATATGAGTAGAGACATATTATAAAATATATAATAAGTATTTTATAGAGATACATATTATAAAACTCACATAGATTTTAAGACTTGTGGTCCAAATTTCCAATATGTCCCACAGACAGTTTTTTGATAAGAAGACGATGCCTTTAAATATTGTATGACAGGCTGTGCCTGAAGGAGAAAGTGAAAATTCTGTTGAAGCAAAAGCAAAATCCCACTATTCTCTTATTTCTTAACTATATGTCAACCAAACTATTCCAACGTGTGCTCAGAAACAGAAAATCTAGTGGTTTTTCTTGTAGTAAATTTACATATCAAGAGAAATATGCATTTGCAGCACATTATAAAGGTGGGGCCAGTCTTCTGATAACTTGGACTTGGTGGGAAGGCAAGCAGTGTGGTGTGCTGGGAGCTTGTCCATCACTACTGGGATGATTCTGTTTTATAGTTAGCTAAAAGAAGGCTTGCCAAAGATAGAAGATAAAATATAATCTTTTACCCTGAATATGCACTCAATAAGGCTTTCTTCCAACTTACAAGGAAGACAAAGCCAGAAGAGAGACTCTGGAAATGCGTAATTGTCTTTTGAGGGTCTCAGGTAGTAAGAGCTTTAAGATCAGTAGCAGGTGGCCAAAGGGTTGAAAATCAGTAAAAGTAAAAAGAGAATGCTTATAACTGATAAACAACTCTTTGGCTATAATTGAATTTTAAAGAAGGATCTGCTGTGTTGGGTGACTCCTTATCCTTTAATGAAATAAATGTAATGCCCACCTTTGTTCGAAAGCAGTTGGCTTTGTCTTGTTCTCCGCAACATGTTTCAGCCATCTCCTCAAAACGAGCAGCGACGGTTAGAAGTGTAGGGGCGAAAACGAAAGGGTTCCTTCTGGCAACTTCATAGATATAGCTATAAAAGAAAAAAGCAGAGAAGAGGGGAAAGGAAAGAAACAGGAAAGAAATGAAGGAATGATAGACAAGGGGAGGGAAGAAAATGGAAGGGAAAGGAAAGATAGGGAAAGACAAGGAGATGAAGTTGTGAAAATGAAAGTATGAAGAAGGATTTCCCATCACAGAAGTTTTCAATATAAGGCAGCATTAGCCAGTCTCCAATAAAAGTTTTTAGAGTCTTATTGAAATTACCGCCTCTAAAATAAGAGTGATCCTTGCAGTTTTAATCCTGAATGCTGAGACGTGGCTATTGTCGTTCCCTCCCCCAGCAGCCCACTCATGTTTAAAGATGAGCCACCTAGGTCCACTCCATCTGAGATTCAAGGATCAGATTCACTTATGTTCAAATCAACGTGTGATTTAGGTTTCAATGAGTATACCAGCTTTCAAGAAAACATCTCTTCTTCTGCAATTACTGCACGATTGAAAACAGATTTTTGCTAAACATTTATTGATTTAATGTTTACTCTCCGTAAAAGCTGCACTTTCCCTTTGAGAAGACGATATTATTTTCTCCACTAGCAATTTGGCACTATACAAGCACTTCTGTTCTAGGGCTTATCACATTAGGAAATACAGATCATTAATGAAAGGATCTTGAAAGCAAGTTTCATATCTTATTCATGTTTATATCCTCTACACTGCACACAGACCCACGTTAAATGAATTAATCATTCAATGAATGCAGCTAAGTTCCTTGGGAATAGATATTAGATATTCTTTAGCTTAAGGATAATTCTTTAATTAGATCATTTTTCTTCTAAAATTAAACTTACTTGCTTAGAAAAGATTCTCTGTTGTTTTTATAAGCCTGGCATTTCTCTTCAGGGTCCAGGGAAGGAAGGGGAGGCAGAAATCCTACATTAGCTTTCTTATTACGAAAGAAACAGAGTCTTCTTTCGAAGCCAACCTTACTGCAGCAGTGTGAAAAATTATGCTTTTCTGGTAGCTGCTCCCCAGCACATATCACATCCAGCAAAGCAACATTCTGGACAACAGAGAAGTAAAAGATACTTTTCATTCATCGTGAAGCTTCTCAACCTTCTGACTTCACACAATGATGAGTGAGCATCACCCTTAGGAAAAAAAAATTGCAATTTCCCCAATAGCATAAGCACAGCATCTTGACCCACTCCCTTGACAACCATCTTGTACTTTGGGGAACTTTCTCTATCCTATCCTGCGGTCCCTTAACCTCTTACTTTTCTTTGCTGCTTATATTTCCCTTGCATGACAGCTTTTTTCCCCTCCTCTCCCAAGTGACAGGGTCAGAATGTGAAACTGTCGGTAAAGTATTTAGTAGTGGTGTTTGGTAAGACTTTTCTAGAAATGCAGATGATGACTATGTTTGGGAAAGGCCAAGAAAATAGGGTGTGATAGTAGAGTACATATTGAGACAGGCAGCTAAAGAAGGACCTCTGTACTTTTGTGCGCTTTGCAGGCTTTTGGCCACCCTGTGTCTGTATACATACTGCACAGACTGCTAGCTCAAGACTGCAAGCTCATGGCCAAGTTCTCCTGTGTGTAGTAATACAGAATTGCACCTCTCCTAGGAAACTGCCTTATCCTAAATATCCAAGCCAGGCCAAATACAAATGAGGGGCACGGAGCATCTCTTTTTTATATTTTAAGGCAAAATTTCTGTCAGTGTTGACAAATGAACTTGTTTGTTTAAGAAGTGCAAACAATTTACTTACGGCTAATTTTGAACAATGTGGGAGTGTCACGTTAGCCAAGCATTGATCTTTGTATTCTGTCGCGGCTTTTACCAACGTTTCTACTTCTTCAAAGGATGCCTCCTGAATATATTGAGCAAATGTAATGGTAGTGCTGCAACAGTCCACAGAGAGCACAGTGATTACCTGCAGACATGCCACGTCTGTCCAGAAAAAACTCACAGAAACATCCATTTGTTGACTAGCGTCAGGAAGTTATCGGAGTACAGAGTTATAAATTTTACAACTTCTTGATTATTCCATTACTTCATCTAAATTTTATGATTAATACTGTATTTACTTCTTTGATATGCTGTCTACTTAGTTAAGTTACTTTGAGAAGCATCAAGGTTTCTGGAATATATCAGATAATATTATGATAAACACCATCATCATCAAAAACACTTCAGAAAAACTCACATATATCCAAATTTCTCAAATATAAATTTCTGGGTGATGCTGACATCATCTGAAAAGCAAAGATATTTAGGTTATTATCTATCCTGGTATTTTAACGTTTTCCCAATAAATAATTAAGGATGATATCTAAATGTACAAAGTATAAAATAGAGAACTGATGGTAGAAAATAATTTGGTTTATTTAACAAGAAGGAAAAAGTCATATGAACCAAATATGAAATCTTAATCACAGCTGATTATGTGCTAAAGATACATTCATTAAATTAAATTGACTTGAATTAATCTCAAACTGACCAGACTTTAGATTTGTCATTGATGGCTCCTTGGACACAAAGGTCAAATACAGGCACCATTTCCTGTTAAGTATTTATCATGTATGACTAGAAAAGTAATATGAAGGTTAACTGATATGTGATTTACTGCTGCAACAAGAGATACCATAACATGCTGGTAGTCAGTATAGTTTATAAGGCTAGCCAGACACAGATATTTAGATAATTTTCGGACTAGTCTCAGATGATTAATTCCCTCCCAATGAGCATATACTAATCAGAGCACATTTACATTTGTCCACATAGACTACTTTTATGGAGTCATTAGTTTTGCTAAGTATTGTGCTGGAACTTGTGATGCAATCAGTAATGACCAAGACATCTTCCCTAGACCTCAGGTTCCTAAGTACTCTCACAGTGCAAATGACTCGTGAACATGACTGCAATCCAACTTAGAATGTATATGACATTCTAAAGTAATGTGAGTAAGTATATGACAGGAATGCTTCAGGGGTGAAGAACTAGAAATGGATTATAGGAGGAGTGGTGTATGAATTCAATCTGAAAAATGTACAAGATTTCAGCTAGCAAAAAAATAAGAAGCCTCGTATTTCTATGTGGATAGAATGATGTGAATAAAACACAAACATGAAAATCCTTGGGATGTGTTTAGGAAAAGTCAATTAATCCACTTTGATGAGAAACTGGATTATAAAGAAGAAAAACAGAACTGAAAATAGAAAGGACATGGGTCTAGATTATGGAGGTCCTACATATAAAGCTGAGGAGTTTGGGCTTCAATTGGAAGCCAAGAAGAACCACTGAAATGTTTATATAAAATAGTAAAATGATCATTTCAACACGGTAAGAAATACCAGCCAAGTAGTGGCATATCTAATATGCAGGAACCTCCCACAGCACCTGTTAAATAGAAAATGACTAGAATATTTGTCAAATAGATAAATGAAAGAATGAATAGCTGGATAGGAGAAAAGCCCATCAGGAGACTTTTACAATTGTCCTATTGAGAAATCAGCAGGACATCAGTTTGGGTGGAAGTAAACAAATATGCACAGGAAAACATGAATGCAAAGGGTATTAGACTCAAAAAATCAACAGGATTTTTAAACAAGTTGTTACAAGGGACAAAGGAGAAAGAGAACTCAAGAATGACCACTCTTCTTCAGGCCCTGTGATTGGTCTAACTAGCAGGCACTGTGGGGGTACCAAATTGAGTAAGACAACCCACACCTTCAGGGCCACTGTGACACTTATGGCACCTTTGTGCAAGTTACAAAAAGGTGCTCCTTCCATGCTAGAGGAAACACAAAAAGACATCCTCTCTGAACAGATGGAGCTCAAAATGTTCCCCCTTGGGGTAGAAAAAATATAAAAGTCACCCTGTCCCCCAAGCTGACACTGCACTGGCAAGGCTTGGGATGAGAGGTATAGGTGCACAGGCTTGGGGAAATTTATAAACTGTATGGTTGGAGGAAGCAGGGTCCTGCATACACTAAAGGTGTTTTCCACCCCGTTGGGAGCTATGTTGGACAAAAGATAGGTCCATAAAAATCCCAATTCAAAGTAGTGTTCCACTGTTACCGTACACTATACACATTTGCAAGAAATATGAGCATTTTCAAACCCAAGTTTTATCTCCCAACAACACTTTCTATACTGACATAAAACTGGTGACTGTTTGCTGGTATGAGAACTGTTTCTGTCTATAGATTGGGTAATATGACCACCAAAAAGCAAAATCTGGGAAGGTTAGTTCAGGATACCTGATCAGTATTTATAAACTATAATAGTTGGGTTGAGGGGAGAAAAAAACAAGTGAAAAATTAAGTTAAAAGAAAACAAGGTAAAAATTTTTTAAAAAAGGAAATTACCCCAACTTAGTCATTCCTTAGCTGGTATACAAGTAAATTTCTTACCTACATCTTGAGGCTTTGTGGGTAAGGATAGAGACTCAGTCAAAAAGAACAAGAAAATAACAAAACTTGTAAGTTTTAACTGTTTCATTTCTTTAGAAGTCAGTTTCACAAAAGAAAGTAATGTGATTGAGGAAAATCAAGTTCTTATATTATTTTTTGAGACTATTAGTAAAAAAGTAACCTGTTTAACCGATTTCTCACATACCTCATATTTGATTGTTATTTGATCACATTGCAGAATTTTTGCTAATTATTAACTAGGAAAAGAAATTATCCCTGTGTTTCACTAGAAAAATCTATTGAGTTAGGAGAATGTCCATAGGTTAAGTATGCACCTTTCCTAATCAAACAGACAACCAAAATAAGATGAAAAAAAAATCTCGAAATATTGCAAATGTTAGGAAACAAAAGGACTAGAATAAATAATTCACCAAAGAGAAAACACAACAGAAAGATATTAAATTTTACTGGTAATCAAAAGAAGTTAGTTTTAAAAATAATTTTTATATACTTGATAGAATTAGAAAAATGAAAACAATTAAGATGTAGCATTCTGGTAAACATATAGCAAAACACGTGCTCATATAATTAAAGCTTTTGGAAAACAAGCTTATAATAAGGATCAATATTCAAATATTCATTTTATTTGAACTAATCGCTCAAATTTTTAAATCTGTACTAAAAATATGATTCTAAATGTGGAAATATTTTAAAATATTTTAAAAAGAAATCTATTTCTTAGTTATGTCCACTACAAGGGCCTGAAAGCAACCAAGTAGCAAGGAGCACATTTAGTGTACACATCTTGGGTTCTAAACACACTTCTCTATTACAAGGATGTTGAGCTTCGAAGAGAAATAAATTATTCTAGGACTGGGAAATGAAAAATATAAGATGAGCTGAAAATATCGTGTCAGAAACTAAAGAAGACTCAAAAACTGAATCAAGCTTGTCAAAGAAAGGTAAAAGCCAATGGGACACTTTGATAATTAAAATAAATAATGAGAGGAATGCTTATACTCATTAAATTTTTGAAAAAGAATTCATGAATCTATACCAATACAAAAGGAAAATAAAAGTGGGGGTAGGAAGGGCCGGCCGAGTGGCTCAGTTGGTTAAGAGCTCACTCAAGAGTTTGAGCTCTGAGCAACAGTGGTTTGATGCCCGGCCCGAGCTGAGTTGCCGTTGAGCTGCCAAAAGGTGGCAGGATGGCTCAGCTAAAAAAAAAAAAAAGTGGGGGTAGGAAAAGCTCTTTTCTACAGGAGAATGCCAACTAATAAATGTAGTTAGAAATAAAGCATAACTATTTGTAAATACCATAGGAATAACTCATTTAAGCTAGTTCATGAAAGAATGCTGAAGTCACTGGTGAGAAATTATGGGGCAATAGCATATTTGCAGTTTCGAAGTATCACTCTACAGATTACTTATCAATTACAAATGAAAAAAGATATCTGTATAAGTGGATAAGTAAACAGTGGTGTAGTCACTCTGAGTTAATATTTGTCTTTATAACTAATGAATATAAAGAATATGTAATAATGAGGAAATATTTTCTATATAATATTTGGAGAAAAAGCAGAATCTAAAATTTGGTGTTATGTTGTGAAGATGGTAGAGTTAACAGACCTATTAAACCAAAAAGAAGGGAGGGGAAAGTGGGAGTAAGAAAGAGAGGAGGTAAAGAAGGAGATGGGGGGGGGGAGAGAGAGGGGAAGAGAGAGAGAGAAAGACAAGCTTGAGAGATAGATGGAGCGATTGATTTTTTCCCCCACACTGAGAATCAAGCAACTGATATGGTCAGCATCTTTGGTTGAAACTAGTGAATGTTACTGATAGTGCTGACCTCTAACTGGCCTTTTGTCAGGGAATAAAGCCAGTTTCCAGGTATATTTAATTATTAGAAATCAATTTGCTTTTTATTTTTTTCTCAGATATGTTATAGTAGTCTCCCCTTATCCGTGGCTCCACTTTCTGCAGTTTCAGTTACCCACAGTCAACCACAGTCCAAAAATATTAAGTGGAAAATTCAAGAAATAAACGATTTATTTTTAAATTCCCTGACATTCTGAGTAGCATGATGAAATCTCATGCTGTCCCACCAAGATGTGAATCATCCCTTTGTTCAGCGTCTCCACGTTGTATGGACTCTCTGACAATTAGTTACTTAGTAGCCTACTTGGTTTTCAGATCGGTTATCAGAAAGAGAGAGAGAGAGAGAGAGAGAGAGAGAGAGAGAGAGGCTATATTCACATAACATTTATTACAGTATATTGCTATAATTGTTCTATTTCATTGTTGTTGTTGTTAATCTCTTATTGTGTCAATTTATAAATTAAACTTTATCATAAGTATGTGTTTATAGGAAAAAAAACAGAATATATAGGCTTTAGGCTTCCAAAGGAGGTCTTAGAACATATCTTTTACAGATAAGGGTGACTATTATATTTATTATTTGTGATTAATGGTTCATGCCTGGCAATTATGAGAAGACAGCTCCAATTCATCCATTTCACAAATCTAAGCCACCCATCACTGATAAGGATGTGATTTTTTTATAACCATATGAAGTAAAATAACAGTCTGTGCCTAGTTAAAAATTTAAGGTATTTAAACTAACTTTCTGCCTGGTCATTTCGAATTTGCTTGGAATTATCTAACAGCTAACTTCCTCTTTAATAGGTAATAAATTTTGAAACTTTGATAAATATGCCTAGAAATTTCTGCTTCAACAATATAGACAAATACAATATAGACACTGAAAAAAAATAAAAGAGAGAAAGCCAGTGATAATAGCCAAAAGATTGAGAAAATCCTGGAAACCGTAAAACAGAGGGATCCAATTGATGAGAAAAATAGATAAGATGGAATTTCAGCTCAAACTGTGGAAGATGAAATCAGTTCTTCCTAGGAGCATTTCAGAGAAGCTCCAAGTCTGAAGAATATAAGGAACAGATATAGGCTATAGGGAAATAATCAGGAGGATAAGCTTTAAAAAAAAAAGCTAATTCCGAACAGCTAAGTTAGAAGATTACATTTACTTCTTCTTCCCTTTCTCTACCTCCACACACACTCAGATAGAACACCCTTGAATAACTGTGGTTGGTGTCTTTTACCTCTAGGTCAAAATCCAAAAATGACTCTTTCTTAGTTTGGATTCCCCAAAAGCAGACCTCCAGACAAAGACTGTAATTTGTTTGGAAAGTGATTCAAGGAGGCACAAGTGAAGAAGTGAGGAAATGAGACCAAAAGGAAGAAAGGCTAATAAAGCAGGTGTTCATCAGAGGAGTAACAGTGCAGGCGCCTGAGTGTAATCCTACTGGAACTGTTTAAGAAGTGGAAGGTTTCCTAGAATTGTCCCACTAGAGGACTGGGAAGCTGGGGCATTTATCCACTGATGGAGGTATACACGAGCAAGAAGAATAATCATGAAAACCCTAAGGAAAAAAAGAAAAAATTTGCTGGTGTAAGGAATTGTGTAAAGCAGCACTACCAAATAATAAAACACATTCTAAAACATCAGAATAATTAAAACGGTGTGGCACTGGCAATCAAGAGAGAGAACAACAAACTGAAAATCTAAAATTATATTCAAATATCTATCCATACACTAGGATGATTTCAAATAGATCAGAGATCCAAATGTAAAAATGAAAAAAAAAACCATAATAGTACTAGAAGAAACACAAATGAGGTGGGGAAACATATCCTAACTATGATGCAATACCAGAAGCACTAATAAATTCAACTGCGTAATTTTTTTTCTAAGACTTTACATGGAAAAATACAATTGGCAAAGTCAAAAACAAAGAAAACATAGTTGTAACCTATATCATAATATGAAAAATGCTCCTGGAAATTTGATAGAAAACAAAAGACCAATAATCTGATAGAAAAATAGTAAAATAATATAAGCAGATAGTACACAAGAAGAAAAAAGCTAATGGGCCTTTAACAATAAAAGAAGATGCTCATAATATGAGAAATGCACATCTAAGCAATACCTCAATACCATTTCTCACCTGATGGGCAAAAATCTAAAAGTTTGACAACATACTTTGAGGGTAAAATTGTGGGGAAACGGGTCCTCTCATCCACTGCTAATGGGAATGCAAAATGGTGACACAATATCTATGGAGAGGAATTGGGCAATATCTAAACAAAAAAATATGATTTTGTCCTTTGAGCCAACACATTTTCTAATAGGTACCTATCCTAAAAATATACTGCCAATATCACTAAATGTTGAAAGCACTAGGTTATTCATTGTGGAATTATTTGCAGTAAAAAAATAAAGATTTAAAATCATCCAAATGTCCATCAACAGATGGTTGGTTAAGAAATCATAAAGAAATTAATAAATTTATAATTCATTAATAAATTACAAAGAAATTCTATGGAACTGTTTTAAAAAATTGAGGAAAAAACTTATGCATAATATTAAGTAATTGCCAAGATGACATTTTTAAGTGAAAAAAGTAAGGTATGGAACAACTGTAATATGTAACCCCTTGTGTAATAAAGATAGACTGGTGTAGTAGGAACATATGTATATATGTATTAGCTTAGATATGAAAAACAAAGAATAGGTGGATAAACCAGGAACCAAGAAAAGCTATTATCTATAAGAGAAAGGGAGAACAAGGTAGAAGGGCTAATGTCTTAGTCAGTTCAGACAGCTCTAACAAAATACCATAAACTGGGTGGCTTATAAACCACCGAAATTGTTCTGGACGCTGTAGTCTGAGATCAGGGTGCCAGCATGGTAGGACTCTGTGAGAGCCCTCTGTTGGGTTGCAGACTGCCAACTTGTAGTTGTATCCTCATATGGCAGAGAGAGGGTTTCCAGGTAGTACTGGCCTCATCGAATGAATTGGAAATTATTCCCTATTTTTCCTCAATTATTCCTCAATTTTTTGAAAAGTTTATGTAGAATTAGTATTATTTCTTCTTTAAACGTGTAGTACAATTCACCAGTTAAGCCTGGAGTTTTGTTTGTGGAAATGATCTTAACTAAAATTTCCATTTCTTTAATAGATATAGAAATAATCAAATTATCTATTTTTTCTTGAGTGAGTTTTGGTAGTTTGTATTTTTCAAGTCATTTGCCCATTTTATATAAATTGTCAAATTTATTG